CTCTTATTCCCTTATTCTATCGAGGTCTCGAGGCCTAGGCAATCGGCGAGGACGGCGCGGCCGGCGCGGCTATATTAGTAATAGTGTTGCGGAGTGTGTTGCTGCTTAAGAAAGGAAGGATATAGCTATATTAGTAACGGTATTGCCGAGTTATTATTAGTTAAAGAAGGAAATTAGAAGCAAGGTAAAGTTAGCGCTAAGACAGCTAGTACCGCTATTATTAATATTACTTGCTATTGTTACTACGCCTACGGGCACAACCTTACCTATACTACGAGCCTAAGGCACCTTTAATCAAAACTTTAATTAAAACTTTAAGCCGCTTAAAAGATTGAGCGACTAATAGACTAACTAACTAAGGGCAAAACTATAGAGCTAAGCTAGCCGGGGTCGATCTTGCGGATAATAGGTTACTCCTCGATCTTTCCGATCCTTTAAGCGAGGCGAACCTCTACTACTACACTTATAATAGCCTTTACCTATAGAAACTAGAAGAACTAAGTTTTTTAAAAAGATATAATTAGTTAATACTTAAAGGCTGCTAAACCTAACTAATTAGGGCTAGTGAAACTACGATAGTAAACAATAGCCCTCGTAATAACAAGAACAATCCCTCGTAATAACAAGAACAACCCTCGGAAGCGGACATTGCTAGGTCTTTTAAGAGTAGACGCAAAGAACTCGGTACGATATTACTTAGAGCGGAGGCAGGGCTGCAATACCTCGTACGTCTACCTGTTATAGTAGGGAAGACGCGCTCGTATTATAATTAGTCGAAGGCCCTTAATTCTTGTAGATATATATTACTTTATAGTTTATTATATATAGGGATAGCGCAGTTAGAGTTGGACATTGTGCTATATTAGAGGTAAGGTTTGACATAGTTACATAATTAGGTAGTTAAGTGTTTAATTTAGCGCGGGCTAAGCAGCTTATTAGACTTGCTAAGTTAGCGGCAATAGAGGTCGTAGAACATAGACAGGCTACGAGGGCGCGGCCTTTAGAAGGGAAGCGTATATCAGGACTAAAGAGGCTATACGTAATTAGCATATAACTAGACTAAGTGAAGCTAGGGTCTTAGTGCCTTAGGTAGGGCTTAGCGCTTAGCAATAGGCTAACTTGCCTGCCTTCCTCCCTCTCCTCCTAGCTCCTTATCGAATACTACTTGTACCTACTACTACCCTATCTACCTACTAACATAACCCTTCTCATACTAGATCCTAGAAACTAGCTCTCGTATCTCCTTTAGCTAGGCGGGGGGGCGGTAGCCTTCTTTTCCTAGTAGAAGGCTAAGTACTATCTAAGCGAGGCTGCGAATCTAGGAAAGCCCTATCCGATTAATAGGGGGCTCCCCGGCTATCTAGCCTGCAATCCGTATTTGCTATTAATTAATAGTCTTAGCAAACTAAGCAAGGCCGATAGGTAATTAATCTATCTCCTCCTTAGGCGGGCGGTAGCTTATCTCGAGCAAGCGGTGCTAAATAGGTCTTCGACCCGGAGCCGAGTCCTTAGAAGCTAGCTATAGTCGCAGACTAGGCCCTAAGCTATAACAGTCCTAAGGGTTTGCAGCTTTTCGGGTTAAAGCGATGCTCTCGTTAAGAGGTTTCTCTGCTTATCGTAATAGCCCCTCGAGATACTTCTATATCGTCTATATTGTAGGCTCTTGTCGTGCCCTCGCTTCGGTTATAGCTATTCGTGCCTAGAGACCACCTTTAATATACCTAAACCTGTTAGATATAAAGAGATAGCCCTACCTTCGGCTCTAATAAAGGACGGAAACTAACACTACTACTACTACTAGCAGTAATAGTATAGGCTACCGAGGGTAATATAACCTATAGCAATATAGGCAACTATGTTTAGTATAATAGGATAACAAGACGGTTGCTTAGGCTAATAACTAGAGCCCTGCAACATAGGCATTATAGAAGTGTAATATAAATAATGTGCTATACGAGGTTAGTAATCTATCTATAATGTAGAAGGAGGCCTCTTATATAGGCTTAAAACTCAGCCTAGGTGTATAGGGCCGGTTACTAGCTAATAGTATATAGCAAGTCTTATCCGAAACTAAATACCTATATTAAGTACTATCCGGAAGGCTTATAGCGAGTAGTACTATCCGGAACGCTTATAGTAAATACTATCTAAAACGCCTATAGTAAATAGTATTCGAACTACCTATAGCGAGTACCCTATATAACGCCTACTACGAGTATCCTATAGGACGCCTATAGCGAGTACTCTATAGAATATCTATAATACTAAGAATAAGTCTAATTTAGAACGCTTATAATACTAAGTACTATTCGGAACGTATATAGTAAGTCTAATCCGGAGCGCTAATAGTTAGTACTACTATCTATAACGCTTATACTAAGTTTTATTTAAAACGCGCTATATAGTAATTCTAATCTAAACGCTTATACTAAGTCTTATCCGGAACGCGTATAGTAAGTCTAACTCGGAACGCTAATAGTAAGTACTATTAAGAACGCTTATAGTAAGTAGTACTATCTAAAATACCTATAATAAGTACTATTTAGAACACTTATAGTAAGCTATATCCGATACGCTTAGCCTTTCGAGTATACCGCCTCGAGTAAATATCCCCGGATTAGGCGTAAACGACTATATAGCCTCGAGTAAATACTACCGGATCGGGCGTAAAAGATATATATAAGATCGGAAATACTACTATTATAGCGGCGAAGCCTTACGATACGTACTACGACTACTATGTCCTCCGAACCGGTCGCGAACTAAGGAGTTTTAACGTTCCTCGGATATAGCTAATTAGAGGCGGCTTTTAGATCGTTTTAAGCCGTACTAAGCCTAAAGTAGACCTACGGTTTGTTAAGTTATTATTATATTAGAGATAGCGTAACCGCGTAATACCGCCGCGAGCAAATACCGCCGGATTAGGCCTAAAAGTTAGATATACCCTTCCGGAATACTACTATCGCGGCGGCAACGCGTTATAGAGCACACCGCTTCGAGCAAACACCGCCGGATAAGGTGCATACGACGAAGACGCCCTTTTCGAGACTGCTATCGAAGTTATAGCTCGTCGCGGCATACACTGCGACGTCTACGCCCTTCCGAATCGCTGAGGTATTGACGTTCCTCGCGTCCACCAATCAGAGGCCGCGGTTGGCCCGTTTTGAGCCGCACTAAGCCTAAAGGGGCCCCAACTTTTGTTGAGTTGTCATATTATTGAGATACAGACGTTCGGTAGTTACAGCAATTGGATTATTGGCTCGTTTACACTCGCTGCTACAGAGAAAAAAGTCGGGTGGCATGCCACTCTCCCATCGCGAAATTGATCAATGATCTCGACAGGCCAATCTTGTGGTTCTGCGAATGACGCGGGCTAACAGGCGATTCTGCATAATACCTCCCAAACACCTTAGACTATAGTTGTCGAGTGCGGTTTCTTCAGAATCCGGAATCATACAGTACGAGCTAAAACACCTTGTCCTTCTCCTTCTCTCGCATCTCTTCCCCCTGCGTATCGCATACCTCGCATACGGGTTCAGTTTGGATGCCACTCAAGTGCTTTGCATGTTGAAGTGCAGAACTCTCTAGCCAAACATTCGGAAACCAATCTCTATCCCTGTACAATACATTACGACCAAGTGGATATGGCAGGTCCAGAAATTTGATTGTCAGAGAGGACAATTTCATCAAGATAGCGTCAGGTACGCTTTTGAGCGTGTAGTCTCGAGCGATTCGAAGAGCAGCAAAGCCAAAGCCATCATTGTTGCGCGTCTGGGTTCTCATGGGCTCCTCTTGGTCGCCATTGCCCTCTCGTAGAACTTCGAGAAGACGCTTTGGCAACCAAAGCTCAGTATACCTACCAGGCAGACTGTCAGTGTCACCGCTTCGCTTCACTCCATGCAACTCTCATTCGGATTATACTTACTCTGGCCGGTAATGAGGACGTCGTCCTATTGGAACTTGGTCAGTTTGCACCCAATATTTGAATTTCGTTCTGTCTTCCCCGGCTAGCCATTGTCCAGCTACGGAATAAGGAACAGCGAAGTTTGCTAAATCCGCCTTCTGCACGTCACCGACAAACAAGGTCAGCTTAGAAAAGTTTGTGAAACCTGATAGTGCTCCCATATTGGCTGGCCATTCTTCGTGATCGTAAGGGGCTATGGCAAAATAACCCTCACCAATTGCAACATCGCATACAAGATCCTTGAGCTCGCCTGGTTCAGTCTCCAGAAACCTCCGCACATAGTCCATCGTGTCGAATACAAAAGTGTTACCATTCCACAGCGCAGTGGTGCCGCAACGGCCCAGGTACTTGCAGCTCCTCAGCACTGCCGTAGGAGCTCTCAAGATTGATTTGCGCTTGGCTGGCTCACCCTGTAGGGTCGCTGCTTCTCTCTCAAATCGTCGACTTTCTGCAGAATTTAGAGCATGGCTAATGTTGATGCATTGACCTTGAGGCAGCACGAAGGAGAGTATCAAAATACCCAATTCGGCGGGGAGATTGACAATGCGTAGACGAGACACATGAGTATGCGCGACACTTGAAGCTGTAGGGTAGCCCAATCTTCGAGAAGAGCCGGGGGCAGATTGATGACCGTGCCTCTTGCGCTTTCCAGGCATGACGATGGTGTGGTGTACTGTAACGTCCGAAATGCCAACATTGCCCGAAGAAATATTCACTAATGTTTGCTCTGTGGCTTGACGAGTGATTCTGAAAGGCAGTGGGTCAAACAGCGTTTCGAGGCAATTCCAGTGGCATTCGATTGTGCATACAGAATCATGTCTCATATGCTTTTGACCGATATGCCGCATTAAGATCAGGAAGGAAGGGGCCCAGCAGATCGGATGCTGAGGCGCTGGAGGCGGATTATTCGACTCCAGTCTTTGGATTTGAGACCATGTAAACGGGCGAATGTGCTTTCATGATGCGAAGACCCGCATAATCCAGTAGTAGGACTCCCCCAAGTCTCTTCCAAAGCGTTGTTGCTATTGAACACGCATCAGATGTTCTTCACTCTAGAGTCGAGCGCGAGCCGGTCAGGAGCAATCAGATCCAGTGCGCCGTCCATGGTCTCTTTAAAAGCCAGCAGCTCCTGTTTGGCCTTGTCCGTGAGGTTGGAATTGTTGCCGTCCTCAACCCGGATGGAGGTCTCGATGATCCAGCTGCCGCTTGGGTCGATAAGCTTTTGGTCCTTCGGGAACAGCACTGTCGATGAGATTGGATCTGAAAGATCAGCGCCGTGCATCCTGAACACCTGAGAGCTCTTACCTTGGGAGTCTGGGGCTTGTCGCATTCGATACAAGCGAGTGACAACATTGTTGTGAACAAAGCGGTTGGCTTCTGTAATGAATTGACGTCTGAACTGATACAAGTCAGGCTGCCTCAGACGCTGGAGTTCATCTTCTGTGGCCGAGTGCTCGTCGTAATTCCGGGCAATGTAGTCTGTCAATCCAGGGTCCGGAAGGGCTTCTGCGCGGAAAGTCCATGGCCCAGCCTCAGCCTCGCCAGATTCACGGAAATGAATGTCTCTGATGAGCTTGTGGTAGTTGAGTTGAGGAGCTTGCTTTGGAGCTTGCTGCTTTGCCTGTATCTGGACGAAAACGATGAGACGAGGTTCAAAAAAGGAGAGGTGCAAGATCAAGCCTACCTTCTTCGAGACAGCGGCGTCAGGTGCCTTCGTCTGCCCATAGATGGCCACTTGCTGCCATGCTGGGACTGGCTGCGAGCCTGTCACGCCTGCCAATATGCTGAGAACCTGAATCTCACGAGCGCGTGGAATTTGCGAATAGAGCAAATACTCGCGCATGGTGGCGGTTTGAGTAAAGACTCGAGGCCTTCTTCCGTTCTTCGCCGGTCTCGGACAAGTCGTGATAGATCAGGCGGGTCAAGTCCGACAACCTCGCTGGAAATGGCACAATGGCGTGAGAAGCGGCTGGGATGTGAATGATTGCCGCTCAAATCGCCGCTCGAGGCGTGCGAATGCCGACGAGAATCTACTATATGCGACGGCTTCAAGATGCGTAGAGTGATGCGGAGTTGGCCGCAGGAGTGTCAGAGATAAGAATTCGCATGTCGTCTCTGCCCAAAGTGATAGACGTGATTGTCGCGTCGCGCATGTGATTGTGGTGTGGCGAAGGTTTCCAAGCTTCGCGTGTGATTGAACGAATCCCGCACCACTAGGGAGGCCCATACATACCAGATTGTCAATGGAGGTTCTCACCGCCTCCTCTACTAGCCCACCTCTACGACTAACTTTCTATGTTTGCCCTCGCACTACACTCGCTATTGACTCGCAAAATGCCTCTACGTATCGATCTCTCGCTATAGAGGGCTTAGATAACCTTACAAGTTAATAGCGGCACTATATAAGGCGAAATCCTACAGCACCTTATATAAGAGACTGGTTACTAGATAGCTCTTTCTACGCTTTATCGGAGGCTCAAGGAATGGGGGGTTAATTATAGCTATTACGCTTACTATAACCGAGTCAATAATATCGAGGCACTAAAGATCCGAGTCGCATATACCTTCTCCGCTTTACGCTTAACTAATAAAGAAGCGGTTGAAGTACTAAAGATAGATAGATTTAATATTAGCTAGCGGAGATATCAACGGATACGTTAAGAGCTTAGATTAAAGAAGGCATTATCGCGAGATAGATAGATAGAAGCGGAAGAGGAGATAGTAGAGGTCTTATAGGAAGAGCTCGAGAAGTCTACGGTAGAGTCCTTTAGCCGACGGCACCTATATACCTATATTAGGTCCAAATACAACATTATTAGTAGAGATCGGCTGTATCGTATAGCTTGCTTACTAAATCCTAAAGGGTTGCGAGTCCGCCGCGAGCGGGCGCGAAAGTACTATAGAGCGATTGTTATACTAGGCCCTAGCTACGCAATATCAATAGATGCTTACTATAAATTCGAGCATTAGGGGATACAGATCTACGCAGCTATTAATGTCTACTCGCGTTACATTATCTAGGTCTACGTAGGGATTACTAGCCGTATAGCTGTATCCGTACTCGCTCAATATATTGTAACGATTAAGAACAGTAGTATAATGCTACAGATTATCCGATTAGACCGTAGGGCGGAAACGATTCTAGCCGCGGACGCTCACTATACGACTCGCCTTACGACTCGCCTTGCGACTCGCAGTAACCCGGATCCGGAACCAGAACTAGAACCACTGGCTTTCGAAGACTGCTTTAAATACGGTACGAGCAAGATAAACTAGCGGATCGAGGCATAGTAGCGCTAGCAAGTACCCGCATTGAATAGCTAGAGGGGCTATTTTTACGAGTTGCTGCGCGAGTTACTATACGATGCTGAATTGCTAGCCGATCGGATTGCCTTCCTTACAGTCTATATACTAATTATGCGCTATAAAGTCCTCGAATTTGTTTACCTCTAGAACAGCTATCGGATTAGGAAGCAGGCCAATCGACTATACGTCGTACTAGGTATTCCGTATATTCTACACTATTATCTAGAGCTGAGCGGGCATTCTCATTAAGGTATTCCTGTGCCTAATAGCGTACTTAATAATATAGAGCAAGACCTTCAAGGATTCGGTATATATTAGATTCTATAGTACTCGCTACAGACTCGCTAATAGACTCGCTAATTCCTAGATCTTAAAGCCTACCTACCCGAGGCTACGCTTACTTAGTGTTAGATAGCATTGTAGACTCGCGGCTTCTCGTATCTAGTTAGTAGTAGCGAGAATAATAGCGATAGAGAGCGAGTTTACCGCTAGGTATACTTACTTCTTCGATAGCTAATTGCCGAGCATATAGCTATAGGGTTAGGGCCTAAACTAATAGAGTTGGATAAGCCATTAGCAGCTCGTAATTGGACGTTAGGTAGGGCGAATACCGGGGCTAGATTGATTGAGTTTACAAATGATATATACTAATCTAAAATAAGGGATTTGCGAGCCGGCCGCGAGCCGGCCGCGAGTCGCTTATTTCAGTTCTATTTCCTTCTTAATCTTTTAATTCCTATCTTGTTCTACCTCTATACTACTGCTATAGTTCTACCTCAGTTCTACTACTAACAATGCCTGTCTAGGGTACCTTTTATACTATTACCGGCGCCAACTATACAATACTATTAAAAGTATACGCATTCTGTAACTAATATAGTCTTGAGAACCCTAATCTACTAACCGAGCGATTTATACGCGAGCCGTTAGTAGCAGCCGCAGCTGCTGCCGCTGCTGCTACTGCGAGTTTAACTGCGAGTACGGTACGAGGCTTTAATGCGTTCCCTTCTCTACCTAAGGCGGCGAATACTGTACGCAATGCTGCTATTTAGTAGTATAAGCTAACTTTTCGACTAAATGCTAGATCTCGGAGCCTCTCGCAACGTCTACTAATACCTATACAACTATTAAAGGAGCCAATAAAGGTATTATTTACCTGCCGCTATTCAGTTTTTAGCTAGCGAGTAGAGGTTTCTCGTAGGGGTAGAGTCGACCTATAGGAATATAATCCGCTAGTCCTATAGACTTCTATTACTAATATCTAGTCTAACAAAGACTTCGAAGAAGCCAATATGTTACTTATAGACTAGGTTCTTAGTCGGATTAACGCTAAGGACCTACCGCAAGGTAGCGTCTATTAGGTCGACGACTATGCGGACTACTTCTTCTATACTAATTTCGATAATGAGCGCTTGTTACTAGAGAAAGTCGCTTCTAAAGCACTCGGCCTAGGACTAGTTAAAGAGGCTCTTATACTCTTTAAACCGCAAATAGGAGGGAAAGCAACAAAGCAGCTACCAATCTATTACCTTAAAATCTGTATCTAACAATAGCGGAAGCTATAGCAATAAAGGCAACTAAAGCGGAAGTACCGGCTAAGTACTCCTACTACGAGTAGTAGCGCGAGTACTATAGCGAGTTAGGACGGGGTTATTCTATCTATAGAGATTAAGTAAGAGAAGCTATAGAAGGAGAAGGTAATCGATATAAAAAAGCCGCCTGAGTTTATTAACCTAAGCGGCGAGGACACCGCGAGGCTACCGCGAGTTACGCCTATTCTAAAAGAGTCGAGCGAAGCTAAGGACTAGCAAGATAGCTAGCAAGATAGCTAGCAAGATGGCTAGTAATATAGCTAGCAAGATAGCTAGTAAGATAGCTAGTAATATAGTTAGTAAGATAGCTAGCAAGATAGTTAGAGCGGACAGAAGAGTTAGAAGCTAAAGCGTGCTTAGAAGCTAGTTGATCTATTGTCTATAGAGATACGATCGAAGAAGAAAGGAAATAGAAATGTAGACTCGCAGTAGACTCGTAGTAGACTCGCTATAGAACTCGCTATAGAACTCGCTATAGACTCGCTCCTTAAACATTATCTACTAGTGGCTCGCGATCGCTATTTGGCTATAGCTCCTTCTATATCGTATACACATCCTTAGACTTAATAATGGCCTTATTCTTAAGCTATTTGAACTACGAGAGGTAATATCCTTCTAACTTATCGAACTTAGCTTCTAATACCTTAATCTTTGCCTCTAATGTAGTATTCTTTGCCTCTAATATAGTATTCTTTGCCTCTATAGCCTCGACTCGCGCCTATATCGCGGCTAGCTCGCTATTTCTATCCTCTTCTTCAACCTTAATCTCGCTAGTAGTATAGCTACTCTTGCCCTAATACTTGTAATAAGCGTAGACTCTCTCTCCTTCGATATCTAGTACGCGACACTTATAGCCGTTATCGTAGCGAGTACAGAAGTAATATAGCGATAGTACTAGCTTTCCTTGCTTAGTCTCTATAATAATACCCGCAGCCGAGTATTTACGTAGTCTGTTTAATGCTACCTTCTTCTTTTATAGATTTGCGGTATCGTCGAGGAGGTCTTGCTATATCTGCTCGCTATAGTACTAGAAATCTTTCGTATTTGTAGTCGTAGGACGTCGAAGGCTAGAGCGAGTTAGCAGCGAGTCTATAGCGATACGCCTCTTAGCTTACGATAAATATAGTCCTCCTACTAGTAATATAGGTACTAAATCGGGTGCTAAAGCACCTATAGCAGCTATAAGAATAAGGTCGCGCGAAATACCAGTTATAGCTCGAAACGGTAGTAGTAGTAGTAACGCTACTGTCGCTATCGCTATCGCTGTCGCTATCGCAGTCGCTATCGCTGTCGATAAGGGTACAGGAAGAACAACATAGCGAGTCTAGGCGCGAAGTTATAGCGAGTCTAAGTAAAGTTTGCGATATAGTAAGGAAGGCGCAACAATAGGAAGCGACAATAGACTGAAGTAAAGCCAAACCTCTATTGACAATCTGGTATGTATGGAGCTCCGTCCACCACCACCACCACCGACCGCGGCATCGGGGAGCTTGAGGCAGGAGCTTCCGAAGAACAAGCAGATTAGAAGCACGTCTGTATCCATCCTCTCACTACCACTACCAGCCAAACCCACCTCCTCAGTCTGCTCAATTCTCCGCCTCGAGTTGGGACTGCGATACAACCGCTAGCAACACTCAATCCCGAAGACCCGACTTGATATAGCATTCGACAACGCCGGAAGAAATCGGAGCCGTGTCTACGACTCGAGATCTCACTCCCTCGTTTCTACTACACCAGACAACACGCAATGCAAGCTACACGGATGCTATGGCAGCATCGCCAGCCTATGATCAGATTTCTGGGCAAGCGTCAATTGCCAAAGCGTACGTCCATGCCATTGATGCCACTTGCGGGACGAGCACTAACAACTTACCGCAGAAGTTGACCATTCGCCAAAGCCACATCCTGAATCACCCTCTCACGACCTACCACAATCATTCGCCAAGTACCGAGAACAAGCGATCCAACATGGTCCTCTCAAGGGCGGACAGCCACGACAAGCAGCTCCATCCGGCGGCGCGTCAGGACCGGCACCCATGAACCCGTATGGCTCAATTGGTGGAAAGAGCGCGAAGGAGCTGGGACCAATCAAGCCTGGCAAGGGAGAATTTGCGGACAGAAATGAGCTCCCAGCACGGTTTAGGAGAGTGCCTTGGAGCATGGCCGAGATTGAAGCCATTGAGAGTGGAGGAGCGAGCATGTTGGGATGATTGAGGGCCAGGATCGAACATTGGATGATTGGCTCTTGATATCACAGCATCTCAATGGAGCGCCTTATGGAGGATCTAGATACCAGCGAGCAGAGCGTTACAGCAAGCGAGTTCGCATTGGAGGTTTGGCATAGACCAAACGGACTTACCACCGGCTGAGGGAAGTGCTCCCCACTTGCATTTGTATATATGAGAACTATTGACGTACGGAATGAGAACAGATACACCACTACACAAGGTCGCCTTTCTCGTGGTGTTAGTTCAGGATGAGTAGGGATCAGCAAGATGTTTTCGCAAGTGAATGGTCTTGGAAGTCACGCGAAATCCCGCTCAGACTTATGACCTGGGAAAAACAACTCTCAAGCAAAACTTTCTCTTTTCCGATTAAAGAGAACCCTAAACATCCCATTTCCCGGTAACGAGGTCTTGCCAGCAGATTCGAGTGTAGGATGCTACAAGCCGATCCAGCGACTGCCTTTGCAAGGCCATCAAAACAGCTTCCAATGGCGTAAGTCCGTAGTCCTGCTGGAAGGACTCGAGGCTGACTTGCGCAAATCAGTGACCTCTATAGTGCCACTCTGGTGTCGGTTCAAGTTGACCGCAGTTCCTCTGCTCGCCGTTCTGACACGAAGAAGACCATGTCATCTCCCATGACTGAAGAGTTCAAGATCCCGCGAGGAAAGTGGCACCACGCCTGAGAGTCTCGAGTCCTATGCTAATGGCATTCTAAGACTGATCTGCGCGTATTCCAAGTACTTCGACAGTCTCTTCCGCAAGCAATTTGCCGAGAGCAAGAGTCTCCACTCCCAGCTATCAGACGTGGAGCCATGGGTGTTCCGCTGCTTCCTGGGCTGGCTGTACACCGGTGCCATCTACTACGACTTCGACGCCGCGGCCCCACCGCCACCTCGGCGACATAATGAGCCAACTACGAATGAGACCGAGGACGATGAGGATGGCGATGAAGATCTTGGTGGAAATCCGGTCACTTGGCCTTTCCGAGACCTCTTCGAGCTCTACGTGTTTGGCGACTACGACGCCATAGAATTTCGCATGTCTGTCATGGACTTGATCCAGGCAAAAGCATTGCAAACAGCGCCGACGCAGGACAATTTCCCCAGCATCAGGGATATCAAGTGCATCACTAGCCATGTCCCGTCAACTTCAGAGTTACTGCGGTTCCTCGCAGACGCCTGGCAGACCATGGCGATGTCATCAAGTTCTCCTTCTAATGAGGTGAATGATGATGATGAAGTGGTCTTTGAGATGCAAGAGGACATGGAACGCTTTCCAAAACCCTTTCTTGTGCTGTGTGCGAAGGCTGCTGTACGCAATGCACTGGCACTAGCGTGCGTCAGCTGCGGAGTTGAGAGCGATGTTGTGCGGTCTACAGCCGAAGAGGGAGCACCGAAATGCAATACGAAGGGTCACAGCTTCGAAGATCGCTTGGACTGGGACGATAAGGATCGCTGCGTCTATCATGAGCATGGTAATGACGAGCGGGAGAAGGCGCAGTGCCAGGAGCGATGGGCGAAGATCGCTTGGAGGCTTGAGGTGGATTGAAGACATACTCTGTGAGCTATCTTGCCTGCGAGCCTTGCGCTAGCTGTTCTCTGCGTGAGTGGCGCTAGCGTGCCTGACTTTGTTGCGAACATGTGAGCGCAAAAGCCGTTGTCAAACGCGGAAGTCAACCTCCCACATCACACGTCCGCCACGGCGCACTCGGCGCATCACATCACACAACTCTTGCAAGATCCAAGTTCCAACCAAATACCTTTCAGCGTCATCATGGCGACGCGCGCGCACGGCAGGTTATCCGTCAAGTAAGCTCTGACCTACTCAACTTCGGTCGCCGATACTGACAAGCTTCAGGAATCTCTACGTCCCCGAAACTGTTCACATCATTGTCGGACCCAAGAAGCGAACATTTGTTGTTCCGCGCGGCCTCATATGCGACAGATCCGACTACTTCAACAAGGCCTTCCAGCAACACTTCGAAGAGGGTCAGCAAGGAGCTATCACTCTGGTCGATGTTGAAGAATGGGTCTTCGAATGTTTTGTGGGATGGCTGTATACTGAGCGCATTTTCTGAGAGCCTCTCGATGAGTCTGTCGACCCCGAGGGACCTACACCGCGGACCAAGCCGGATAAATGCGAAGATCAGGACTTCGACGAAAACGATCGTCAAGATCCTGTGACATGGTCCTACTCCGACCTCATTGAGCTATTCATCTTCGCAGACCAATACGACACTCGGCTTTTTCGCAATGTGGTCATCAAGCATTTCCAGATCAAGATGCTGCAGTCCGAGCCCAAGGAATACAGCTTCTTCTCTATGCGCGAAGCCCAAGTCATCTTCGGGTGTTCACCAGACTCTTCAACGCTTTACCAATTTGCGCTCGACATGCTTGTATTCCGCGATGTTCCAGGTCCTTTGACGCCCAAGTCGGTATCTAACTATGCAAAGCTACCTGCGGCAGCCTTGGCTGCCATGACGATCAAGGCAATCCAGCTTAGACAGAGAAAGGATTGCATTGATTGTCACGAGCGCAGGTCCTGCGTTAAGAACAACCATCCAGATGTGGCACATTGTGAGCCTGATTTCTCTTTCGATATTTGTATCTGTCATGAACACGAAACGGAGCAGGAGAAGCAGTCATGTCGGCAGGAGTGGAAATGGCTGGATGAGGAGCACGGAATGGGCTTGATCTTCCCGGATTAGACGTGATTCCCTAGAGCAGGGGCACATCAGAGGCATTAAGATAGCAGTGATCACTGCAATCCTATGCCACCATGATACCTTCTACACTGCGTTCAATGCATAGTGGTATCCGGCTGAGAGGAAATCATTGCAAATTTTTCTCCGGCCTAATCAGCTTCTAGCGGTTGGCACATTCCTACTCCACTGCCCTCGACTGCACTGAGCCATACCGACCGTTTGTATCGTGTCGGAAGACGGCCTTGGCCGCAGCCGTACAGGCATGTTGATCCTTTCCGAGACCCTGGCCCTGGCCCTGGCCGCCAGGCCGCGCAGAAGGGAGATCAGCCTCCCGCTTACATTTGTTAACTGTTCCTGAACATCACTCATTGACATCTTCTCATTACAGTATTATTTTCTATAGCCATGGATTACGAATATCATGGAGCGTTACGAGACATCTCTAATGAGCATATGCCAATGCCGTCCACCTCCAGACCGGACATGGAGCAATGGATATACTTGGATATGGATCTCACGATCCCCGACGCAATGACAATCGACCCAAAGGATTTGGCGATATCGAATGAAAACGACATAGCCACTCAAGGCTCATTTGCTGACGGTGCAATGCCCCTCGATGATCAAGCGATCCCTCCAAGCGGTCAGCTTCACGACCCATCGCCCGAGCAGCCTGCAACATCATCATCCCTCGAGACCAAGGCGACAGCTTCTGTGGATCAACTACAGGCTCAGATCAATCAGCTTCGAGAAATGGTAGCCCAACTGGCAGAGGAGAAGCAAAGCCGCCAGCCTGTTCAGTCTCGGAAGCAGAGCCTAGACTCAGCGAGAGCAGACTCCATTTTTGGTAAAGGAGGTCTCCAGAGCACGAGTCACACGACACCAAATGCTAGCGATACCACTGAAATACATGAGCCTTCTCGCAATGTCGACGTCGAAACACATGCCGAAGACTCTCAGATATACTCGAGAAGAGGATCTGACAGCTCTGTTCCGAGCAAGCGCGGGTGAGTGTATCGAAAACTGCAAGGCGCGAATCAGTCCATTTAATCCACACTCATAAGGAAAATGCCACTGTATTTAAGAGACTCGCTAACCGCGTGCTTCCGCTTCTAGTCAACGCATTCCAGGAGGATATCCTTGTGCAAAATGCGAGCTTGCGTTCGACATACCCAGCCAGCTGAAGCATCATGAACGGAAGCATATGGCGAAGGAATCCAGGCCGTGGCCTTGCTCTCAGTGCGGCGAGAAGTTTTTGTTTCCCAAAGACCTGGCAAGGCATAAGGAACGGATTCACGGCATCACCAATACTGTATCTCAAAGCAATGCCTCTTCAGCCTCCATCAATCTAGACGACGATGACACCCGGAGTTCTGTTAGTATCTCAAATCAGGACATGGATGAAACAAGGCTGACATTGTCACAGTCTACGGAAGAACATTATTACTCTAAACAGAACTGGCAGTCTCGAGTCTCTACAGTCCGCCGACACGAAAGTCTGTGGCAGCAACGAGACTCTAGGAGCGGCATTACCAAACGTAAACATTCGTCTACCATGCTCGCGAGCAATCATCACCTAGGAAATGACGTTTTGAATGCCACGATACCTGAAACTGAAGCTATCAACACCACATCAACATCACACGTCGACGCAATCCGAGGGCTTCAGATACAGATTGATCTCCAACAGCAGACCATCGACAAGCTCGAAGTGAAACTGGCCAGGGCCGAACAACAAGCAGAAGCATGGCTCGAAGAGCGCAACGCATTCGCCAAAGTTCTTCAACGCACAGGAGGATCAGTAGCTCCACGGCCCGGATTATTCTTTGAGCAGAAGAACAAGCGATTACCATCACTAGCAGAGCGAGCAAAAGGCTGGTTGGGCGCGATAGACAAGATGCTCTCGACCAACTCCACCGGCAGACGTTCTGCTGAGGATGCACAAACCGGGAAAGCTCTGGAGCATATTTCATCAGCTTTGGATCGACTTGATCTTAGAGATGGTCATATTTATTAAGATTTCAGAAATGAACCCCCCCCCCCCCCCCAATGACCATTTCTCAGGCCGATTAGTTTTCATATGCAGCACACACTGCCATGCTTCAATGCTGTCAGAAAGTCTCCACACCCCGAAAGCGATACCACATATAAACCAGCCCAGGAGTAAAATAACATCACCACCACCCACAACCGCCATCCCCATCTCTCGGACTCCCATTCCTCACATACCCAAAATTTTTCTCCTCCGCCTCCCAAACATCCCGTCCTCCGCACCGCATTCTCCTAAGAAACCTTCAAAATCCGTAACCCACCCCAAGAAATTGAAACTCCTAATCAACCCACGGCGTAGTTATCCCCCAGCGCCAAAGAATCTTGTGCACCACTCTCAAAACGTTGAAAAGGCCTTCGTTAGTCGCAAATCGAATTCGTCCGAACCATGCATGTAACATGTTCCATTCCACGTCATCTTCATTATCACACATCCCACACCTAAAGTCTTAGGCGGAGAAACTCGTGGTGTTAGTTGGGTACTAGCTATAACAAATTCCAACTGCGCCGCATTACCAAGGTGGTAGGTAGGATAAGGATCTACCAGATCAGAAATTCTCCGTCTTCTTGACCTTGCGGAGGAGACGATTCCGACATACGACACAGAAAGTATACATAAAACCGCTCAAGATCAATAAGAAACATGTCCAACACATTCCCATTCTGCACCTACTCTGCCCTACCCTACCCTATTCACTTCAGCTAAATACCCTTCTCGCCTTAGCCTTAGCTAGCAAGCTACTAGATTAGAAAAAACCCCCCCATAATATCTATTAAAGATAATGATGAAAAATTGCCAGCCAGCAAGTATGCAGTACCTTAGTGTCATGGGTATCAATCAGATGTGCTCCAAGAGTGAGTGAGTCTTTGCCTGTAAAATTTAAGCAGCCTCGCCTCGCCTCGCCTCGCCAAAACCAAGCAAAACCCCAAGACTTCAAAAAAAAGAACACCTTCCTTCCTTCCCGAAAGATTCCCAAGCGGATGATGATGCTGAAAGTGACCCCCCAAAAAAATTAATCCGCGGTCCATGCCGCATGAACGCTGCAGTGTGTAAATCAGATCCCCCAGAGCGCCGTCGCTAATCAATTTATGCAGTAATCCAGCTGCCAGTATTTCCCGCTCCAGGATATCAAAGTAGTAGTTGGCAGATATGTACAGGTTGTGGAAGGAAATGGGGGGAGGCCTTGGTTCAGATGGCCTGTGTAGAGAGGTATGCTCCATATGTAGCCGGAGCTGGCTGTTGAGTTTTGCTCAGGCAACGCATTATGCGGGTTGCCTTCGCTGTTGTGAAGTCTCGGGTGCATCGTCGCCCGTCTGCTCTGCTTCGCCGTCCTTCTTCGATTGCTGACTTGGTCCGGACGACGATTCTGGCGCCGACATTTGGCTGGGCACGTCTGTCACGGTGACGCTCACGGGTAGCCATTTGCGGCCAGGGGCGTAGATGGCCGTCGCTACGGGCACCGTCGGGCTTCCTTGTGCAGACGTGACCATTGTGCCCTCACTTCCGCTTTCAGATGCAGAGTCATCATCAGATTTCAGAGGATTGTTGGCAAGGTAGACCAGCTCCGACCAGACTTGCCAGTGAAGTGCGATGATGTGGGTGAAGCGGCGGATGATATCTTCGTCTGCATCCGCTGGTGTGACAGGCGCGGATGGCACAGGCTCCATGACCGCACCAAAACCCATCGAGGTGCGATTTGTGGAAGTGACTTGCGGCACAAGCATGTCTTGAAGGTCAAGCGCCGACATCCGCACATGTTCGGCTACGCGCGCTTGAACTTTGGGGACCAAGTTTCGTGTCAGGACAGCAGCATGTCTGGTGAATGATTCAGAATCGGGTTGGAGGTATTCGGCAAGCTTCTGCTCCACGACGTTGAGGAGTTCGACATCGAATAGTGGGTTCTGCCCGCGCGCCACAAGTGACACGCGAACAATTTCAACAGCGATGTTGTCGAAGCGGTCGGCAAAACGTCCTTGCACACCGACGATGGCCGAGATGGAGCTTTGAAGCATATCGCACGCCTTTGCGAAGTCTACTGCGCTCATCCCAGGAGGTGTTATCTCCTTCAGTACGTCGCGGCACACGTACTGATACACGCGGCTGTGCAGTTCCACTCTCAGTGCGCGCAGGCGATCAGTATCCAGGTAGAAGGTCTGCGGACACATGTGCGCCAAATCGTTGTTGAGCATGTCCCGGATGAGACCGAAGGTGAGAGCATCGAGGTGGGAATCTTGATCAGGCAGGCACTCTTGCAGCCAATCTCGAGATTCAGGCATGTTGATCTTACCAATCGCTATTCGGTGCATGTTGTATCGCCGTTGAAAGTTGATCGTGTCATCGATCAAAAGAGGTCGCATGTGTCTTATCTGATGGTTCGCGACGTCCAGCTTCATGGCCTCGAGGATGTTCATGAGCTGCCTCAACCCCGACACAAGCTTCTCGTGCTTGCCTTCTGTGGCGCCTCGTCGGATCTCCTTTTGCATGGAATCTACCAGCATATCCCGCATGGGCGCACAGTGATTTTTCAGGACCTTTGCTAGCCAATTTCCGAGGTCGACAAGGTCACACACTCCGTTCTGAATCTGTTGCATGATGTGATCGACTTCTAATCGCTCCAAAACAGCCTTTTGGTCATAGTCTGGAACCAGTGTTTTGAGGATGTCCCGGATCGCATGAAAGATCTTGGGCAATCTCACCATGCAGCCTCTCATGCATCTGTTCCAGTAGTCCTCGTTGTCCGCGCTCGTTGCCCGTCGTGTTGCGACGAAGTTGAGCATGACCAACTCGGCCTCAAGTGCTCGCCAATACTGATCTGCTTGCAACATCTTCTGCCTGCCTTTTGATCCATCCAAGTTCGGTCGGAAGTGTAGTTCGCGGTCAAAGTTGACATCATGCCGTAGCTTGGGGTTGTTTATAATTCGAGGCATGTCGAGCTCAGCTAAGCTTTCGGGTGTGATTGGAGGTCTTTGGTCGGCGTTTTCGAAACACCACGAAGCATGGTGCTGACCACCGGGGTCCATTTCCTCGTGGATGTATGCGCAAATGTCCAGGAAGATCTCGTCGTCGGTCGGGTTTGAAGTATCAGGATTGTCTGATTCAAAGTCCATCGGCGAGGGAGGTATTTGTTCGAACTCAGGTTGTGGAGTTGGTGCTTGACCGGGAGAGTAGGCAATGCCATGTGTCTCAGACGTTTGTTGTTGTGCATCTTGCGCCTCTGTCACCTGCGCCTGCTGCGGTTCCTTTCTTGCCGATGCTACGCTTTTGTCTCCGGTGTAAACCGATTTCCTACGCGCGTGAGTCGGGCTTGAGAGCGGGACCTCTGGTTGCCGGCACTCGTGATTCGACTCTCGTGGATTATGCATGATGGCTGGGGTGGGGCGGGCCCAGCCTGCAGATGGTGCTCTGGTCTTTATGTGCTCTCTTCGATGTTCGGAAGGTTAATTATTAAGGTTGTGCTACGGTGTATGGTGCATCGAGCGGTATATATGCCCCCGGAAAGTGGCTCAGATAGAGAGCAGACAAGGTCGGAGTGCGGACGCTGTGGATTCCACAGTCGATGGCAGAAACCTGATATGGGCGAGTCAGCGCTGTACAGACGAGGCAGCACACAAAGGCCACAAATACAGATACAGCGGCTGCTTGCATTCACGACAGCTGCTGTCCAACCCGACAACCGGCCCGTCGATGTGCTGGCGGACGGCGGGGAGTGTGGATGGTATGGCACGATGGCTTACCTGCAATGCTCGCGGTGCAGTGGTGTCTGCGGGAGGTGGTGCCAGTGGTAGCCGTCGCGCAGGAGTGTGTTTCGGGGGAGCAGTGTGAAAGCGGAGGGGAGGTATGGAGTGATCGTATGACGGGAACGGACTATGGCATTGCGGACGACAAAGGAAACGAAGCAGAGAAGGGTGGCACTACGAGGAGCGAGTGCAACGAAGAGGGTAAGGAGCGAATCAATAATAAGAAATGGAAGCAGAAGCGGCCGTGGAGGGTGGTAAGGATGGGGCAGTGGCTGCTCTGCGGGTGACGGCGTCGGCGTCGCAGGAGGGCCAGGCCAGGCAAGGCAAGGTACAGGCTGGCTGGGTAATAGAACTAATGAGAGAAGAAAGCGTGAAAGAGAGTCGTGGAATAAGTTAATGCGCGGGAGTAGGTTAACGTTAGAATAGCGGGATATTGACGTGCAGCAGCAGCAGCATGCATGCAGTCTATGCGCGGTCAGAAGCAAGGCAGTGTGCAGAGAATGATGATGAATTCCACCTTCCCATGTATTAGAACTAAGTTAGGGGAAAGGGGGCCTGCACGGTGGAACATGGTTCTTGTTGCTCACTAGCACGGCGAATCTGATGAGAGTAGTAGTGAGACCAGACGACGCATCCAGGGGTCCGCTCTCTGAAGCCTCGGAAGCTACCAGTGCAGAGCATCATCTACTGTATTCGATGCTGCATATTGTATGCTGCGTGCACGCTAGAAACATATTCTACATACATGCCGACCAACGACGTCTAGGCATGAGTGAGGCGAATCGTCATCGGCACGCAGCGCAGCGCAGCGCAGCATGATGATGATAATAACAACAATACCAATTAGTGTGCATACATGCAGCAGACTGCAGATGTCGAAGCCACCCGCCGTGCTCTAGCCGAATATCATCAACGCTTGTCCCGCCCACCAGCAGACCATCCCAAGTTCTGTGCTCCTCGCTCTTCTCTTCGCAGTCTTCCCACTGTCCACTGTCCAGTCCAACAGCCTGTGCGTCTTACCGTCTTCAACCATCCACAAGAATCCTGCTGCGGCCCGACCAAGGTATATGCGTGCAGCGATAGTGGTCTGACGGGTGTTGGAGTGCCTTGCCAGAGTCATCGGTCTCTGCTACTGCTGCAAGGACTCTCCCTCGACCGCGCCTCAGACATGGTGCACGGTGGAGGCGGGAGTTGCTCCCGCTTCGAGGTACGGCGGCATACATTACATGTACCTGCAGCGCAATGCGTGCGTGCGTGCGTGCGTGCGTGCGTGCTCCGCCACCATTGCTGCGATGGATGATGTTGTCTTGTCACATCACGCGTCCATGGCACATGTTGCTGGCCGTAGCGGAGGCCAGCGGATATGTTGGCCAAGAATCTGGTGTCGTACTGTATATAGAATTAGCGGGACCATGCCAGCCAAGCAAACAAAGCACTCCCGAACAGCTTTGGCTCGCACGCGCAATATGATAGTTATGTTGGTGATGTCGGCCGTGTTGCCATGTTGCAGACGTCCGTTGGCCACCGATCACCACGGCGACCCAACCATCCAAAACTCTATGTCTGCCTTGCCGGCAACGCCGATCCCAGGCTAGACAGCCTCGCGCGCGTCGCTCAGGCTCTCACTGAGATGATTTGCACTGATTCGACTGCATGTCGTCTTCAAGCATGGCGATACTGCACGCACTCCGATGCTCCACCCGCCGAAAGCCCAATCGGCACAGTCATGCAGATGGAAGATTGCATTCGCCAACCGTGAGTAGGTGGCTGCGATGCTTGCAGGGATGTTCGATTGACTGAGCTGTATGGCACGACGACGAGCACGCAGTGGTCCGTCTCACCACAGTTATTGTAGAACAGCAAACCCGATCCTTCGGGCGGGAAATGCTTCTTCGACCATCTGTCAATGTCGCAAGTGGTTGTCACGAAGCTTAGCGGCATCATCACACTTTGCCTGCTCCCGTTCATCTACAAGATGTTTGAGACAGCGTTTCAATCCGACGCGAAACATCAGAACCATTGCCATCCAATGCCATGCCGTGTCAAGGAAGAAAATCGCATGCCTTTCCCTGATCGCGGCCTTACAGCTGCTAGAAGCATGCGCAGTGTGAACAAGACCAAAGGACATCCAATCGCCTTACATGCCGAGACTTGCTATGAAGCTCTCGATGATCCTCATAAAGTCAGCCTGAACCTCTACCATTAGCCTGTGCTCAAACATTCCTGCAATATGCAGCGCCTCAGCAATCTCGCAGGCCCCCTCACACCCCTCCTCTGATCTCACTGCGAAACGTACTTCACAGGCGTAAATGCGCCAGCACACTCCTACAGCTCAGCCAGCCGGTCTGGAGCGATGCGTTTGCTTGAACTATCATTCCAAGGTAGCTAGCGATGGCCTTTTAGATGGCACCTTGGAAAACGGCGCCCTGACAAGAGATCATGCCATTCCTCATCCTACCGACTCAGAACATACCCGCCCCACCATTAACATGAATAGTATGACCATTAATCCACCTCGCGCCTCCAGGTCCAGCCAAGTAAGCAACAACATCAGCCACTTCCTCCGGCGTCCCCATCCTCGTCTCAGCAGTCGCATCCTCTTCAATCATCCTCCTCAAATCCCCCGGCATCTTCATCATACTATCCGTATACCTCCCACCCGGCGCCACAACATTCATCGTAATCAACTTCTCCTTCGCATAAGCCGCGGCCAAAGTCCTAGTCAAATGCTCCAAAGCTGCTTTCGAAGTACTATCCAGAACGAGTCCCCCGCCGATAAGAGGACCGCTCCCTCCCACTACTCGAGCTGCCGTTGAAGAGATATTGGAAATGCTTCCACCTTTTGCAATCACGGGAAAGATGGATTGCGTCAAGAGGTACGTAGCCTAAACATTCCAGTCATAGAAGTCATGAAAGTCTTTCGGCGTGATCGGATTCTAGAATACGGCATTAGAGCAACGATGAGAAATCCAACAGTGACTGCTCTTCCACGAATCTGACCCGGCCTCGCCAACCTACGAGAAGACCAACACCAAGACGCCGACCAGAGACGTTGGGTCAATCCGTCCTCAGCAGTCGACCACCAGAATGATGCCGCAAACGAGCACTGTTCTCATCAGTCACTCGTCCTCCAGGAGGGACAGATGTCGATCCATTGAGCTGAAAGCATCATCACCGCCGTAAGAAAAACCCGCCGAATGATCGCATCTCCAGACTCGCAGTCCGAGCACCGCATATCTCCTCAGTCCAGCAGTAGGAAGATAGAAAAGTGCACCTTCTTCCTTCACTCCTTCCGCAGCCTCTTAAGTCCCAATTTCCTAAAACACTCCCACTCCCCATCCTCCCTTCGAAATTTCTACCACTCCTCCCAAATCACACGCAAACAACCCATCCCTTCCAGATCCAACCACAATCCCACACCCACCTTCTTCCAAGTTCCACATACACAATACCACCTTCCAAACCCCCCCCCCCCCCCCCCTCACTATATATCAATACTCCATAAACTTCTCATCTCAAGCTCGATATTACAAGCCACAGGAGTATCTATACTCTTCTTCCCGTTTTATACCTTGGAAATTCTTTTCTCAAAACGCGAAAACCACACCCCCCCCCCCCCTTGTTTCAGCGAGGAAATCCAAAATTTTGAGACGGCTCACGGCAGGATGAATGAATGAGGAGGGAGGGGTCGCTTTGGAGGATTGCGTCTATGAAGATGGATTGGAGTTGTGGTTGGGAGTTGGGGATTTGGCCGAGAGGAAAGGGTGGATAATGGATGGATGTGATGATTCTGCTTCTAGAATTCAATGGGGTGTTGGAAGGGATGCTGCCGTTCCCATTCTCTTCCAAAAGCGCTCAGATTACGGTGGGAAGGTCTGAGTCTGCGACAATGAGATATGTAGGAGACAGGTCCTGTATTTAATAGAAAAGAAAGGAAAAAGATGGCCGTGGTTCGTGTACTTAAACAGTAGGAGCTCACTTTCCACCACCTCATCAATGCCAACAGTACAAGTAAGTCAGCACTATACCAATGTAAGAAGAGATGCTCAAGCCCACCTGGGGACTGTATTTTCACCCTAAAATTTCAAGGATCTATACCTACCAGAGAGATATGTACAATTAGATATCAGCACCACCTGGAAATGCAAGTACTGCCTGAACTTCTTCTGCATGCACAGATTCTATACCCTCTCAACGCCTGCCTTTTTGCCATGCCCTGCCATTACGAAAATGTATCATTCTTCTGCCGCTAGTGTCTGCCTCATCAGCGGAGTTCCGCTTTTGCTCGCCCATCGCTTGAAAACGGGCGATGTGATTGAATCTGACGTCTCAAACATTCAACAGCCTCTTCAAACACATCATCAGCTTCCTCTTCATGCTCCTCCAACCAAGATCCTGGCATGCTGCTCCTACCATGGCACCCATACTATGAGTGCGGCAACTTGTCAATAATCCTCTCCTCACTAGGAGTCTCCACAAGTCTTTGCCTGCCTCTGCTACTTTCAGCCTCATCATCAATGGGACTTCGATCTGGACTATCAGTAGGACTCTGTGCTCTCGAGTCGCTCAAGTTTCTCCTCTTGCTGCCTTCCATCCAGCCCTTCACACCACCAATAAGACCCATCGCATATCCTGCCGCGAAATCCAAATTCGAGCCACGACCTTTGCTCGGCGTGCTGCTGCGTGTAGCATCTCTCAGCAGGCGATCGCTCGGGAGAGGGGATGGCGCAGGACTGTCTCTACCACCTGCAGACAAGCCATTCCTAAGTGAGCCAGCTGCAGAAGGTGCAGGACTGCTAGGTCTGCTAGGCTGCCAGAATTGTCGCAACTCCTTGCTGAGCTCCTGTCCCGTCGTTGTCCAATTGTTGCGGACGGTATCCCTCAACTCCGAGACGTGGCGTTTGATGTCCAATTCGTTCTTCTTGAGCCAGGAAATGTTCAATTCTTGTCTGCGCGTGCCTCTCTTCAATTGTCTTGCAACATACTGCTCGTAATCTCTCACAATCTTGGTGATGATGCCTGTCGTCGAGACGCCTTCTGTCCGTTGTGTGACCAAGAACATTCCCTTCTCCTTGATCGGTTTGTACACATCGTCGCCCTCGGCCGCGGCATATGGAAGATCATCGTGCGCAACAAAATCGATCTTATGCTTCTCCAGGAAATCCAGATCAATCACCCAAGGACAATCCTCAATGACCTCGTCAACCCAACGACAGTGTCTGACACTCTCTGCTCTTTCCGCAGCGCTCATCACAGTCAGGCCCTTCCTCTTGTGCGTTTCGGTATCACCTGTCACACCAACAATGAGGTAGGTATCGGGAAAGGCCGTCTTGGCTTGCTGCAGTACTCGCGCATGCCCCAGATGAAACATGTCAAACACACCATCGGCGTACACTCGCACAGGACGATCCTTGGGCGGTGGGTTTGTCTTGTAACCACCAGCAGGATCAACGAGACCAGCTTTGGGCGGGGCTGCCATTCGCATTGTGCCTGCCTCTCCATGCTCGCCCTGGCCATCTGCAGCGCCGTTCGCAGGCATAGATACTCTGTTTCCCGTGGAAATGGTGATCTGGGGCTTTTCTTGTTCTGTCGCTGCATTGGCCTTCTTACTGCCATTGGTCGCAGAACTGCTGGCTCTTGTGCGCTTCGATGGAGGATCCATACTGTTCGCATCTTTGCTTGTTATTGCCTCATCGTCGCCATTGACATCTCTGGAGGCAGACTGCACGGCCGGCGCGGTTTCCGACATGGGGGCGTTTTTCGCGGACGAGGTCGCTCTTTTGCGTTTAGGAGGCATTGTGATGAATGGATGCGTGATGATCCAGAGGCAGGCGCGTGTCGGTGTAATGTGAGCTGGCAGGCGCGTCTTGCTTTCTCAAAATCTATCAAGACGTTGATCAAGAGGAATCTTGAAATTATAGGAGGACAGGCCAGGTCAGAGCTTCCGTTCCCATGCACGTTCCACAATCACGCTGTCACGCAACGGGCCTCGGGAGTGGAGGATGGAGCCTCCGATGCTTCTTTGTGCTTCCGAAATAAAAGAACAACGAAGCTGATATTATGTACGAGTCAAGTCTACATCCCCTTAACGAAGTCCGTGGTTAAGCTATCAAAATCAAGAAAATCATCGTGCATGCAGGCTTTTCCAGCTGAACAGCATGTGAACTTACAGTTATGCGTACCTACGTCACAAGCAATATACGCTTCGCCTTTGCCACACTCTGCCACAGTTCCATTTATCACGACAGCACCAAGCTCTCGCCTCTTGCCATTGATCAAGCGATTGGTCGGCGTCGCGAGCTTGCACATGTGGCGCAAAGTGACATTGAGATCAGGAATGGTGGGAAAATGTTCGGTCCGAGCAAGCTGCTCGCCCAAGACGCTGTGCTACGCATCATACAAGACACATTTGTGCGCCGCGCGGAACGGATCATGCAAGTAAGATTTCCATCGTCTGTCTAATGCCACCCTGCCGCGTCCTGTTCGTTGTAGAGAGATCATCCGCTCCCGGGCAGCCATGCTCCGATGTAAAGGCTCGGGTAAACAGCAAGCCGGAGACGTATGTCGTTTGGAAAGAGGTTAAAGGTAGAAGTCTGTGCATCGTCAAAAGGTGTCGTCGTCCGTAAGTAGCTGCTCTTGGTCTCGTCGCAAAGTGGGTATCAATTCCAGAAGATTGACTGCAAAAGAGCTCCTCACTTCGTCTCCTCTTTGCTCTTCTCACCGGCCTCAGTGTCAGTGGGTGTGGTGGTCTTCGGGGCCGCAGTCGACGTGAGCCGCTGTTTGCTCTCCTCAGCTTTATTCGACAGATCAGTTCCCGTCGCGGTGGCTGTTGGCGCAGGCGTTTCCTCTCGCGAATTTCTGTCTTCTGCTCCATTCGGCTTCGGATCGCTTCGCAGCTGCTCTTCGTCCTGCTCCTCGGAAGAGACATCCTCGACGTCTTGAACACGGTCATCCATGTCAATGTCACCGTCTTCGTCAGAATGGCCTGTCAGAATCTCAGTACCGTCACCGAGAAGAATGATACGGCCACCCCGACCTAGCATGCGTGTCCGCTGATCCATATCCATATCATAGTCATCCGGTGAATCGTCGAAGCGGTGATGCATTCCCGGACCGCGGAACTCAGCTGTGACATTATTAGCTTTGCTCTTCGCTTCATATCCTGCAAGCTTATGCCGAGAGGATGCAACGCATACACGGTGTGCAGCCATCACAAGCTCTAGCGAAGTCAAGTGTGAGAAAGGAGAGGGTCAAGACTTGCCGTACTCAGGTGGCGCGCAAGGACCATCTCCGTTCGCAACTCGCTCGCCAATCATCTTGTACCACTCCTCCTTGGTCTTGTCTCGAAGAAGTCCAACAATGATCATGGTCATGTTGTCACAACCAACTCCGCCAGTCTCGCTGTTAGATGCTAGGCAGTTGTCCATCATGTTCTCACAAATAGCGTGCAGCTCTTGCTTTGCGGCAATTCCTCTTCGGACAAATTCGACGACGGCTTGTGATGATTGGCAGTCCCAGATACCTGTTCATTATCAGCCTCGACGCTCTCGTGACATCTGTAGGATGGTCTTGCTCACCATCGCAAGCAATGACGAGAAATTCGTCGTCATCGCCAATCTCATGCACGGTCACATCCGGGTATGCAGTAACAATTTGCTGCTCCGGAGGCAGGTCCGCACTCTTCTTGAACTCAAAGTCTCCAATGGCTCTGCTGAGCGCGAGGTTGCCGTTCACACGGCCGAAATCGACGAAGCCGCCTGCTGCGCATATACGTGCCTTCTCGCCCTCATTCTGAGGCTTGTGGTCAAAGGACAAAGGTTTCGCACGTCCTTTGATGCCGAGAACGGATCTCGAGTCTCCAGCATTGCCCTGTGCTGATCAGCGCTCTGCACTTGACAAGTCGATGCGCAAGTCAAGTCATACCACATAAATCTTGTCCTTGGTAGCAATAGCCACTGAAGCTGTACATCCCGATACCTCCTCTTCATATCTGGGATCTGGAGAGCGTATTTGTCAGCGATCAGGTTACTAGCCAGAAAGCTGCAATGTATGCGCAACAACCTACCACTGAGGATGGCACGATCGATAGCCAAAAAGCCGTCTTTGAGCGCTTGTTCGAAGTCCTTGTTCTTGAATGACTCTTGCTTCGCGACGATGTTGTGCAGATGCTCGCCGGTATATAATGCCACCTTGTCGCCTCCATGGCCATCGTAGACACCGAAGAAGGACACTCGGACGTCTGCTGCGGCAGGTTTGAGCTCCTCGTCGCCTTCGAGCGCTTGTAGATCGAGTACTGCCGCATGCGCGTCCTCCATGCTTATTCTCCATCCTTGCATGGCGCTGACGCCAAATACGACTCGGTCATCTTGACCTTCGTCTGATTTCTGCGCAAATGGTGTGGTCAGTCGCGTTTAGAGACTCGAGAGCCTTTCCAATGGAGCATCACAGTCACATAGCACTGGGCAGATGGGAGTCATCGCGTCACGTTCAAAATTGGAGGAGTAATTGCCGGCTGCCGTTGCCAACGACGAGGAGGAGTGCATAGCATACCTTGTCCACTACGGGCTCTGACAACGTCTGACCCATGCTTCCTTCTGCTCTCCGGCGCTGCGAGCAGTCTGAATGTGTGCAATAGCGAAATTTCGATCAGGGCGGTAGGAGGAAGTGGGGTTGTTTGGACGAGGTTGGCAGTCGCGTGACGGTGTATTATCGAGTTTGAGTCGGCGCACCGTCAGGATTGCACATATAGGTAGGGGAACAAGCGATGTTCGTGCGGGCTAGATTGTGGTGAGAGCAGAGCCGTCGCCAGTGTCTCGAGAATTAGCGCGAGGTGTGATGTTGTTCGAGTGGAGCCCCCGGTAGCGTGGAAGGAACTGTGACGTTCAAAACTTCAAGCTAGCCAAGTCGAATTTGCCTTCAAACTTTCCGTGGCAAAGCTCACGCAAAATCCTCACCTCGCTGCCTGCGTGAGTATCGTCAAGGCAAAGCTATTCTCAATGCGATCACGCCTCTGTTATCATAATGCGGTCGCGCCCAGAACCGGCATCTATCCGACAGACAAAGGACATGCTCGGCATGCGTGCCTGGCCAACCGCCGGGTAAAGAAGAGCCGCCGGCAAGCTCCAGCATGCATACATATATTATTATAGCAATCTTTCAGCGCAATTACATATCATTGATGTATTTCGTCTAGGGCTATACAAGTCAGCCAACAGACCCTTCATGACGTGTCTGACAGCATCAACGACGTCTTCCAGTGCATCCATACTAACAATACCGCCATCAACCTGTATGCCGGCGTGGTTTGATAAGACAATGCCATCGTATCTGACCTCGATGCACATCTTTGCGTCTCGTACGTTTTGAATCCACTTGATCGCAAACGGCTTCCCGCCAGACAGCTCCTTCCAGGTCTTGATCAGCCAAGGCATCTTCTCCCAACTCCATGCACGTCCATGCCAGACATGATCGATTCATTTCGCGCCTGCCTGCCCGCCTCCTTCAATCTCTTCTGCAGAACTGGTCTGTAAGCCCAAGGTCTGCTCCAAGCCTATGGTAGAACACGTAGTTGCTAGTATTCACATCATCATGTATCCACTAAGCCGCCACGTGTCGACTGTGAGAATGCAAGCAGTAAAACCCGGATTCCCCGTTGAAAAGGTAAGCTCATCATCGTGTGGCATATGAAGCTGGAAGAATCGTGGTCCTTCTCCATTCCCCTCAGCCACATCCTCACTCGAACTGCTCCCCGCGATACTCAAACAGTGGGGCAGGTTCAACTCCTTTGCAACCTTTGCTACAGGGAGCTCGCCCCAAGGATGATAGATCTTATTGACACTAACAGCAGAGAAGCCGATCGGAGCTGCAACCTTGTGTCCCTAACTCTCACGTGCGGTGTCCCGCTTGTTGGTATCCACAAGCATCCGTGTAATGATCTTATGTCGATAGAACGCGTGTCGATTCGCGAGATGGGTGAGAGGCTCGTCGGAATTCGAAGAAGCATAATACCATCCTCCCTCGTTCAACTTCTGCAGCGCTTTTTTCTTCCAGCTTATTCGCATCGGTATCGAAGGGCCGGACTTCGCCATCATTGAACTTCCGGAAAGTCTCTCGCTAAGACGCCGCGAACTCTCGAGTCGTTCGGTATTTCTCGTTCTCGTTCGTGGTAACCATTGCTAAGCTCTCGATGCTATTTTCCTACTGAAAACGATAAGAACGACTTCACACCTACCGCTTACTTACGACGCAAAGAAGGCGACGCGTGAAGGAGGGAGGTCGTCGCGAATGGAGTGACGATCATTCAAGATTCGAATGGCTGGAAACTCAACCACTCCACTTGACTGAACGCAGCAAGTGGAGCTGCGGCTCGATGCGATCATCATCGTCATCCACGTCTGAACCTCACGCCTTTCCACCCACGACATCAAGAGCGACTCTGGAATGATACACGGTAGCGAGATTGTTTATTGCACTTACCAAAAGTGTTTTGCTTCATCGCTTCATCTCGACAACATCATGCTCAGACCCCGCAAATCCACAACCCATTCAAAACTCCCGAATACTCGCTCCCTCTACTCCTCAACCCAATAAATCCCGCTAACCTCATCCCAAAAACATGCAAAATGGTATCATATCCTTCACACAGCAAACAAACCAAAAGTAAAAACAATCGCTCAAAATCTCAACTCTCCTCCGCAAAGCGTTCCTACTCCTCCAATTCATATTCCAAAGTATGATCCTCACTACACTCCGAGCAATAAAATCTACTCAAACCCTCACAAGTCACAGCCTTCCTACTACACATATCCTCACCCCACACGTCAACCGAGTAGCCGCTAAGCGAGCGATTGGCGCAGAATTCGATGGTGTCGTTGATGATGTACCAGCCGCAGCCGCAGTAGTAGTAGAGGAAGGTGTAGGAGCACATATTGATATAAGCGATCCAGTCGCGGGAAAAGAAAATTCGGGTTTGGTATTTGAATGTGAAATGTAAAATGTGCGGATATACCTAATACCAGCTAGTTAGCGAAAAAAAAAAGAACAGAAGAAAAGGTAAGAGTATTCGATCTACTATACCGGAATAATGTGAGGGTTTAAGATAAGCTCGATATATTAGTTACATACGAGAATAGCCTCTCTTGGAGATTTAGACAAAGAGATAAACAAGACACCTCCCTTATATGACTTTCTGCCTACCCTTTGTCAGACGCTGCGCCGACGCCGCCGCCGCCCTCCTCCGCCTTTGATAATGCTAGAATATTCGTCAGGCGGAGGACCAGCCAGGGCTTCCCTTCCCTATTACAGCGGTATCCGCTGTATAATGAAGCTTCAGGTTCGTCGGCAGTTCCAGTCTTCCAGATTAACGGATCCCGGTCGGGTTGTCTTGCTAGAATGTATGTACCATGGTCATCCTCACCCTGAAAATTGTTATCACATAGGGACATTCGACATATTCGGCTCAAGTAAACAGCTTCCTTCATCATAGAACGCTGATGAGAGGAGTGGTTGGAGTTCAGCAAGTCTCGTTGTCGAGAATACATGCTTTCCTAGTCTCCGGGAAAGATGGAAGCCTGTACTGTACGGCCAGCGGCGAGCGAGACCCTGCATTTCTTTATCGCAGAGCCGCATTGAAGGCCATTGGCCTGTCCATCGATACCATGAGTGACGTCTAGATGAAGAGGACACAAACACGAGCAACCAGTGCTACGTTACAGAACTAGCTCTGCTCGGGTTAAGATACATCGAGGTCCAGTGATTCCTCCTTCTTTCCATTTCCAACCCTGTCCTTTTCCAGCCGCATACAATCAAATGGGTATCTCTTGAAGGAAAATAAGGAAAAGAAAAACACATGCACCTCTCGTGACTTCCTTCCAGCGTACAGTCATGTCCAACCCTTGGATAATCCACTACATCCCGGCTTTAGAAGCCGGTAGGAAACGTTCCTTCGTAATCGTAACAAGCTCATCCACGAAAGTGGTCTCAGGCTTCGCAGTGCCAACAGCAACTTTGAGACCATAAGGCACGGCCAGGTCATCTTGATCGTCGTTGGAGAATTCGGTTTTGCTGTCAGTCTTGATGACAGTCTCACTATTCACGAGAATGCCTCCCCAGTCATTTCGTTGTTGCTTCTCACTGCCTCGAGATGAGTCTGATGGATGCATTGGCTCGTCGACAAGTTCATGCGTAGACGAGTGCTCGTCAATACGGTCCATGCTTTCGCGTGAACTAGAAGTTTGACCTCCAATCGAATGCTTTTTGAGGTGTGCCATGGGGCTCGATGCAAGTGCGACAGAAAGCTTGCCGTGTCGACGATGCTTCTTAGGCTTTGGGATCTTCCGAGACAAGAGTGGACCAAACGACGCGTGGATGTCCTTTGTCAACATGGTGTGGTCGGGCGAGCCTGCGTAGCATCGATGGCGAGCCTCGAAGAATGTTCGTGGTATCCTGGTGACGGCGTCCGAGGCTTCGATGGAGGCATGCATGTCGCCGATGACTGTGAAAGCGTACAGCGTCGTTATCGTCGATCGGGTTTGCAGTCTGTGCGAGTAGTGTGCTGAAAGTGGCCGAGCCCAAAATCTTGCTTGGTTTCTCCATTCAGCAGGAAATTGCTGGGTCAATGTCACCATGGCTTGCTTCACCATCACTGCAAACTGCTGTTCATGTGGTGCTCGAGGGATCGCACTGGTGCGGTTGTCGCAAAAATCCACGCACTGCTTCACCAAAAAGCCATCCAGTTTCTCGAGAAACAGAGCCTGCCATTGGAATGGCTTACCAGTAAGGAGAGGCTGGTCCGGTAGTTGGTCTTGGCAGTCTTTCCTTACTGCGATGTCAAAACCTTTGCCATTTGGCTTCGGAATCATCGCGAAAAAACTGAGGTAGGTTCCGGGTTTATCCATGCTTATCAGGTGCTCGTTGTAGCGCTTCAGTCCGCCCATATGCGCATCAAGAATGTTTTGCGGGATCTGCATAGCTTGAGCTATAGTCCTACCCACATGCTGCACGTTGGCGAATTTGAACCCAGCGTTCAGCATGTTATTGGTTTCATCCTCTGACAGCTCCTTGGTGATGAACATGAGCTGGCCTTTTCCGAACAGGTTCAATCGAAGGGCAGACTCAACTTCAGCCAAACTTCTCTCTTCGGATGACTTATTCCGTTTGTGATCCTTCGCTTCGACCTTGAGTGTCCCTGTCTCGATGATGTTGTCGTATAGGACACCAAGTTGTTCAACTGGAAGGTGCATCGACGCAGCCAACGAAGACGCCGCTACGCAAAAGCGTTCTTTGAAGACCAGTGCATAGTTGCTGTAAGTTTCTGCGTCGTATATCACGCTCGATGACGAGCTGGCCGGACGCGATTCCTCACAAGTACTCTCTCTTTCTGCAGCGAGATGGCTCTTCATCTTTGGAATCAATTCGCTTACGCCAGACCAGTGAAATGTCACTCGATAGATCCATTGGAAAACCGGATGGGTGGTGTCAAAGTCCTCGTCAAATGTCCTATGGACGTACTTGTCTGTGATCTCTCGTGATGGTAGCACACCATCAGTGGTGACAAGAACTCGACCTGTGGGATCAAACATAGCGCATGCAAGCATGACTTTCTGGGATCTGTTTCTCAAGATCCGGTATCTGGTCCGGGTAATGAGCAGAACGCCCAGGACCATCAATGCTGCGGTAGCACAGAGGACGCCGGCGACAATCACCTGAGTGTCGCGAGAATCGATGTCTTTGCCAGAATTGACGGATTGAAATTCGTATTGGCAGCTCGTGGAGGCTGTGAAGTGCATTGCAGATATGCCTCCTGCAAGTGCTGCCGCGCACATCACACGTTTCCACCACGCACTGATCCATTTTTCGCGCAAGTTGTAGAATAGAACCAATACTGTGAGGCAGTCTCCGATGGCGATGACGATCGATGCTGCCAGATATCGAGAGCTATAGTTGAGCCTGTAATTGGCAACACCGAAGTTTCCTAAGTAGTGCATGCCTACCACCGACAAGCCAGCAAAGACTCCTGTTAGTGACAATGCAGCCCAGTGAAGGATTGGTTTTTTCGCTGGAAGCTCGGCGGCGGAGAAGGCGATGGTCAGTCCGAGGATCGGCAGAAACACAGACAGGACTGTGTATCCGGGATTGTAGACAAGCTGATATTTGGGCATGCCATTTCCGAGAACGATTGCACGGTTACCAATGAAGTGCATACACCAGATTCCGACAAGTCCCATGGAAGTGGCGCATGCCACTGTCTCGGCCCTGCAAGAGCCATCAGCCATTTTCATCATCGAGGTCTGCTCATTTCCATACCAACTTCTGACGTTTCCGAACGCTGTACCACGGCGGTGGAGAATCTCGACGGTCAGGAGACATCCTGTCAGGCTGGCGAAGTAGGAGGCTGCTACAATGCCAGGATCAAAGGTGCTGGGAACGACGGTCCCTCGCTCGTAGGCCATGGCTCAGACGGGGAGCCACGCGTTCGTCGTGAAGCTCTCAATTCTCTAATCAGGCCAGGTTGTTAGCACTGCTCCGGGCGTTGAAGTCGTGAAGCATATCTCGAAGCAAGGCGGTGTTGCGCTCAGCGAAGATGCGAGGTCGATGAAGATGTTGTGTTTGGTCGATGTGGTCGATGTGAAGGCATGCACTCGGAGCGGAATTGAAATTGCGGTGAAAGTTGTGATGTTGAATGCGAGTTGAGGGACGGCAATGTCTGCCTCACTTGTCCTTGGATATATCGCGCGATAGTGAGTCAAGCCAGCGCAGCGGGCGAAGAGGAGTGAAGTCGTCAGATGCAGTGAAGTGAAGAGAGTGCAAATGAGGGACGGTTAGATTAGGCTGCACAACAATAGACGTCAAGTCACAAGGAGATGAGGTGTTCCCAGGATCAGTGGTTGGTAAGTCGATGTCGTCTGGCGTCCTCTCCGCAAGGGACCAAAAGCGGTGTTGTACAAAGCTGAGCCGTGGGGTGTTGGACGTCAAGCGCGAGCATTTGGACGGCAGGCCGAAGGAAGGAGCGAAGGCGCAGGCAGAGGGCAGAGGGCAGGAGCATGCCGTGCCTAGCAGACTGACCAGACTGACTGTACATAGTGTGCCGAGGGTGGGAGGGTGGCGCTCAATGCTCTGGTCTGAAGCGCAGCGCACGAACCGTACGGCACCTCGCCAGCCGCAGCGCTGTGCATCCACTTGCATATCACAAGCGGAATCATTGGATCGCGCTTTTCGAGCCACAGGTGAAGCGAATGCCGGTGCTGAGAACGGCAGCACTGTGCCACCTCTGCGCTGCCTGCATTCGTGTTCGGTGTGCGACAGAGACAATATGCGCTGCTTGTCGTGTGACGCTGGAGTGGCCGGTCAGCAAGCGCCGGTCAAGAATGTTAGATGTAGGTGAAGCGAAGATGCAGGTGTAGTTGCATGCCCGTTCAGGTCGGCGACTTCGAATTGCGGAGACGACAGGGAGAGACGGCGCACAAGACAGACGCAGATAAATTGCAACTCCCCTGCCAACGCGTCTGCAAACACTTCTTGGACCTCATCGACAGCGTGTAGATGCGCATCGCCTGATAGCATCTACCTTTTTCCACTTGTGATGCCGTGGAGGAGTGAAAAGCATTGGTCCGACAGCCTCCCTCACCTCACGCCGCAGCAACCACATGTCGTGTCCTGGAGCGTTCCATGGCACTGCGATGCAGCATTACGCGCTCAGAGTTCGAATGTACTCCTGTTCTGCACTGAATATCACAAGATCGAAAATTCTTGTTGGCGCGGCGTGTCAAAGGAGAGAGTTTGGCGTCGCAGAGTCTTCCGGGTTTTTGGATCTTCATGTTCCTTCGCTTGCGCCATGCCCGCACGTGGCTTTTGGGGAACCCATCCGAGCATGCGTACAGACAGACATTATTCCTGCCATCGATCATCAGAGGCGGACAGATCAAGTATTAATATCAAATCAACAGTTGGCGAGATTGAGACATGCAATACACGCTATCAACAACGCTGTAGTACAGATAACCCTACACTGTCAAGCACTGTCACTGATCACAGCAGCATCTCATCATCCATGTCCACAACCAGAGGCTCAACGCACGGGCTGTAGCCCACCATCGTTCCCGCGCCGCTCCCATCACAAATCAACATCTGGTGCTGCTCCGCCACATCCAACAAGTCAAGTGAACCAACGCTTTCGCAGATGGACGAGAGATCGTCCTCAACCACGTCCAACTCCTCGTGAGCATCGCGTGGCCATGCATCCTGTTCTTCACCATCCTCTATTTCACCCGTCAGCCCCCTTCTCCATGCACATGCGAGGCTCTCCGGGCTACTTGAGCACACACTCCACCTCCCAGCCGTGGTGCTGTGACGGTCGAGAATCTCGTCGTCCAGATCCGAGCGGCTTTCATCAAATTGCTTTTCGGGGGGCCTTGGTGGCAGAATGTCTTGGAAAACTTTTGATTCAAGAACATCTTCATCTGCGGAATGACCGTGCCCTGGTGTAAGGTCGGACGTGCTTATTGGCTTCGGCGGGCTGGCTGAGGTAATGCCATGTGCATTTGTGTTAAGAATGTGCCACAAGCGGAGAGACAACGGAGGCTGAAGAACAGATTGTGTTTCGTGCGCGATGTCGTTGGCGTCATCGTCCTCGGAGCAAGAGCCAGCCCGCCTGCAAAGCTCCGCCAGCTTACTTCGCAATGCAAGACTCTTCGCCTGAGCGCCGCATACATGGCTCAATGAGTGAGTGATTGTCGGAAGCAGTGCCGCTCTTGTCGAGATGTGTTCGAGGTAACCTGGAGCCCAAAGTGTCGGAAAACACTCCGAAAGGTATCTTGGAGATTCATGGCTGATTACCTTTGCAGTCGTCCACGGACGTTTCACTGGTCGATCTATTGTGTTCATTAAAGCCGCCCAAAGCGAGTCGAGATACTCGTTCCGCATTGCGTGTGCATCTATGCTTGGCCTTGCATGTTGGGCGAATGTGCGTTTCAGCTGCTGGGAAGAAGTCGAATCTTCCACTGACGTCCAATTTAGTGCCGCTTCGCTACCATCATCTTGTATTTGGGCAGGACATCCATGCTGCTTCGTTCCCAAAGATTTCGTCATCCTCGTTCCGAAAGATTCATTGACATGTCTGTATCCGTCTTCTTCAAGAACCAGCAAATCATCCTCGACGCTCTCTTGCTCTGGCTGAGTCCTGCCAGTCTGCGAAGATGATGCACGCAAACCATCCTCTGGCCTTGGTCGTTGGTGCTGAGAGGCGCGCGAGAATTGTAGGTCGAAGCATACGCAATTGAGATGAATAGCTTCCACACCCTTTGGCGGCCTTACATCACGGACGGGCACTCCTTGCTGAAGCTTGTGTTGTCTCTGGCTTGTCGTTGAAGCATCGTCATGTTCAAGATGGATGGCAAATTCGTGGCAATCACTAAGTAGATGATCGGTACATTGCTTAGACGAGGCTCTCATGCCAAATTGCTGCCAGAACTGAGTTTTATGAGCGATGAGCACAGCACCTGTCTCCTTGGATCCAATCGCTCACTTACCTTAGACTCGAAAAGTGCCTCAGCCAAGTGTTCCACGAGAACCTTTTCCTGATCAGCGGCGTGATCTTCCTTGAATGATATTCTCATCATGAGATGATAATTTTGTCCTCTTGAAATCCATGGCCGACTCGATGAACTTGATGTCAGTGCTGCGATTGTAAGTCTGGCGGGATCATTCGCGTCCTCTCCGGACGAAGCAATGTATGCGCGGCTCGTGGCCTGCAGTGTGAGATTGGAACCTGGCGAGATCAGATTCAAAACGCCAAGATCGATACCGTACTCGGCCATTGAGATCGGTCATCTTGGTGGCATGTCTTGTTTTGTGATTGTCTGATGGGAGCACTTGCAGGCGTTCATCCTTGAAGGAAGTCGCATACAATAAACTTCCCGACACTTCCCGATGCCTGCCAAGCGTCCTCACCCTTGCTCTCTCGACACCGCGTTTCTCTCCAAACTACACACACAACCAACATGGCCTCAAAAGGACATCTGCTGCGGCAATTGTGCCGCCAACAATGCACTGGGGCTCTGCGACAACATGTCCGCCAGTTTGCAAGCTCCAATCGCCGGAGTACAGATGGTGTCTTCCGGGCCTTGACTGGCGAGCGCGTCCAGAAGCCATGGGTTGAAGCATTTCGAGAACAGGGCCAGGGCATTATTGAAGGCTCAACACCTACTCAGACTCCCACAGATCGTAATCTCTCGCCCAAAAAGATGTCCGACTCGTATCACAGCGTTGTATGTTCTTGGAGACCTAGAGCTATGCATCCTCGTGGCTGATGCGGTAAGTATAGGTTCTGCCGCTTGCGCAAGAACCTTGGTTGCTTGACACATACATGAATGCATCCGGCCATATACGCATAGGAACCATCCTCATGGACCTTGATGCACTTGCCGGAGTCGTGGCTTACAAGCATACTGGCGACGGAGTGACGACCGTCACCGCCGCTTTTGACAGAATCACGATCAATCATCCTCTGACAGAAGTATGCGACCTAGAGTACAGCGGACAGGTGACATACGCTTCTGGACGTAGCAGCATGGAAATCACATTACAGGTGGCAAAGGCTCCTCCCGCAGGCCAAAAGCCAAAGCCAGAAGACATTATGATCACAGCCAAGACCACTATGGTCTGTCTTGATCCGGCAACGAAGAAGCCGGTCAACATTGCTCCAGTACGAACCGACACAGAAGACGAAAAGAAAATGTTTGCGGTCGGTGAGAAGAATAGCAAGCTGAGGAAAGAATTGGCACAGAGGTCTCTCCTCAAGCAGACGCCCAACGATGAGGAAAGTGATCTCATCCACGCAATATGGCAAAAGCAGCTGCAGTACCATGATCCTCATGATCCACTTCGAAAGCCCGCCAATGCTCATTTCATGGATGCCACCCAACTTAGGACAGCCAGCATCATGCAGCCACAGGTGAGTGAAGCGAATAGCCAAAGCGCTCGCCCTGCAAACTCCCGCCTTGCAGCCCTCCTGTCGCGCTGGAACAGCGCCAATCGATTCATCTGGTTGCCAAGCGCATTTCCTCACTAATGACATCTGCTGACACTTCTTAGTATCGCAATCGACATCACTTTATGATTTTTGGAGGGTATCTACTGAAGCAAACATTTGAGCTTGCTTTCTGTTGTGCTGCCAGTTTCGCGCATACCAGGCCAACCTTCGTTTCGCTAGATCCATCGACATTTCAAAACCCAGTGCCAGTCGGATCGGTGCTGTACATGACCTCTACGGTGGTGTATACCGATCCTCCTCTTGTAGCTGGACAGAATGACCCGGCAGAGCAAAGCGGCAAGAAGTCAGAGCTCACCCGTGTTCAGGTGCGAGTTGACACAAAGGTTCGAGATGTTGAACATGGTACGGCGAAGCCCACAGGACAGTTCAACTACACCTTTACAGTGGAGAAGGACATTAAAGTCATTCCCAGAAGCTATACTGAAATGATGATGTACGTAGACGCTAGGAGACGGGCACAGAGCATCAGAGAGACCGTGAGACATGGTAATGCAGACGCTGGCAAGCAGGAACGCATCACAGAATAGTCCTCTACGATCTATTGCCCCTATCCGCATGCATGCACAGCTACTCGAAAAGGTAGAAGAGATGCACGGTATCTTGACATCCGTAGCTCGGGATCTGGGTGCATTGCAACTTCCAGATTCGTGCTCGTGTGAATTTCTGGTAGCTTTCCTGAGCGCAGCCTGACCGACTGCTGACCATTTCTCGCTCTCGCATGGCTCGCCTGAGCCGAGATCGCTGGCCCCACCCTGCGTCATCCAGAATTTCTCGAGCTCGATCAATGCCAGAAAGCAGACAGCTCCATGTGCTCTCACACCTCGCATATCACCGCTGGCAAATCTCAAGAGCACGATGCCCACACTGAAGCCACTCGCTACATTTGCGCCGCCTTGCAATACACGGACTTGGCTCTCAACACCTCATCCTCATCTACCGATAATCGCAACGGCATGTTCAGACAAGACAGTCCGCGTGTATTCGCTCCAGAATTTCCAACAACAGTCTGTGATATCAGGTGGGCACAAGCGCAGTATCAGGAGCTGCGCATGGAAGCCGAATAGCGTGGGCGAGAGTGTTTTGGCAACGGGCAGTTTTGATGCTAGCGCGGGGATCTGGAAGAGATGGGAGGAGGGCGCGGGAAGTGGGAGTGTAGGCGGGCTTGGAGCTGGCGGTAACGAGGTTGATTTCACTGGCGGACTGGCAGGCGGGGACAAAGATGGTGATGAGGATGATGATGAGTGGAGGTTAGAGGTCATACTCGACGGGCACGATTCGGAGATCAAGAGCTTGGCATTCTGTCCGACTGCTCCTCTACTGGCAACGTGTTCCCGAGATAAGAGCGTCTGGGTATGGGAAGAGCTGGATGAAGACAATTTCGAGACCATGGCGGTGCTGCAGGACCATGAAGGCGATGTGAAATGCGTTGCTTGGCATCCAGAAGAGCAGCTGTTGGCCAGTGGGAGTTATGACGACAGAATCCGGCTATGGCGAGAGGATATAGATGACTGGGCATGTTGTACGTTGCTCGATGGCCACAAAGGAACAGTGTGGTGGGTAGAATTCGAGCCTGCGAGTCGGGTGGGAAAGGTTACCAACGGAGAAGTGAGTACCGATGAGCAGAAAAAGGCCATAGAAGAGAGGACGAAGGCTGGACCCAGATTAATGAGCTGCTCAGACGACAAGACGATACGAGTATGGCGACGAATACCAAAGGACAAGCCAGAAGCGCCAACTGGACAAGGCCGCATGCCGACCATCTGGAAGAACAACGACTTTGAGGAAGAGTGGGTTGAAGAGGCACGATTACCACAAGTACACGAACGCCCAATATACTCGATCAGCTGGAGCGAGAAGACTGGTAGAGTCGTGAGCGCAGGTAGTGACGGTTTGATCTTTGTGTATGAGGAGAGGTGGAGATCCGGCGAAAGCAAAGACACCGAGATGACCGATCTGACGCCGCCTCCGGAGGCGAACGATGCTGTTAATCAGGCCAATTCGCCTACAGAATGGGTTGTGATTGCGCAGATCGAGAATGCGCATGATGTTTTCGAGGTCAATCACGTTGTGTGGTGTCCACGCTACGACAAAGGCAAGACTTTCGATGACGAACAGATTATTGTCAGTACCGGTGATGATGGCGAGGTCAAAGCATGGGTGGTTGAAGATTGAGGACGCCTATGCCGCCTGAATCGAAACGATTCATTCTTTCACACGCAAGCACGCAGAACTTGGAGCATTGGCGGACTTGAACATCACTTCGGCCCACGGCCTACCTGAGGGTGATGCGAATGCAATCCCTACTCTCGTTACCGATGACGCCAAGGACACCTGAAAACCTGAAAAGCTGCACGGGTCAAGTCAATGCCACGATCATCCCTCCGCTACGTCTGGCCGCAGATGCCATGAGTCGGACTTGGAGGCTACTGTCTCTGCTATGGCAGGTCATTACGGCCATTCAATATAAGCATGGGAATTTGCTTCTCTAAACATGGCCGCGTACAGGATTTCCTCCGGCATGTATTGCTACTTGATATGGCTCACCTGGACATCCTGCTGACTGCACTTCTACTCATCAGCTTTGGTGCAACTCAACTAGAGCCACCAGTTGTGCAAACACAGGTGATCAGAAGTGCGGTCCAGAATCAGGCGGAGTAGGTTGCGTGAATCGATATGCTGCTGTGATGCCATACCACTTCCATCGAGCGCCCGTATTCGCAATCAATATCACAGAGGTGCATGCCTGATAGGACTGGAAAGGATAGAGAGGTCTGGCTCATGGGTAATGGGAGGATCTCGAGAGTCAGGTGGGAGTTGGAAGGTATCGAGTTGATTACAGGAAGATGATGCAAGATATACTACACTAAAATTACAAAATCGACATCCGATGCTATGCAATGCAACGCGCTTTCTACGTCACTCGCCTCAAATCCATTCAAATCCCTCCCCATCTTGAATCCTCTCGCTATGCACATAACTGTCACGGTTCCTATTGCCAAGCCCAAAATCAAACTCACTCATACTCCCCTTCTGATCAAAATGCAACGCCTCCGTCTGCCCCGTCTCCATCCCACCATTTTGCAACGTAGGAAAATGCACCCAAGTCTGCTCCGTATACGCAAACCCATCCTCATCCCTCAAAGCTTTGAAATCTCCTTCCGAACCATCAAATCTTCGTGCCGTGAAGGGCCTCCTACCAGTGAACCGCTCCTTGCTCGAGTTTTGAAGAGACAAATTATTGTCGAGAGCTTCTTGCATGACTTTTTGCATTTTCCAGTGCGCTTCTTCGCCTCCCAAGATCTGTTTTGGTGAGATTTCTAGGAGCGAGCCGGGGAGGCTTGGGTGGGGAACGTAGTGGCGAGGAGGGAGGACTTCGACTTGCAGGATTGGTAGGACGCGGTGGAAGACGTCGTGGTTGTGGATTTCACGTGTGATTGGCTGGTGTAGGATTTCATGGGTGTTGACGATTGTTGTGTTGTGTGTTACTGCTGGGGTGTATGAGGTGTATTGTCTAGTGTCCTCGGTATTGGTGAGATCTACTACTCCATCAAGCGAGACTGGGCTCGAAGAGTTGTAGACTGGATAGTTGGGATTTTCGGATTGTGAGTCTGCACTTGAAGTTTTGTAACGGTGTCCATGGTTTGGTCGACTTGAATTTCTTGAATGGCTTGACACGGTGGTTTCTGGTATCACTGGTTGTAGTGACGTCTTTTGAATTGGACTGCTTCGGCTCGCCGCTTCTATCTGGCTTGCATCGTCGTTGCCGCCGCTCAGAGGCCAAGCTGGCTCCGCTGACTTTTGCAAAGATGAGCTGCGAGCAGGGACAGCTTTCGCGGGAATTGTTACGTCTCCAGAGTAGAGGTCTTCGTCTGGCTCGACGATCGGCGCGTGTCTGCGCGACCTCTTGACCTCAGACGACTCACTTCGCCGATGTCCAGATTGTACATTGTGTCGTTCTTTCTCCAGCGCCGCCCGGATAGCTCTTGAATCGTTCAGGTCTCCAGCAAGGATAGCTTCGTCTCGCGAGATGTTCTTGTTCGCGTATCCTTCCGCATATGGATCTTGAACTGGCCCAACGAGAACTCCCCGCGACCTGCTCGAATCACTGCTGGGTCGCTGCGATTGCTCTGAGTGTAATGTATTGCCCGACTCTTGCCGACGATGTTCTGCCGTGGCTAGCTCCGGGTCGCTGCGATCGATGGTCGAGGTTCGGAGACGCTCATCGTTGAGAGTCAAGTATCGCAAAGCCTCTGGTAAGTTTCTGTGTCCTGCTGTGTCAGGCTGCTTCTGCACATTCTGCCATTTCCCGTTCGGACTGGGTATGAATGGTCCACCTTCCGCGCTCTTCCTTGATCCTGTGTTTTCTCCAGCCTTTTCTGGACTAATCGGCTGTGGAGCAGAGATGTTGGTCTCACTCTTCTTGCTCTGGTGCAGCCCGTAAAACAACTTCTGCTTGAGAGACGACGGCATTGACGCTGCTTACAGTCTGCTTACCAGGCGTGGGTAAAGGCAGCAAACAGCACAAAAGCCATGACCTACTGTGCCATGGCTGGACAGAAGCACCACCAGCCATTCTCACTCACTTCCCAGCATGTCACGACTGGGTGGTCTAGTCTACCGCCGCGGGTATCTACCAGCCCTTCCCGTGCATCGGTTGTGGCTGACAGCTGACGGAGGAAAAGTGACGACTTGGTAAATCCATGGCTTCGCTTGGTAGAACTAGGCCATCAGTGCTGATAGTGCAAAGCTTCTGCGTCCTGCGAGAGATGTGTTCCGCTGCCCTCGCGAACAAATGACGTTGGCGCTCCTGAGTATGGTCACGGTAAATCATGGTCCACTCGGCGGCGGCTCCGATGATGCGTTGATTCAGACGATACCGCGCGATCTGCAACACGTCAGGCGTCTACGGCGCCCTTGACATGCTTGGCGGATCTGGCGAACCTCCCTCCACGATCCATCCACCGCACCAGGACTGCCACCATCTTGGAAACCTGGAGATGTTCCCAGGAACCTGGCCGAACCCTGCCAGCGATGTCAACCCACCCCCCCCCCCCCTGGGACCCCCGCGGATCCAGATCTCAGCAGATCATCAACCAAGCCTCGCCTGCAGATGGCAGCTTCTTCACATGTCTTGTCCCGAGGATACCCCGGTCCATGGCTTACGACTTCATGCTGGAGAGTGGGCAGTTCGGTCCGGAGCCCTCTGCGATCTGGCACGATAGGCTTGCACAGTATGCACAATGGAGCCGCGATAGCAGCTTGACAGCACAATGATGTAGCAATTTCTCGGGTGTGCGGTGCACAGCTGCCCGTATTGGCCTGATCGTCCAGCTTTGGCACCGCTGTCTGGGTCAAACTGCCGTTGACTGCATCACCGTTCTGATCGAGCCTCATCTACACCGATCTCTTCAGGAAAATCAAGCTTGCTGTTTGCCTGCCAACCAAACGCGTAGACACCCTCTTGGATTGGCGTGGCGTAGCGCGTCTTGGATCTTTCATGATGACGTTGTTGTACAAGTCGTTTGTGAGGTGAGTACATAATATGTCTCCTCTCACCAACTTGTCCACATCTTCACACATATCATTATCCATCAATCCACACTCTACATTCCATCCCAAATCTAGCAATCATGCAAGCCGCCAAGGAAGCAGTCAACAAGTTCACCAGCAAGCATGGTCACCATGACACTACTGTGCACGAGAAAGTAGCACCTTCAGTCCAGAACGAGACAGTCACACGAAACCAAGAGGATCGAGTGACCACCGCCATTGACAAGGAAGTGCACCAAGATCACTACCACACTAGTGTTCAGCCTGTGCACGACCGCGAGGTCCTTCCAGAGAAGCATCACCACAATCTTGTCGGCGTTGAGCACCGAAACATCGAGCACGATGACCACAGCAAGGTCAAGTCCACTCTTGACCGGGAAGCCGCCAAGTTCAAGGACACCACCGAGCGTGTAGAGGGTCAGCACACCACTACCGCCCAGCCAGTCGCTACTGGCGAGCACGTGCACCACCACGTGCACGAAACCATTCAACCTGTCGTCAACAAGCAGACTATCGAGCCACACGTTGTGCACACCACCGTTCCAATCCATGAGGTTCACCACAACGCAGCCCAACATCATGCTACTTCTCAGCTACCAGCTGTCAGCATGGCAGACTACAAGAAGCAGGGCGGCGCCTTGAATGGACGTGATGAGCGCTCAGATGCTTTCAATGGCTGCCCAAAGCCAATCAGCGGTTCCAGCGATGATGTCCACAAAGCTGGTGCTGGCATCACCTCCAACGGTAACCACACCCACGGCAGCAACGGTCTCACCAGTGATCGCAGCCGCGAGACCAATGGCGCCGGTGTAGGAACAGGTGTGGCTGCTGGCGCTGACAAGCTCGCACACAATGGCGTGCACAACACGACTAGCAATGACGGCACTCACGGTGGCTACTCTGGAAACCGATACAAGGACTTACCAGACAGCATCACCGGCCGCGACACTTCTGCCGCGACTTCTGGCGGTACTGGGGGTGTTACCGCAACTGGCATGAAGAACGGCAAGCCTTCCCTCCTCGACCGTCTCAACCCAATGAAGGATAGTGATGGAGATGGAAAGAAGGGTATTATGGATTAGAAACGATGAGATATGATTACGATTCTTGATCATGAAAATTACGACGATACCAGCGGATTAGCGTAGCGTATATACTACATGAATATTCACAACTCTTGGAACGAATTGTTTTCGACTTTCTTCTTCACGGATCATGACTTCCTCAGTCGCTTTCATTGCATTACGGTGGCAAACATCGATACAATCCTTCCAGAAAAGTAACATGTGCTGTCGCTTTTCAGTTTGTGGCCATTACTCGAGCCAAAGCTTATTTGGTCAAGTGTCGATAGAGGTGAAAGAAGAGCTGAGCTTGTTGCATAAAGATAATTGGAGGGATTGTGAATTCTTCTGCTCCTTTTCCAATGCGTCTCTCGGTCGCTAGCAAGGAGATTGCAAAACCGAGGAGTGAGATATGGATCAAACCTGCCAATCCCAACCAGCTTTTGACCCGTATGGGGACTGCAAGAGTGACGGAATGCCTTGTGCTCTGTATGTGAGGAGGTCAAAGGAGTTGATGCCGATGACCCATGAAAGGCATATATGTACGTTCGGCTATTCTGGTGCATTCGTTCACTTGCGATGCCGGAACAGCCGATTCAATGTGAACGCATGTAACCCAGTGTTGGGATATTACCTGACCCTGGAGTCGCTTATTGAAGCGCCGTGCAGACGCGGTCATAGATCACGATGATCCTGATGACATGTATCGACGGCAAGTTTCTGCTATAGGGAAGACTCGATCTGCCTCCTATCCCGATGAGGTTGTACACACAAGAGACTCGGCCACGGATGAAGACCCTAGGCCCAAGCGGAAGAAGATTGTAGAGCCAGCTTCCATCGCGAGCGACGATCAGCCAGGCTCGAACCCAGAGCTTCTGTCCACAGCCAAGGCAGGCGTGTTGGAGCAAGGCAAGACACTAGGGAAGACTGCTGCAGTTGAGCAGAGACTGTGCGAAAGCGAGACATCGTTCTCTAACTGTGAGCTGTTGAGACTGATCCAGACAAACAAAGCACAGCTTCGTCCTGCGGTAACATACGAGCAGCATCTCGAAGGTTATAAAATGCTCAGATATGTCAACGTAACTCCAGCTGAGGTCTGGGCTATTGTAGCCGAAGCTGACACTATGGGCGATGCATCGACGCAGGCGCTGGTGTCGAGTCGCGGTCCTGGACTTGTCAATGCAACCATGATTTGTATATTTACCAACTCACCATCTCCACCGCATCTACGATATACATTCGTTCAGTTCAAGTATAGTTGCGCATCATCGCAGTGCGCCGTGAGTTTGGGGGTAAGGAGCGTGGAATCATTCACTCACGAAGCTTCGGAAAATTGTGGGCCCCCAGCCATCTCATTGGTTGCCGACGCGTTTCAGGCTCCGCATCACGAACCCCAAGCCCAACTTAACGCTCTCGGATACATCGTGCTCATAGCAACTTTTCCAAAACATTGGCAGACTCAACAGCACGAACGCTCCCCTTACTCTTTTCCAAACCAACAGCGATCCGCATTGCGAACATCACTCGCAATTGCATAAGCAACACCGACAAGATGTCTCGCCTCTTCATTGCCAATCGGTCTGAGACCGGTATGCGCAAGAAGTCGGCGTACTTTCGGAAGCAGATGGCGGAGGAAGATAGAGAGATCGCAAAGCGTCTCGCTGAAGAGAAAGAGGCGGAAGCAGAGCGTGCAGAGGAAGCGCGAATTTCGAGGATGCCAGGATCCTGGACAGACGAGGACACAACCACGCCCAAGCAAACGGTCTACTTTCCGAACACTCCAGAGGCGCCGGAGAAGAGCGACGCCGTCGGACGCAAAGCATGGATTAGAAAGTTAGTTGCCAAAGAAGCTGAGAGACTCAAGCGCCAGCATGCCTCGAATATCATCACGCCGAGTCGAAAGCCGGGCTTGGAGAACAGTATGCCACTGAAGGAGGGCAGCGTTCGAGTCATTCCTGATGGTCGACATGAGGCTGTGAAGAAAGACCAACGCATCCGCAAAGAGACCTTGACGCCTCGAATTCCAAAGAAGCATCTCGATACCTCGCGCATTGCTAAGGCGGGTAGTGTTCGGCCCCGGAACGCAATTCATGAGAAGGACAAGGCGATCAGCGCAAAGCTCCAGTACGCATACAGCCAATATGACGACCGCGTGCGCCAGTTCGAGCAAGCGTCTGGCTGGGAATATGACACAGCGGTCGAGAGCGGCGCCACTGAATATTTGCACTCGGCCAGCAGCGCGTATGATCGACTGCTCAAAGACATCAAGCGTTGGACCGACGAGGTCCATAAGCATGATGCAGAGCTCGACGCTCACAGGGCGAAGTATCTCGAGCCAGCTCCACAGAGTCGATCACTCCAAGACGGCAAGACACCAAGCCATTGGAAGGGCAAGGCCAGCAAGATTGAGCATCTAGAACGCTTTCGCGCATTTCGAAAAGCAGCTCCACAACAAGGTCTGCTCGTCGCACCAGAGAAGACAGATACCTCCGAGTCTGAAGATCCTCCAGCGCCGAGATGTGCACGCGCGACCGGCGATAGCAAGTATAAGGATCAGTCCATGCCCACCTCCCCCAATGAGGTTGAGAATCTTGCTTCGCAGCACGTGTCGCCCCTGGAGCAACCACATGCCGAGGCCATTCAGTATATCGAGCCGACACCAGCGGAGCCAGCGCAGGTGGAGAATGCATTGCCACAGTCTGAGCAGTCGCACATCACCTCCCCAGAGCCGGTCGTCCATGCGCTCAACGGTGGGAAGAAGTCTACAGTACCAGCAGCAACCCCATCCCAACCATTGCCATATAATGGCGAGCGTCGGTGGACGCATCACAAGTGTAATATGAAGCATTGCAGAGCTCGTTCTCCCTTCATCAAGAACGACCCACATGCCGGCATTCACGATGATCGTCCTCAAGTACTTGGCAAGCGCCGCTCAATTGGCGATATCCTCAGCGTTGAGGAGTATGGTATGGAGACACGTAGAGTCCGGCAGAAGCGCAAACAATTCGGCATTGCTCTCGTGCATGTACTGGGCGCGGGATACCTTGATGACTATAGACCAACCGTTGTAAAGGCTCTCAATGACGAAGAAATCGCGAGCATTGCTTATGTGCCGGCCGCAGCGAATCCTCTTCTGGCGCCGGTGTCTGCGGTCAACAGCATCCAAGTCCAGGAGAAGTCTGACTACGAAGAAGCCATGGAGCTCTACGACAGAGGCTTGCATTTCGGGGCAGGCGGCCTAGAAGGCAAAGATGACGATGCCACGAACGGGCAAGAAGCCAAAGATGTTGAGGATGACGGAGGTCTCGAAGAAGACGAGCAAGTCCACGGATATGTCGAGCAGTTCATCATCGACCCAGTCTCCCATAACGGCGTCTACTTCATTCATCGTCACTCCGTTCAAGGCGAAATGATCAGAATCGATGTTCCTCGCGAAATCTGGCTGCGGCAGAATGACCACCATGAGGAGAACCTGGACCGAGCCCACATATCTATCCTGACACAGCTATGCGAGATCGCTGACCGTGACAGAAAAATGGACCCGAGTGTGGCTGGCCAGCGGGCGGATAGCAATCTGGATATGATTCTTCGAGCGGCCGCTAAATTCGCGAATTCTTACTCTTGGCTCGATCGCTGGACCTCACGTCTGCGAGTGCGCGAACTTTTGGACGAGCTGAACAAATCCTCGACCGCAGTTGATGGCGACGGCGACCAGACAATGCAGGATTTCGATGATGATTCAGATGGTCCTGCAGCACACGCGTTAAAAACGTTCAGAGCAATGCTTGCAGAGACTGAGATCAAGGCTAGAGCGCCAGCATCAGCAGCGCCAGCAGCAGCGCCAGCATCAGCAGGACAGGCGCCCAGAGTGAGAATCACTGCAGAAGAGCTGGAAATTGCCCCTACCGAGATTCTGCAGGAGGAACGTCCAGCGCCCCAACCTCAGACATTAGTTGATGGTGCAGAGGAGGCGCTTGAGGACACAATGAGCAACGCCGGTGGTGCAAATGGTCTTCCGGTGCATGTTCCTACCGGGCCAAAGAACGACCGTAGCAAGGGCAGAGACCGAGGTGGTGATAAGGGCATGGCAGGCGCAACCCCATCTGGACGCGAGCCAGGCACGGCTAGAAGAGAAAGCAATGTCCACACTGCTGCCAGCGCCACGACAGGTGGAAGTCGAGATACCGCGATGTTTGAAGCCTCGACTGGTGTTCCTGTTGGAGCTCCAACTGGCCCCTCAGCTGATCGTCGTCCGATGATTTTCGGCCACGACCGGTCTGAAGGCTCTGGAGGATCTGGTGCTGGGCGGATCGATGGCGGCGCTCCAACGAACGACCAAGACCGACGTGCCAACTCGAAGGGAAAGGGCAAAACCCGTATGCAGCCAGAGAATGGGGATCAGAACATTGCCATGCGAGATGCTCCAGACGAGCGCCCGAGGCAGCCTCGAAAGGAGGCGAAGCCAGCTACTACCCTGCCTACACTTGACGGCTCTTGGAAGCTTCGTCCGCGTAGAAGCTCTCTGACCTACGGGGAGGTGGATCAGGACATGCTCGATGCTGAGCGAGCTCTCAATCTGGGGCCTCGTAATTTCTCTGGCGTTGAACAGACTCCAGCAGAGCCACAAGAGATGGACATCGATAATCCTGACAGCAGTGCGAATGTACCAGACGATTCTCGCGGCAGCTCAAATGAACCGCCACCTACTGCTCCTCGAGGCCCTCGTAAGCAGCAGCAGAAGAACGGCCCTAAGCCTCGGCCATTGAAGATGCCGCTTCGTCCAGATAATCCAGATACTCCATCGGGTCCGCCTAGGTTGAGAAATTCGGATGCTGATGGTCGCCCAAAGAGCATGCCTCCTCGTCGGAATGAACATGCTGGAGGCCGATTCGGTAACGGAGATCAAAGTGCTGGACGAGGACGAACGCAGACTCGCGATGAGCAGGCCACGAGACAGGGTGGAATACAGGAGGATGGGCGAGCGCAAGTCGCTTCCAACCGTAAATTCAGACCCCAACATAGATATTCCGGCCAGCAGCAACAAGAGCGGCCACATCGTCCAGTAAATGACCATGCAGGAGACCACCAACATCAGCCCAACAGGAATGCTACACACCGTCCGCAGGGCAGCACCAATGCCCACAACAACCATCAACAACCGTCTCACGGACGCAATGGAGATTCTGCTCGCCAGACCCAGGGAAACGTGGACCCATATGCCCAAGCGCGGATGCAGAATAAACAGAATCGCAACAAGCAGAACCGTCTAAGAAGCAACGCGACGAGCGGCAGTCGTTCACACATCGAAGATACCTCGAAGTCTAAGTTGAACTACAACTTCAAGGGCGCGGCAGCTCGAAAGAATAGGCCGAATCCGCACGCAGAATTAGACGGCTCAAATGACGCGTGAAGCTCTGCAGCTAGACTCCCATCATGGTCTTGACGTCGCTGCTAGGGACTTTGGCGCAAGAGTTCGCGCTCGGTATGGCTACCAAGTGATCCACCACGACCTTGCACGGCCTTATGGCTCAAAGGTTCGATAGCAGCCCTTCTTCTGCAAATCCTTGGCTTGAAGCTCGTTTGTTGAGAATGCGGGGTGTGAGAGCATCTTCAGTCGACAAATCGAACAGCTTTGCATGGACCAGCTTAACATGTTCGATGCCAACGCTCTTCGGTCGAGATATGTATGGCAAGTGGCGCCACCTTGAATCCACAAGTCGGCCTTAGGGCTCAGTCATGGAACAAGGGCTAGGCTTACCCAATATCATGCACTTTCTTGCGTGTTATTCAGCACTGCTGATGCGTTCGGCACCGACGGAGAGCGGCATAATCTATTCTAGTGTCTCGCGTGGGGGACGGTTTCCTGGGTGAAGTCGATAATTGATAGTTACAGGGTTGATCTTGGTCTTGCGCAAAAGTTTCACCTTGTATCCTGGAGTCTGACCTCGGAGTCTCGGACCGTGGCATGTGAACGATGTGATGCCCGCCCGCATTATTGATGAGGGATACGAAGTGACGGAGATAGCGCCAGAGCCGGCGATGAATGACAGCTAGGCATTGAATTGGCCAGCGCGACCTGCGCAGGCAGATGTGAGGAAAGATGATGTAATCCTCCCTTCTCCGAGATTGCGATCAAGTGCGTGAGGTTTGTTCTCGCACTCGCAGTCTGGACGGCTCAATTAATCGACCTGTGAGAACAGATGCTGCCTCTGTGTGGGACTCATTCGATCAAAGCCGCTTCAAGCTTGCTCTTGTGTGGGTATTAATGGCCTGTTCTCGACTCGTGTCTTTCTAGCCTCGACTAAATGGCTCCAATTGTCCAGCTCAAGCACTTCTCCATAGACCAAGACGTCTGGTCGGAAAGGCTGAGGCTCAAATGGAGTTCACCGGGTAGCGTTTCATGTGTCTTGTCGCAGATTGCCATATCTCTTCATGACAAACCTTGATCAGTCTGAATGCCAGTAGTCAGAGGATGGCAAGTTGGGAAAGCGCAGCTACCCACCATAACGGCAGTGCTTTTTTCATGAGTCGATGGTGTCGAGAATGCAGGCCTCGAAGCTGGTTGCTGTCCAGGCTCCATAGCTTCCCGCTTCCAGCTCGGCCGCTCAGCCGATAGCCCTCACGACCCATGATCCATGATGTGGACGGGCTTCGATGCCTGCAATGCTTAAACGTTGCCCGATGATTTGGTAGGCAGCACACTGAGTTTTACTTCAATGCCATGAAATGAGATCGGGAGTGTGAACATGGTGGTATTTGAGATGTCCATTGTCAGATGTGATGGATGGCATTGAGGCTGGCGTCATACACGACTCAGTACCTGCATATAAAAGACACTACTGCACACCATGCCCGAGGCGTGGCCTTCTGCGCCAAGTGATGCTCCTGGAGATTGATGCCGCAGCCCAATCAAAAGATGCGCGAAAGGTCTCTTTGGGAGAAAATATCGTTTGTTTCACAGCTGCGCGCAAGCCACCACAGTCCCAGGCCGTTGGGTGGACAGGGGAATCGGCACACCGCATCAGTCCGCCAGGAAGTGCGGGTAGGGGGCTGCGTTTCGGTGTGGGTTGGAATGGTTTGAGATGCCCGCGGCCGGGACTTCGTCGAGTGGCAGCGGAGGACATGCGTCGGTATTTGCGAGGTTCAAGAGACATGGCAGCAGCAGTGCATTCGCGCATGCCGACGCAACCACCGCCGCCCTGACCCTCGACACCACCCCCACCGCCACCCCCATCCCCACCCCCAGCGACCCCAGCCCCGTGCACATCGACGAGCGAGGTGCAGTCACGGGCGGCAAAGCGGTCACCCACCGCCGCGAGAGCAGCCTGTTCAGCCTGACGACGACGGTGACCGGCAGCGCCAAGGATTTGAAGAGGAGTCTGAGCGTGCGAAGCCACAGGACGACGCTGAGCAGCGGAGCTTCCTCTCTCGGCAACAAGAGCAAGACAGGCAGCGCTGCCAACGACTTCACCCCGCTGAGCTCCGCCAGTCCGGTCGGCGACGACGAAGGGCGAGTCGTCGACGTCCTCAAGTCGCCGCTGCCTCCACCGTCTGCGCCTGCCGCTGCACAGCAGCCGCGTTTGAGGAGGAAGCTGTCGTTGAGTGCCAAAGGCCTTTCACGCAGCTTCAAGTCTACCGAGGCGCTTCCGGAGCTCACCGCACCAACATATCTGAAGAACCTTGCTGCCTCTTCGCCGCCAATCCATCGTACCAACACTCTGCCTGCCATGTTGGCCGCACCACCGCCGGCTCCTGTCCAGGGAGGCAGGAAGCCATCTGCCGACCATCGACCCGGCCTCCATCCTCAAACCAGCTTCAACAGTGTCGTGAGAGACATCTCTACATCGCACAGCAATGGAGCACCCCTCCAGCCAACGCCGTCGCTGCCAACGAGCATGCCTGGGGGACCTCTCAATCCAAATACAATATACACACAAATGCAGGAAACCGCGACGAAGCGCATGGCAACCATCGAGTATCTGCGCAAATTACACGAGGGTGACATGTTCCACTTCAATATGTACCACTATTCGCAAGCATCGTTGGCCACTATTCCGTCGATGGCGCACCACAAGCTCGGCAGGAGGGCCACGAATTATTTTTTGCTCGGATACAGTCTCCCAGCGGTCTTGGACATGAACTCAGGAACGCCGCTGGAGTATCTCAAAGCCCTGTCGGCCTTGCTCACAGAATTTGAGGAGTATCGAAATCTCAGCGGATTTGATGCAAGCGGGAATGCTGTAAGCAAAGGCAGGATGGGCTCAATGTTCAAGTCTGGGATGGGCTTTGGTGGTCGTGGCACCAAGGGTCGGAGATCGAGCACTGCAATCGCCCCGGACAATCTCTCCATCGACACGAGGCAGGCAGAGCTTCTAGGCGTCTCGAACTCCGGTCGAGGGTCTGATGTCGGCTCACCACAGGACATGAGCGTGCCCATCAACCCCAGCGGACACGAATTTGCATACCTGCTGACGCCACACATTCCTTTCGAACCAGATTTCATCACAACACTAGGCACACTCTGTGATACACTGGTTGATGTGTACGCCAAGCTCATGGAGATCATTGGTGGCCCAGACAGCTGCACTGCAGCAGTCGGCGATGCCTTTGCGAAGGCGGACAAAGCCATTCGAAAGATCCTGATATCAAACCTCGTCCGCGAGTTCGAAGACAACACTCGCGCAGGTATGAAGGGCGAGATCGCAGGCTTGGGCAAACTGACGCTCGGAGGTCTCATGTAGGACATGAGCGAGCCTCAGCTTGACAGCCAGAACTGTGGATGAATCTATGACATATGTTTCGCAATAATGACGGCACAATTGGAGGAAGAATCAAACGACACGACAGACTTAACGACTACAACCACATGATACCCTTTCGATTGCACAGGCAGGCGCTGGCGGGAGGATTTTGTGAAGCAGAGATTTTATCTAGCTGCGGTTCCGCGCGGCTTAACATGTACAGTGGATATAGCTGATATGTCAGAAACGAATGTGTACATCATCATCCCACTTCATCTTCGTCTTTGAGCCCCTTAATCCTGATAAGCCAGTGGTATCCTGCTCACTGCATATCTCCGAAAGATGCCCAGAGCAGCGTAAGGCGTGTATGATAGACTGCACTCTGGATTCGAAGTTGCAGAACAGATTGACGTTCCAACAAGACGGCATGCTTCATTGACATACACCCGTTACGTGCTTCCATAGTAGTTCCTCGATGATAGAGATATCAACTTCGGCTTAAGCCTCCCCCCAGCGACATCGGCCACCTCGGGCAAACAACTAACGCCATGAATACCCGCTCGGCTCAAGGAAGTTTTTTCTTACCACCACACATCATCAAACCCAATGCCTCACGCTGCATCGAAGATCATATAAAGCCGTACCTGCATAAATTATAACCGCGTATCAATGTGCATGCATTTCGGTCTTGTCGCTTTCCCGAGCCAACCAGCCAGCTAGCTAGCCAGTAGGAGTCATGAACTGTGGTTGGTTGTTGTTAGTATGACTCCTTGCATAAAGATTGCTTTGCTTTGACCGCTGTCCGCTGTCCGCTATTCGGCCGTTTCATTCAGTCATACGTCAATTGACATTGGCTTATTATTACTTGCCTGCCGGATTCCCTACTTTACTCCCTGAGTTTCTTTCGTCTTTCGTCTTTTGTTGTCCATCGCTACTTGACTCATACAACAAAACCGGGACGGGACGAGCACTTCAGAAGAAAATTTCTTCACTACTGCAACCTCAAACATCATCTCTTGGAAGACTCATTCCATTCGCATACAACAAGAGAAAAACAACAACAATGGCCCCCGCAGCCCTCACCCCGGAAACATCCGGTGCCAACACGCCCACCTCAACATCAGCCTCCGCCCTCACCCAAGCAGGAATCAAGCACGCCTTCAAAAACTCCCCAAGCGCCGGCCCCGATACATCGAAAATGACCTACACCTACACCCGCACCCCCCGCCCCGTTCCCGACCCGGACTCCGCCGAAACAAAAGCCCAAAAGACTTGCACCGACCACATGGTCACGGCACGCTGGACTCTCGAAACCGGCTGGGACGCACCGGAACTCAAACCCTACGGTCCCCTCGCCATCATGCCCTCCGCCTCCGTCCTGCACTACGCAACCGAATGCTTCGAAGGCTTGAAACTTTACCGCGGCTACGATGGGAAACTCCGGTTATTCCGCGTCGCACGCAATTGTGAGAGGATGTTGAAAAGTGCGAGGAGAATCGCGTTGCCGGATTTCGAGCCGCGGGAGTTGGAGAAGATGATTGTCACGCTTTGTGCGACGGATGGGGAGAAATGGTTGCCGAAGGAGAGGGCGGGGCATTTTTTGTATATTCGGCCGACGTTTATTGCTACGGATGCTGCGTTGGGGGTGCAGAGACCGAGGGAGGCGCTTTTGTATGTGATTGTGGCTTGTTTTCCCGATATGAGTAAGTCGATGCCGCCGGCGTTGAATGGTGCCGCGAAGCATGCGAAGGAGGGGTTGAAGTTGTTGGCGAGTAATGAGGATACGATTCGTGCGTGGCCCGGAGGGTTTGGGTATGCGAAGCTTGGAGCGAATTATGGGCCTAGTCTGGTTGCGCAGGGGGAGGCGAGGAGTAGAGGGTTTGATCAGGTGCTGTGGCTTTTTGGGAAGGAGTGTTGGGTGACTGAGGCTGGTGCGTCGAATTTCTTCGTTGTGATGAGGGAGAAGGAGACGGGAAAGCTTCAGTTGATCACGGCACCTTTGGAGGAGAGGATCATCTTGGAGGGTGTGACTCGTGCTTCTGTGCTGGAATTGGCGAAGGAGCGCTTTGCGAAGAAGACCAATGAGACCGAGGAGGTTGAAGTTGTGGAGCAGCGCTTCACGATGCATGATATCGTTGCTGCTAAGCAGGAAGGTCGTTTGGTGGAGGCTTTTGCTGCTGGGACTGCTTTCTTCATTGCCCCGGTCGGCCTCATTCACTTCCGCGGCATCGACCACGATATCCCAATGGCTGATGGCCAGAGCGGAATCTATGCGAGGTTGATCAAGACTTGGCTCGTGGATATCATGTACGGTAATGAGCAGCACCCGTGGGGCATCGAGGTGAAGTAATCGATTTCTGCCGAGCGTTTTCATAGTCGGGCGCCTGGAGTGTGAAGGGATTGGGTAATGGTCTTGAGTGTTCATAAAAGCAGATTGTAATGCCACGCTTGTGCGGACATGGGGTTGATGTCTCCTTCTTGGCTGTCCTCCAGCCGTTTCATCGCCGAATTCTGAAGAGGGTGTAGCTCGACTGATAATTTTGCATGGCAATTCTCCATGGCCGCGCGCCTGTGCCTATCTCAGGCCTCGTGCAAATACCTTGGATGCATGCAAGAGCTCAGCGATAGTCGTTGATACTCAGCTATAACAGTCTAGCCATGAGTATAACTCCGATGCGTTCTCAGCAAGAGCATATGGTAGAAACCATACCAAAACCTGCAAGTGGGACCGGGCGTAGACGAAAGCACTTTGATTAATGTGTGGAGATGCTTTTCAAGTTTGCTCCCTTCACCAAAAAAGTCAGCCCTCATCCACACACTCCCATCCCATCCCGTCACCCTCGTCACACTCACCCATAAGCACTCTTCAACTCCTTAACCGAACTCTTCGCAAGATAAATGGTCAAAACAGGAACCTTCCTCTTCCTCTTCACCATTCTCTCATCATCCTCATCCTTTTCGTGCAGCAGCTCAAACGCCTCATCATCATCATCATCCTCCTCCTCATCCTCTACATGCCCTTTCCGTGGCATCTCAACCATCTTCGAGCTCAAAGCATTATACTGAAAGCATTTCTCCCCTTTAGCGAGAAATTCTCGTTTCGAAATTTCGGCGATACTGATTGATTTACTCGCGGTTTTGGAGGGGGCTGTCAAGGCGATTAGGGCTTTTTTGTTTTCTTTGCTGTCGCTATTTTGTGAAGAGAGATGTTTTGTGATGGCCGTTGTGCGGCTTGAGATTTTGGTTGATGAGGATATTGAGAGGTTTAGGAGGTTGTATTTGTTGTGGAGGGTGGTTGAGTCGAGGGCCATGGGCGGCGGTTTCTATGGTCGAAGTCCGTATATCAGCCTCGGATGAACACGCTACACGTGAGAGCAAAGGCTGGTGAGCGCAGAAGGTTCAAGGGAAGGCGGCGGAGATTAGGCAGACGCGATGCATGTGACTTGTCAGAAGTTGATGGCGGCGGCGTAGAGCCGAGAATCTGGCGGCGTTCCGGGTTGCGGGACACGAATTATTGACTACGTGCTGTATAATAGCTCTTTCGCCTTCACGAAGTTGTGCTTGACGATGCTAACAAGGAAAGCATCAGCTGCGATGGCATGCACGATGCAGTGTATACATCATTGTGGTACGGAGATTCCATCAGACATCAGACACGTACGCTCTCAGCCTCATGTGTTGCGTGATGATTGCTTCTCACGTGTTTCTCAGCACCTAGCGCTGCTCGTTTCGCATTCCAGCATGCTTGCCCGGCAAACAAATGTGCCGACAGCCTGGCTCGCGAGTCGTTTGTTGTGCACCCACGACATGCCCTCATCAACAACGTGAGAGCCTACAATAGTATTACTAGTAAATTCCCACGGCACTTGGGATTGGGAGTGGAAGCACGACAGAAGCTTCTACCGTGCGCCTCTCAGGGGTGACGGGAGGGTGAGGGCACCTCATTATTATTGTCATATTGATGGCCCAAAACAGTCTGGCACGATCGCCCGACCAGCGCGGACGCGAGGAGGTCGATCGCGTCCGGCCAATGGGGAGGATTACCAGCTTCCTCAAGCTTCCGACGGGCATGCAGCCGCCGGCACCCATGCGTGGCTCTTGCGCAGAACGAAACACGCCTGTACTGGCAAAAGCTATTTTGCAGGTACCTCCATGCTGTTTTGCAGGTACCCACCCGAATCGGGGAGGCAGTATCCGCACTGGGTATAGTACGCTTGACAGTATAAACTGGCTAAGAATGGTATAGCGTGCTAGGCGCTCGACGCGTCGCGTGTTCTACTTCGTAAATTCTTATATTCTTTATAATTCAACGGTATAGCGATTCTAAGGTATTGTTTACTACTTAATATACCTATATCCGCTTCTTAAGCTCTTTACGAGTCGTCCGTACTAGAACCTAGCGATTTCTTCTAGGATACTAAAGACCTCGGAGATCTAAGACCTAGTAGTAATAGTCCTATTAGAGATAGTAGTTTTAGTAAGAATAAAAACGAAGAGGTAGATTTAAATAATCTAAATAATAAGGAGCGTCGTAAGTACGAATTAGAAAGGCAGGCGCGGAAAGAAGACGAGGATCGTAAAGCTGCTAGTAGTAGTAGTAATAGTAATAGTAATAGAGTAGTATAGACTGCTTAGTAATTAGCCTCTTAGGTTAAGAATAAGGAAATCGAGGTCGAGGAAGAAGATAATAAGTCCGTAGCGCCACTAGCGCTAGTGCTAGTAGACACCTATTATTCGATAGCGGTATATAAGCGTAAGGTTTACGCGTATACCGCAAAGGCGCGTTATAACCTCTATATTAAGTCTACGACTAAATCGCGAGCGCTTAACCTATAGCTTCGTAGCAAGATTATTAGTCGCTAGATATAGTGTGTAGGAGCTAGTAAACCGACTAATAAGAGTGCTAAGACGAAGAGAAAAGAAGCGACCTCTAAGCGCTATAGGTGTCTAGTGCGCCTTACTATTAAGGCTATAGATTCTATAAAGCCGGATAGTCGATAGCAAGTTAAGAGGCAGGTTAGCTCGTATAACTACGGTCTAGCGGATTCTACGCGCGACTTCGCGAGTTACCGTCGGCGGTAGCGTAATAAGGCTATATAGAAGGCTATTGTCGACGATCTAAATGCTAATGCGAGTATATATACGACGTTATATAGGTTTATAGAAAGCAACGATTATAAGTTGAATTCTTCGAAGTTAACCGGCCGAGTCTCGGCCGGTTAATATTTAGTTACTTCTTCCCTTCTTAACTTAACCCTCTTGCTTATAATACACTATCTATAGGCATTTAAATCGTTAAGGACCTTTAGAATGTTAGGCTCTAGGTACGGAAGGCTGTATAGGGTAATTTAACTGCCCTTAAGGCCCTATTTAAGCAGCTAACTAAGCTAGGTTTCTACTTTAGAAAGCAGGTAGACCTAAGGAACGGGAAACTCGACAAATTGCTCGTAATCAACCCTTAAATAGCCGAGTTGTACAAGCTATATCCGGACTACATTATTATTAATAATACCTATAAGACAAACAAGTACAATCGGCTATTGCTTAACATCGTGTCTAGTACTAGAGCTAGAGATATAATCCCTCTTAGGTACTATATTATAGGCAATAAGGATGAAGCTGCCTTTACGTAGTTTGCTAAGAACTTCTAGTCTATTTGCTAGGAGTACGATCTACTATAGCCTAGTCTATAGGTTACTAATCGAGACTGTAGCTATATAAATGCCCTCGATAAGACCTATCTACGCACTCCGGCTCTTATTTGCGCCTAGTATGTATTTAAGAACGTACAGGCGCAGGCACGGAAGCTAATGCCTTAGAAACAGGTACTTAATAAAGAGATAGGCAAGAATGAGTAGCAAGACGACCCCGACTGCGCTACCTTCGTAGACAACTTCCGGACCTGCGTCTACGCTAAAACAGTAGAAGAATTTAACTCTAAAGATGCCTTCCTTAGCAACTATAAGAACCCTTACTTCGTAGCCCTTCGAGACTATATTTAGCGTAAATACTAGCCTTATAAGCATAAGCTAGTATACTGCTTCTAGTAGCGCAAATTCCCTTTCTACGGGCAGTTAGTTACTTCTAGAGCTAAAGGCGCTTACTTAACTATAAAGAGGTAGCTTACTAGTAGGCGGTATAACATCCTTACACTCTTCCTTAAGCTAAAGCTATAGTAGATGATTAGGTACTCGGAGATTAAGGTACGAATAGGCCGAGAGCGGAAGGGTATACCTATAGTACTACGCCGACCGGAGTTTGCTAATATTAATACAAAGCTATATAGGAAGGCCTTATAGAAGGGCCTTAATTAGCTTAGATTAGCGTACGAAGAGATAGCTAAGCTTGCTAAGCAACTAGGTAAATAGCGCTCTTAATGCTTAGGCTGCTTTTAGAAGTTATAGGGTGTCGTTTGTAAGCATATAATAATCGATACTATTAAGTTAACTAGGTCCTTCGAATTCGACCCCTATATATACTTCGATAGGCACTAGCATATCGACAAAGCCGCGGCGCTAGTAAGGGCTATTATTAAGCTTAAGAGACCGGTTTAAGAGCTATTAGTATTGCTAAACAACCGCTATAGAAGAGGTAGAACGACTAGGAGATACGTCCGTGCTAATCAACGAGAGGCTTCTAGCTTCGAATACGTAGATTAGTTAAACCCGGCTTCTTAAAGAGGCTGTAGACGGCGTACGAGGGCATCTACTTAACAACCTCGTCGTACGGCAATATAATAACTACGACCTTTAGCTCCGCTAGTCTATACGCCTGCTAAGCGCTACGGCTTTATCAGCAACGATCTAGCTAGTATTTAAAGAGCCGCTATAGCACTTAATCGACAACGTCTAATAGCGCTAGTACCGCTAGTAGTGCCTTACTTAAAGCGATAGTTTATCTAGTTCTATAGCAGTTAACCTATACTACCGCAGGCTATAGGTCTACTAGCAGCGACTTAATCTACTATATTTAGTGCCGCTCCGCTACTATCAAACTAATAGGTATTTACTTAGTAATAGTATATACTAGGTTCTATAGCTCTACCGTTTATAGCTCTACTCCGCGGAGGTCTATAGTAGTAGTAGCAAGGTCTATAGTAGTAGCAGCCGGTGCTGTACCCTCGTAGTTATTAGTATGCAGGTTATAGCAATTAGTTCTAGAAGTCTTATATATCTATAGCCTCCGGAAATGCCTCCTTCTTAACCCTAAGCGTTACTATAGACAGCTATACTACTAGTTATTCGAATTGGTAGGCAGTGTAATGCTCAGATATGCTAAATTAGGTCGAATTACACTGTAAATCGTCCGTGTACGCACTTGTCTACATCAGGGTAGGTACCTGCAAAATAGCATGGAGGTACCTGCAAAATAGCTTTTGCCGCCTGTACTGCGTCAGGACTTGCGCGCCAGCCAATGATAATCCGCATCGCCAGCGCTGAGCCCGGCGGCCCACTCCTTGCTGTCGTGTCCTGCTTGTGCCTCCCGCTCCCATCGTCTTTCGTTCGCATCTCTGGGACAAACGTCCAACCTCATCCGCCGTGCGAACCCTTTCTACACTTGTTGCTTCGCTTCTTTCCTTCTCCCATGCACCTTGTCTTGTGTTACTAGCACCCGTTCTAATACATACAACTTCACGCCTCGCCGCCTCTTCCACACCCCCATTTGACCCTGTGTGCGCCCTTATCTCCGCTGTCCGTCGCCTTCGACCTCGCCCACTGGAGCAACACCGACACCTGCACCACCCAGCCGCAACCACAACCACGAACCGCGAGTGTCCAGAGGCTGTAAAAGTCTCCCGGTCGCTTCCAACCTCGATCACACCTTGACCCTCCTTCCCACCTCTTGCGACTCAAATGCGACAACGATAAGCCCGCTTTATTGTCGCATAAAACCTCTCTGCGCGCTTGATGGAGGCAGAAGCTTCTACGCAGCCTTTCTGCATTTGTTAGAGTCTAGCACTGCGCTCATCATGCAGAGCATATTTCGGCTGCCATGGGGCGGCGATCACAACCTCAAGTTGTCAGACAAGGCTCCTCTCGACAAGATGCGACCTATGGTAGAAATACCCATGCTTCAAGACTTGAAGAGAAAGCGATCTGCCAGCTCGGATGCTGCATCGCCACCGCAAATGCCGCCAGTCAAGAAACACCAAAATGAGTCTGTGCGCCAGACTTTCGCAGCTGTAGATAAACACTCCGCTCAAATGCCAGCTTCGGTAAACGACACATCTCTAGCGAGTCCCGCCTGGAACCGTCTGGCACCGCGAGAAACACCTGCTCCAGCTCCTGAAAACCCGTCACCGACATCGCTGGTACAGCCAAAGGAGGCGCGAGCTCCTTGCATTCCGAAAGCCATGCCCACAAAACCTCTTCCGGACCACTCCATTTCTGTTGCTGCACACGATGAGACGGCGCGCATGTCCAGTCTGACCCCGCTCCAGCAAGTCATTGAGAACGAATTCAACCTGCAGATTCTCATGAAGCATAACGAGCTTCGCTTGATTGAGCAGGAGCTTGCAAAGTGTCAAATCGCTCTCGAGCAGCTGAGGAGATGCGAGCTTCGTCCGTATCCAGGCACCAGTGAGCCATCGTCTGCCGTGACTCAAGGTACTGGCCCCGCCATCCTGCCTCCGGCTGGCTACTCGACTCCAGCGCACCCGCCACCTCACGGAGTCACCGATGGTCCATACTCGCGACATTACAGGCAGTGGCTGCTACACGATCCTCTTTTCGACTCAATTTCACCCGAGGCCATGGCTTACGCCGAAGCTAACGCTGGTCGTCCGACTCGTGGCCACGTGCGGAAGCCGCTCAACAAGTCGATCAGCAGTACGAGAGGTTCGGACGTGAACCTCAGCATACCGAACTATCCTCCACCAGCACCACCGAAGGACAAATCTGCACCTCTCGTTCTCAAGCGATCCACCGACGGTCAACTTGTCAAACTTATTTGCAACAACTGCTTGCGGGGAAATTTCAGCAGCATTCAAGGCTTTTTGAACCACTGTCGCATTGCTCACAAGGTCGACTATAAGAGCCACGACGCTGCAGCGCTGGACTGTGGACGACTGCTTGACGAGAACGAGAAAGCAAATCTGCCGGCCGAGACCCATGCTGCTCACGCACCGAAGCCAAGCGTCAGCCGCATCTCCACTTCAGCCGTCTCAACGCCTGTCAAGCTGCAGACTCATGGGAACCTGACGCATCCCATGAACACTCCAGCCGGCTTGCCTGCAGTCGCGCCTCGGCCTGTCCCTCAAATCCCCGCTGCACCGGTCAACAGACATGCACCGTCCTCGTTCGGCTCTGGTACTTTCAAGGCTTCTTCCCAGACTCCACGCCTCTCCAACTTCATGAGTAAGCATGGCATGGGTGGCGATCTCGAGCAAGCTGTGGCCGCTGCGCGTGCGAAGATCGAGTTCCACGACGAGGATTTGCTTTCGCCAGACACACCTTCCGATCCGAACTCACCTGTGACTCCTTTCGGCCCTGCTGGCCGTACTGTTGGTGGTTCAAGTTACTTCCCTCGTCCGCCCAGCCGCAAGGGATTTCGTCAGCCATCTCAGCGGCCTCGGCCATCTCCATTGGCGCCTGCTCCACCACATGAGTCGCACATCGATAGCCAGATGTCTTCGCCTCACGAACTCAATTCTGCCAACTTGAGTCCACATACCGATCTTCCCGGTATGGTTAGCGACCACGAGGATGATGACCATAGCGCTTCTGAAGAGGAAGTCCCACATGTCGAGGACGTCGCTGCTCGCCCACCTTTGTCCACTGGTTCCAGGACTTGCGATGCCATGGATATTGACATCGAGGAGGAAAACGTGGATGGCATTGATCATGGTGTGTTGATCCGAAGAAACAGTATGCTTGCTGGCGAGGCTCACGGCATCCGAAGTGCCGGCAGCCCGAGCAGGAAAATTGGAGGAAAGTGAGATAGCGGGCATTCTATCTCTGTCACGTGGCTGCAGCTGCAGCATCTCTCGACTGAACAGACTGCGAGCGCCTCTGGAAGCGAATCTTCTTTGACGGCGTGCATTTGTGAGTGTGTGGCACGATGGACGGCGTCCAAAAGTGCCAGTTGATAAGATATTGTGTGTGTGTGTGTGGAGACTACAACGAATGTGTTGCTGAAAGCAGTCAGCAATTGTATACGGCCTCGCTCAGTCTTTGAATAGATCCTAGAGCCATGGAAAACAACCAAATCTACTCTCTACAAGATACTTGGACCAAAAGTCTCACGATTTCCCATTTGCTTCAGCACCTACATCTTGTCCTTTACGGGACCATCTCGCATAGCTTACTTAGGTGGAAGATCTGTTTGGCGAGGGGAGGCATGTTTTGATGTTTGTCATACGTGTTTGGGAGCATGGCTTTTTGGGAAGGAAACATCACTGCCAGGAAGCAGTCTGTGACACTTTTGAGAATAAAGGGGCGGCTTGGAAGCTCCTCAGCGCATCAACTTGGGAGAATTCGTTTCGTTTCGTTTCATATCCTTCATTCCGACATCACTCTTCGCGAGACTGAACCTACTCATGTGACGACTGATTGTGGCGGCGGAACAGCTCCCAGAAAACCATCGACAAAAGCTTCGGCCTCGCGACTGACTTTCCCAGCATCACTTCGCGCGAGCGCGTTCCTCTGCGCAGTCAAAACTTCCGGCTGCTCCATAGCATCCTTCATAACTTCTCCCTCCTTCATCCAATACTCCTCAAACCTCTTCCTCGACGTGGCGTCCCTGACCGTACCATTCCTCACAACACCTAGCGCCTGGATCTTGCCAAGCGTAGCCTGGAGACGCTGTGCGTGATCCAAAATCCTCTCGCCGGCGGGCGTAGGTGACAAGAATGCGCGGCCGGTAGCTTGGAGCCAGATGATCCAACCCAAAACCCCGTCCGTCGTAGCAATCCCAAGACCTCGCCACACGGCCATCTTCCAATGTATGAAGTTAACATCGTTGACTCTAACGCTGCGCACATTGGGCGTATCGTCAAAATACGCAATCCACAACGTCTCCCCAATCGCCAACCCCAGTCCTGCAATAATCGCAATCGTCCGCCACCGCGCGCCTTCCCTACCGCTGAGAAACCCACTCGTCGCAACTCCCAGCGCGAACAGGTGGAATAAATGCGGCGCGAGAAGTTTCGGAATCGCGTAAATCAAGTAGTTCCTCGCAGCTTCCATCTCGCCTGCCTTCCCCAAAGAACAATTCAGCACCACATCCGGTCCATATCTCGCGTACAGTAATCTCGCTTCGAGCCCGCCTTGATCGAAGATTGTGCGGAGTTCCTCGTCCTGAGGGGTAAGAGGACGTAGAGAAGCGAGGCGAGTCAGAAGGACTCCCGCCGACGTGTGCAGGCGGGATTCCGTGAGGCGGAATATATTTTCTGGGGCGAAGAGGGGGAAGGTGGAAATTAGGGCGAGCAGGCCTGAGGTGAAGAGGACTGTTAGTGCGTAAGAGGTTTTTTTCTGGAGGGGTTTGATTTGGGTTGGTGGTCGGTTTTTGAGGCTTCGGTAGTAGGCGATGGCTTTCGGGAGGAGGAGAGGGCCGACGAGGAGGAGGAGACTCTGGATTCTAGGCGCGAGGTCAGTGGATGGAGGGTTTGGAAGGGTGTCTCGTTCGATGTGCTTACGTTCCCCAAGATACCATCTTCAGTACTACTTGCTACTTGTTCGAGTCGTGGAGATCGCGACACGGACAAGAAGTGATGTTGTTGGCTATGCTACAGCATGCATGTATGCTACGTGTCGTGTCGGCAAGTGTGGGCGAGATCGGCGTGCCCACCCAAATATTGATGGATGTCTTTATTAAAATTAAGTAAAGCGACACTCTGCCGAGGCCTCACAAGAATGAGGTCACCACTTTCACTTCACTCACAAGACTCTTGCATGTGCATACAATTTCCCCCTGTTTCCTTCGTCATATGCATAGATAATAGACTGCTATACCATGTCAAATGTCTGCCAGCGCGGCGACCGGACTTGCCATCACAAATCCTCTAGTGAAATACCGAGCACTCTTGGCTACCAAAGCAATCGCTTCTGATCCCGTACACAATCTATCCTGATCCGATTTTTGTGCACTCGATGCTGACGTCTGAGACAGGCACAACACCGCCTTGCTATACAACTGGCCAAGCTTTACGATCGCTTAAAGGATTACGAGCCCGAGCTAGAATATTCCCATAGGCTTGACCAGATATCGCGAGCCATTGGATCTCAAAGACGCATTACAGATCCCAAACAAGATGCTGCTGCTTCAAGGCAAGGGACTTGGCGATCATGGTTCGCTACCAAAGAGAAAAGAGATTCTCTTGCCCTCACACGGCGATTGACCTCCCACGAATCGGCCGTGCAGATGGATTCTCCAAAAGGCTTGATGCTCCACGGCGAAGTCGGCACCGGAAAATCAATGCTCATAGATCTCTTCGCAGACTGTCTACCCAATCGAAAGAAGAAAAGAAGTCATTTCAACACATTCATGCTCGAAACTTTTGCGAAGCTAGAAGCCTTGCGAGTCGATCGAAGCAGAGCTGGGATCTCTTCACTGCCGTCAGCTCTTGCTTTCGCTGAAGAAGATTATTCTCTCCTTTGGCTGGCCAAGGATATGGTTCAAAACAGTCCCATACTTTTCCTAGACGAATTTCAGATGCCGGATAGGGTGGCATCTAAGATCTTGACGAATCTCATGACGGGATTCTTTCAGCTTGGCGGAGTGCTTGTGGCGACTTCAAATCGAATGCCAGAGGAGCTTGCGAAAGCTGCAGGAGTAGGCTTTGCGCCCGCACCGCAGCAGCCAACGTGGGCATATTCTCTCGGCCTTAGGAGAAGAGGCCAGAGCGAAAGCAAGTATGGTGGCTACAATGAGTTTGCTGCTTTTCTCGAAGTGCTGAAAGCGAGATGCGAAGTCTGGGAGATGGAAGGTGCTCGAGACTTTCGAAGAATGGACAGCGGCAGTGTTGCTCCAGTCAAGGACATCGACTTCAACGACGCAGATTCCGGATACGTGACTGCTTCGGAAGCAAGTGCACCTGAAGACACATCATTCACTCCTACCAAGATGCCGAAACACTACATCATCACGGCTGATCCAGAGTCGACGGAGCGTGAGACCGAAGCATCGATCAGAGAAGCTCTTGATGGCCAATCCATCGACACCACCGCCTGGTCTCGAGCAGTCATGAATGTCTACGGCCGAGTTGTCGAAATCCCCCGAGCCTACAAAGGCGTCACAATGTGGACCTTCGAAGAACTCTGCAAAGCAACATTCGGCCCCGCGGACTACATCTCTCTCGCATCCAGCTACCACACCCTCATCCTCACCGAAGTCCCAATCCTAACCTGGCTAATGAAAAACGAAGCCCGTCGCTTCATCACCCTCCTCGACGCCCTCTACGAATCCCGCTGCAAACTTTTCATCTCCGCAGCCGCAGGTCCCGACGACATCTTCTTCCCAGAAGAAGAAATCCAGAAATCCAACGAAGAAAGCGACAGCGTCTACTCCGAAACCCTCTCAGAAGTCTACCAAGACGCAACAGCCCCCTTCCGCCCCAACATCCTAACCCAAAACCCCAACTACGCAGAACCACACCCGGAACCCGATTACACCCACGCTCGCCTAGCAGGTCTCCTCCGAGCCGACTCTCTCGACGACGGAACCCCCATCTCCCCCGGCGAACGCGGCGGTTCGAAATCCAACCCTTTCGCCCGATCGTTCGGAAAAACCGACGCAGAGTTACAAGAGGAGAGGAAGCAAAACCGGAAACCTATAGATCCCGACGAAACCACCGAAATCCGCGGACCCGCAGATTTCACCAAAACTTCCGCTTTCACGGGCGAAGATGAAAGGTTTGCGTATAAACGCGCGCAATCGAGGTTATGGGAAATGTGTTCTGCGAGATGGTGGGGGCGTGAGGGAGAGGGTTGGCATCGGCCTACGGCGAGGGAAATTCGAGGGTGGGAGAGGGTTCAAGGGAGGGATACATGTCGTGCGAAGGATTTTGTTGTTCCTAAGGGTTCTACGGAGGTTAAGATGGGGGGTGCGATTGAGGATTCTTCGAGGCCGGAGGAGAGTTTTAAGAGGGTTGATGGAGCGAGACTTGAGCCTGCGAGGAAGATTTCGTGGGTGCATTTTTGGGGGATGAGGAAATGGGGGAAAGGTGCTGGGGTTTGGGGGCGAGGGGTTGAGGGGTTGGAGGATAGGGGGGGTGAGAAGAGGTGAACCCATGACTGAATCAGAGATTTCGATGTGGAAATGGGGGAAAGGTGCTGGGGTTTGGGGGCGAGGGGTTGAGGGGTTGGAGGATAGGGGGGGTGAGAAGAGGTGAACCCATGACTGAATCAGAGATTTCGATGTGGAAATCGAGAGGAAGAGTGCAGCAGTAATCGGTCGAGGCTCCGCAGCAGCACCATATAGAGATCTTCATCGCAGTGCAATGACAGCATGCTCTGATCTCGTCAGCGCTCGGCGAAGCTCATATGCCCAATGCCCGCCACGGCATTGGAATCAAATGCACGTTATCTACTTCAAATTCTATTCCTACGCCCAAACGCCCATGTTTCCTGCTCTTAGCAAAGCATACGCAGATATGGATCGAGTGGTAATCCGATCGTGGTGTCCGTAGCTCTACAGATACAGAGATTGAGCAGCCACGATATCTCGTCGAACCTTGGTAAGAGACTGTTCGAATTTCTCTTTCAGTTCCTCACTTCCCATGACCTTGGCAGCTTCCGCAGTCTGGCGGAGAAGCTCCTCGAGGCGGCGGAAGAGTCGGATGAGGGATCCTTCGTAGACATCTGTCATTGTGCTGCGGACATGATCAATCAGTACTTGCAGTTTCAAAATTTGAGTGGTGGTGAGCACTTACCAGATCTTTGCGAATGTCTCGCCATGGCACCAAGCATACACGACCTCCATCAGCTGAGGCTTAAAGGATTGCAAGTATTCCTCTTCGTTGACAAGGACCTTGCACTCCATCGAGACCTTGGCGACCTGTCGAGCTGCGGCCTGGACTTCCCTAAAGGCCTTGCCGAGCTCTTCCTTCAGCTGTGGCGCGTCATCGCTCTTCTCCTCGAAGATGAAACAAGATAGAACGGCTGCGCACTGCTCCGGTGTGAGATCGTTGAAAAAGCCGTTGAACAAAAGTTCTGATATCACAAGCTCGTCACCAGTAGAGATCTCGCACGCCACGCGAGCCTTGATTTGCACGACATCTGCTTCGTTGACGAATCCTAAACGGCGAAGGACACGCTTGCGATTCTTGAGCTCGTCGAGCTGCAGCACAGACAAAGCATCTGTCATCTTCTTGCGAAGATTCTTGATCTCAGTCCCGAGCTCGACCTTGGCAGCGTATTTGTCGTAAAGCTCAGGTAGACGCTCTGACTTGTGCAGAGGATGCGAAAGCAGCTTGTGTTCCAGGACTTCAATCTTGCGGAGGAGCTTCTTGAATCCATCATCGTTGATGCCCATATTCTCAATCGGATCCAGAATGGCTACACCATCTGGAAAGCGGCGCGAGATCTCCTCAAGGGCCTTGCGTACAGTATTTCGCTGCTCTTGTGCTCTCAGGTCGTTGGGCATGAATACTCTAAGATGACCGACGCTGTCAATCGTACCATTCATGACGGGTACAACCTCCATCTTGCTCTTCTCGCCTGGTGCAGGTGGTCGAACGCCTGGAGGAAGGTCATCCTTGAGTTGACTGCGATCCGGTGGAGTCACATCGGCAGCAACATTCATGATGACATCAACCACCACACGTTGCGAGGATGGGATGTCTTCTGCAGTCTGATTCCGACCAGGCCTCACGTTGGTGAAGTTGACGACCGCACCCCAGCCAAAGTCGTGATCCTTGTACTTGATCTTGACTAATCGACCGCTCTGCAGGAATCTAGTCAGGTACTGTGGATGGTTGATGACTTTCTTCATATCGTTGGCGTAGTTCGTGAGGCTCTGACGCAGATCGTAGTACTCCTTGATCTCGGCCTCATCTTCAATGATCATGTCAGCACGCTTCTGCTCCAGCTCCATCAATTGCTTCTCCAGTCCAGAGACCGAAGCAGCATTCTGAAATTGGAAGAAGCAGCGCTCCAGCATAAACTCTGGGCTGATGCCCTCAACTCGAATAAGGTTGAGTACCATGTTGTAGCCAAGATGGAAGGCGCTGTTGAGCTTGTCCTGTTCGCCACGGACAATCTCCTTCGCCACAGTGGGATCCATCTTTTCGTCGATCATCATGATCACAATACCTCGCTCATCGAGACCTCTTCGACCAGCGCGACCTGACATTTGAATAAACTCGGAAGGTGTTACCCAGCGCTGGGTGACACCATCAAACTTGCGCACAGAGGTGAAAACGACGGTCTTCGCCGGCATGTTCAGACCAATCGAGAAGGTCTCGGTTGCGAAGAGGACCTTGATGAGACCTTCCTGGAACAGAATCTCGATGGTTTCCTTCAGGATGGGAAGAAGACCGGAGTGGTGGATGCCAATGCCACGGCGTAAGAGTGGTAGAAGATGCAAGATCTGTGGCAGCTGCTTATCCTCTTCTGACAGCATCTCGATTGCGGAATCGAAGACCTTTTGCACCATCTGCTTTTCCGAGTCATCGTTGAATGCCAGTTGGGACATCTGCAGAGCATAGGTCTCGCATTCTCGCTTGGAGAAAGAGAATACAATAACAGGGTTGTAGTTCTTCATCATGATCATCTTGACGATCTTGTAGATGTCTGTCGGACCTTCCTTCTTGCCACCCTTGTTCGTCTTCTTATCCTTGCCTCGGCCTTTTCGCTTAGCCATGGGATCAGACCCGTCATCGCCGGCCTTTTCAGCAATGGCGGCCATAGCCTTGTTGAAGTTCTCCTCTCGAAAAACCCCCTTCTCGTCCACAACCAGATGGATCCCTTCGGCACCAGCTGGAAAGAAGTAGTGCTGTAGTGGAGTCGGGCGGAAGTCGGTGTAGACGACGTGACATGGCTGGTTGTGAGTCTTGGTGATCCATTCTGCAAATTGCATGGCATTGGGGATGGTGGCAGACAGGAAGACATAGCGCACCTTGTCTGGCAAGAGGATGATGGTCTCTTCCCAGACTACACCTCGTGACTTGTCACGCATGTAGTGCACTTCGTCGAAGACTACCCATGCAACCTCACGCATGATCTCGCTGCCGCGATACAGCATAGATCGCAGAATCTCGGTAGTCATGACGAGACAAGTGGCGGTGGGGTTGATGGTGACATCGCCAGTCATCAAACCAACGTCACCGAACTCAGCCTGGAACTCACGATATTTCTGGTTGCTGAGCGCCTTGATCGGACTGGTGTAAATAATTCGCTGGTTGTTCTTCAGACATTGCGCAATGGCATATTCAGCGACTACGGTCTTTCCCGCGCTGGTGTGCGCGGAGACCAGAACAGACTCATTGCGCTCGATGGAAGCGATAGATACTTCCTGGAATGGATCGAGTTGGAAGGGCCATACGCGCGCCGGCTCCTCTGGGCGCTTGTGCTGCGAGATGGGCACGTATTCGTAGTCTGGTGGCAGTGAGACTTGATGCCGCACTTGGTGTTGCAATACAACAGCCTGGTCTTCCTTCTGCGCCTGCAGTCCCGCCGCGGCTGCGACCTCACGCGATTGCTCAGTCTCGAAAGTATCTGCTACAATGGGCTCCGGCTCATTCTCGCGGCGTTGTCGCTTCTGGCCACGCTGGTCGTCAGAGGATGGTGTTGCTGTATCAGCGCCAGCGCCAGCGCCAGCGCCATTGCCGCTCGCGGGATCCTTCGTCTCTGTGTGATCGTGTCCGATGGCCGCAGCATCTGACATGGCCACGTCGGCGCTGCCATTTTTAATGTCTCCGTTCAGGCTGCGCTTCCTGCTCTTTTTGTGCTTTGCGCCGCCATTCGCTTGCGGCTTCTCATCGAAGACATCGAACAAGTCGTCCTCCATGATGGCCCTCTCTGCCCGTGGTAATTTCGAGGAGCAGAATGCACGTGTGAGTGAGATGACAATGTTGGAGTGCTGGTGGTTTCTGCCGTTGTTTGTACCAAAAGTTCGATCGAGCTGCACGTGCACGTACGCCAAGCCGCCAAGCACGATCTAAAACTCAAACCTTGCACGGGGATCGCCGCAGAGCCGCACTCTCTCCGCAGGCCCACGCCCACGCTCCGAGCCTGATCCGGACTCGCATCAGCAACACCTCCAGCTACAATACACCTGTGACAGACATTCTGATTTCACGCCATAATTCAGCTGACCTGACTATAACAGTAGTGCCGCATACTGCAACCGATGAAAGTCGACATGTCGCCGCCTCCGTGCTCTGAGGCCACCAAAAGCTTCGCCTCGCTCTGGATCCTCACCACTTCAGCCACGCCCGCAACGGTCAACTTCGACCAAAACAAGCACAAGATGGCCGCACCCTGCGCCTTAGCCGCACCTAACGATCAACGGTATGAGTGAGAACGTGCCGTGAGACTCCGACCGCCAGTCGCAATTATTAGATCGCTACGCCAGCCGTGATTACGGCGCTCCTCCCACGGCTCCGTCAACTGCCTCAGCTGGAGAGCCGAAGCACAATTGTCCGCGCTATGTACCTTTGTATATGCACAACATGGTATTGCATGCTGCTCCACCCTGACTCTTTCTCCGTTTTTCCTTCTCTTTGAAACTAATACCGACCCACTGACACGCTGACTCAAAACACTCATTTCACGACGCTGGATACGAACAGCCCAGCATGATTACAGGGCTCGTCGTTGGTCTCATCACAGGCATGCTGGCCGCCTGTGTTCTCGTAGCCTTGATTTTCACCTATGCGCTGCGAGAACGGAAGAAGGCTGCTTTGCGGAAGAAGGGATACCTTTCAGCGCCGCCGACTCCAATTCAATTCGAGGTCACACCTCCACCACCAGGAATGGTAGAGCTGGAGTCGCCAATTGAGACGCCTGACCGAAGTCGTTCAATAGCATCGACAATGCAGAGCTATTCGCCTCCACCCTCACGTTCAACTACCACATCAAAGAGATCGATGTGCAGCAATTCACTTCCACCATCTCGGTCTACTACGAGATCTATGACCGGTATGATCAGTTCCACCGCGCGGACATCAAGAGGCAGACGTCCTCGAGATATCGTTACTGCCCGCTCACCTCTAACACTCGCAATGGAACCATCGACTGGGATCAGCTCACCAGTAAGCTCAATGCGTGCTTCAATTATGTCACCACCGTCGCCGAGGACCGGTATCTGGAGTGGTGCGAGAAGTCCCGTGAGCCTGCAGGACTTCCCTGTGAGCATACAAGAGGACGATGAAAAGATTAGCGTTCGAGCACCATCGCCAGCATTATATCTCGACACCTTGACTCCTGGTCCTCCAATTACAGGGTACTACGCAACACGCAAGCCTGTACCCCATCGCAACATGACTGTGGTTCTTGAAGGGGACTCTCGGCCAGCTAGTCCACAAGAAGATTCAAAACCATGCTCTCGAGCACCGTCAGTCAGCGGCGAATCTTTCAACTTCAATGCCTTTGACACACCAGTCGTTCAGACTGCAACAGCATACGACTTCACCAAACCAGCCAATACATCTCGACATTCCGTGATCCGACTTGACGAGCACGGCAAAGCGATGATACCAGATCAACCAGCAGCGACGGTACTGCAGTGAAGCAGAAAAAGAGCTCGATCTCCCAGCTTCGATCGCGAGCAGTCCAACAGCATCACCTCCGAATAATGGCCACAGTGCCTTCATGATACCCGATGATTGTGACGACGTAACGACTTGTATATATCCCACAAGCCGAAGCGAGCAGAGTTGGAAGCTCGCGTGATAATGGTACTTCGGTATAATGTCTTAGGCAGAATCAGAACTGGCATAATTTACTCGTTGGTCGCCTCCTCTATGCATCATTCTCAGTACAGCAAGTCGAGTTGTCAGCAGGTGTGTTGTCTTGACGCTTCTCAAAGGCTTGATCACCGCCTCGTCTGCACTTTGTCATGGTTCATCGGCTCTCCAACATGATGAGATCGAAGGAAGATCCCCTGTTGTGTCAGCGTCGACAACACAACGAAGGATCAGGACCTTCTCCTGCGCTATCGAGAACAGACCGAATGAAGATCAGCTCTGATGACGTACTCTCAAATGATCTACGCTGCACGTGAGACATGAATCATGGCCGTGGGGTACGGCTCGGTCCGGAAGATGCGGCTATAGGTAGCTTCAGCATAGCTAGCTCTCATCATCACCAACATTGAAAGCTCACTCAAGACATTATCATTGCAAAAATGGGCAGCCGCCTCTCCAAACCCAAAGGTCCAGCCGGGAGAACAGAATCCTCTGTCCCGGCCAGACCCAACGTGCCCCGCGCGATTAATTCCCGTACAATCGTAGCCCCAGCCGCAGCCGCAGTTGGGGCTTTAATACTTTTCGTATATGCACGAACCAGTATTCGAGCTGCCAAGGCTAATGCTCAGAGGCATAGAGATGCAGATACTGGAGGCGAGGGGTTGAGTTTGTTGGCGGAGCATCGAAGACGGCATGGGATGGCGAGGAAAGTTGAAGGTGATGAGGGTGGGACGGTGAGGCAGTTGGGGAGGGAGATTTTTGGGGGCGGTGGGAAGAAGCTTGAAGGGGATAGGGGTAGGGAGGGTGTAGATGGGGAAGATGAGATGAGTAAGATTTTGAAGATTAAGGGTGGGAGGAAGCGGAGTGGTGAGGAGAAGTGAGAGGTATGGGTGTCAGAGAAAGAGAGGATTTATGGTCTGTGGGAAGGTGTTGGAAGCCCTTCTTTGGGCATCGGATTCGCTCAGTAAGAGCGAATGGTCGACTTTGATACACCTTACACGTCGTTTGACGATGCTGTTCAGGACGCCAGAGTCTTGAGCATCTAAGATCCTGTCCGCGACTAGACAAGCTCTCATAGCTGGGCAAGACCTCAAGCGTGGCTACGACAAAGATCTATCTATGCGGAAGCCAGCCGCTACTTCGCGCTACCTTGCTGCGTGACTGGTGGGTACGTCTGGAGAGGTCAAAAGTCATGCTGACGCTATCGGAGAGATGTATCCCTTCAAATTTGGGGCAAACAGTCTCGACATTCGGACGTCGAATTGCCTCACTTGCCATCAAGGTCTCTTCCCATGGTTGACTGGCCCTGCATTGCGCCACCTGGAACCCTATTCTTGTGTCAGAGAGATGGAGCTGGCACGAATTAAGGCGGCGCAAGAGCGAGCAAGCTGTGTAAAGACATCATTGCTGGGTATATCATTAGTCTATAAGTCATTACCTGGACGGAAAATCCCGTCCTCCCAAGCTACTATTTGGAGTGTCCGGACAGCTCTGCAGGATTCCTGCTCCCTCCCGGTTGTCCTTCCTGGCCAGGCAATTCCGCTGCATGCCATCCTTTCGAACTCGACATCTCTTGCGCCGCTGGACTTGCAGCATCCATTTCTGATATTGGGGCATTATGAGGCGCTTCGACGAGTTCCTTGATTTCCCGACCACCGTATCCATTCGAGCCCTCCATTCTTGCTGCATCAGAGCCCTTTCTTTTCCGATAGAGAAAAAATGCCGCACCTCCCAGCACTGCAAGTCCAGCGATCACTCCAATAACGATCCCTGCGATTGCTCCCCCACTTAGACCGCCGCCATCGCTGCTGCCACTCGCAACAGATGACGAATCAGATCCCGTAGAATTCGAAGAAGAATTCGAGGATCCAAATGAGGTATCCAAAGGTGTAGGCAAGGGCGCTGGTGGTATAGCTTCGCTTCCAGGATTGAGTCGATTGTTGCGTATACAAGTCATGAAAGATTTCGGAGCAGCCAGAGTGATTGGCCTTGCGGAGTCTGCTATAGGCATGAAAGCAGTGATGAGTGGTGCCACGAAGTAATTGGCGTAGTAATAATTCTCGAGCGTTGCGGCTCCATATTGCGACCACATCAAGCTGTAGCTGCCGTTGATCGTGCAGATGGATTCGTTCACGAGCGACTGGCTACCCGTAAGAGCTCCGCCAAGCGAAGGTGGTCCTCCGCTGACCGACATTGGCAGAGATTCGTTGAAGAAGACTTTGCAGGACGCAGGGAAATTCTCCGTAAGCATTCGAGCCAGGTCGGAGCAGACGGTCGGTAGCGAGGTCGAGTTAAGGTTGCCATCTGGAGCGGAAGTAGGGTTCCCAGTCAGATTGACTGAATACTGGTTCGTCAGATCAAGAAAGTCGTTCACGCAGGTCTCGTCGAGCGCCTGCAAACACCCTCCAGAATCGTTTTGGCCCCTCTCGAAGGTGTTCAGTGTGAATTCGTTGATCCACAAGTAGCATGCATCGTAGCCAAGGTCGTAGTTGTTGGAGAAATTCGAGTTGCCTGGAGAAAACCATAAGGAGAGTTCGGTAATGTTACTATTCCCGGTGGAATTATATGACTGATAAGCTGTTCCTGCCCAGCTGATGGGCGAATTGGTTGTGCCCACGTCTGGATTAAAGGAGACGAGACTTGTCTATCGAAGAAGTGTCAAGATGAGAGTGGTCAGTGTGCTACTTGGATGACATACCGCATTGGCGTCTGCGAAACTCCGGTTGCACAGCTGAGAACCATTGAACGCGCTGTCCCGCGCATTACCTGGCGCGCCGGCATTCAATTGAGCCGCCGTAAAGCCTACGGCCGACGTAATAAGAAGGATTCGGGTTCGCATGGTTGCTCCAGATGATAGCAAGCAAAACGACACCTGAAAGGGGCAAAAGAGAGAAACAGAGCAGGATGCCTACCTGTGCCGCTCCGCTGTGCGGAAATCTGTAAACAGCTGAGAAGCAGAGTTTCAAATCATACCGTAAGTGTTATGGTGTAGTCAGATGATGTCCTTCTTCAGGTCTAGAAAGAAGCTAAGCATTCAGCCTCTTGTACAGTACCACCCTCTCGTACAGCTAGCCTCTAACAGCTAATAATTTGAGCGCCACTGTCTACATAGACCTCGGCGGCTCGGCCTTGCCGCCTTGGCCTGAACGGTTATGGTGTTATTTCCAATGCTTTGAGTGCTAGTCCTGAAGCGTATTCGTATTTCTGCCAATGTGGTGCTGATCATGTCTCTATCTGGATATCCCGTTTTCTGGATCGGGTATCTGGTTTAGGGAAAACTGATGGTTGACGAGTTGGAGGCTTCAAAATGTACTGATGGAATACTCTCGTACACAGCGCATCTGTATCTGTTTCTGCCAATGTACATGAAATACACCTCTACCATCCGGTGATCACCTGCGATCTCGCACGAGCGCTCGATCGATGGAGATGTTCATTGATAGGGTACGACACTATCTATTGTGTTAAGGAATCCGCAGTCCGCGAGACAAGACAAGACCGAAGAACGAATTTCTGACTACGGCTTCGAGAGCTATCTACCTTGCTCTCTGAACTTGCTGCGCATGCCTTGGGCCAGGCGGCACCTACCGTCCTTCCTCTGCCCCAGTAGTCCGATTTCCACCAACCAGGGAAACAGAGTACGGGATTCGTTGAGCTTCTGTGCCTTCTGCAACAAAGTGTCCGGCCTGCCCTGCAAGTACTTCGCGATCTCTTCGAAAAGCTCTGACCAGATCGGATACTTCTCCGGACTGCGGGAAGACAGTAGAATCTTTCGCGCATAGATATGTCTTATGGCTTCTTCAAAGACGATATTCTCGTCTTCGTCTTCAATTTCTTCATCCTCCTCATCGTCGCCTTCTTCATCGTCGTCGTTCTGAGCGACATCTTCGACATCGTCCTCGTCGTACCGGTTGTCATCGATTCTTTCATCAGCATGGGCGCACCGCATGCCTTCAGGATTATCCGACCGCCAATAAGATAGTTGCCTTGACGAGTTAACTTATACTCGAGCTTGTCAAGCAAATCTTGGCTTACTTGACATCGAATATCATGCCATGGCTCATAATCCTCATGTCGCCTGTAATCCGACAAAGGCTTGACATCATCTATGACATCTTTCTCGGTCCAGAACATTCTTGCCCAGACTATGGGTAGCTCAGTGCTTGAGCCTGATTGCCATTGAGTCCAGACACCGGTCATGACGACATCTCCATCCTTTGAGACTTGGATCATCGGCAGCATCTGGATGCTTATCAGGATCAAAGGTCCAGTTGTCGGCATTGAAAAAGTAATAGCGCGAGGGAACACCGAGCATGTCGATCCTGTCATGTCTGTATAGCGCGCCATGGGTGACGGGCAGACAACTCTGTCCGTTCGGAGCCTTTGCTATTTCTACTCGAACTCTGTTGCTGCTGTACTTCTTTTCCACGGCATCGATGAGCGCTGGACTGTGACCGAAGCCTCCACTGAGAACTATAGTCGAAGTGCGCTGATAATCGAAATGCTTCTCGATGAGGGACAGAACTTCCTTGATGCCATGCTTGATGATGTCTTCCACCAGGTCAACCTCAACTGTGATGCGCGCAGCGGTCGTGCCAACAAATTGCATGGGCCACGGCCACTGCGTACCTTGCCGAGGTTTTTTGAAGTCCTCAAAGTAGGAATATGCCTGTCGCCGAAAGCTCTCGTCGCGGATGCCGTGAACCTCTGCAAGATATGAATTGATGTCTACTCCGAATTCGCGATGCCAACTCAAGACTATTGGCTTACCCGAGGGAGCTCTCATCGGATCTGCTACGATGAATTTTGCCTTTGTCCAGCGTATCATTGAACACATTAACGAGAAGCCCCCGGGGGGTACTTTAGGCTACAATACTAGGTCTCCTGCAATCTTCTTAAGACCGGCAAAGGTGGCTTGAGGCCGAGATTATATAACGGAGTCGAATTGCGAGCTCTGCTTACGAACGTTTTGAACGCAGGCAGTGAGCATAGTAGCTTGAACTTGACACAGCTCTTCTCTCGGGGTCTGGCAGTGCTTAGTCCAGAAGCCCTCGCCCGTTTTGACGTGGTCCTACCCACGCAGCTGGTCGGTCTACCATCTTGCAAAGGCTTCTCGGAACTGACGGTGGTGTCCAGGATGACGACACGCAGGTTGCTGAGTCGGTGGACAATGTGGAGGAAGTCTATACGCGTCTGAAATTGCAGTGCTGAATGTAGTTCTCCTGTTGCGGACGTGCTGACTGACAGGTGTGTTGTTCTCCTCCACAGCAGGAGACCATCTGCCGAATGCAGTAGCGTCCGTATCTTTAGCAGCATGCCGATGACCTCGACAGGCCACACGACTGCCCGACACGTTCTCATACATACGCTTCCATGCATAGGCCTGAGGTGTTCCGCATTCCTCGTATTGTGGCCTGAGACTTGGCATGACTTTCCATAGCTCTGGCTCGCATCATTTGCAGGGCAGACGCGTTCCTATCGATGGCTCTCGTCAATCATAACGCCTGCTGTGGGAGATTTCCAGCGTTCACAGGTGCAGCCACTGAAGGCGTTCAGAAGGACTGGTGCCTGGAGGTGCCTGTCGATTCAAGTCATGTGCTCGAAGGAGAGAGCTGGCGGCGGTGGGGTGGCGAGTAGGCGCGCGAGATCCATGATGGCGGTCATGCAGAAGATGCACTGCCACGCAATGCATGCAAGCTTGTGGGTGCGAATGTTTGTGAGGCTGTGTCAGGAACCTTCGTTTCAGAATCGTGGGTTTAGGAACAAGGTGCTGACGGATCCGCTCCGGCTCCTGTGCAGCGTGTCTTCATTGAGACGTCAGGGCACGTATTGTTTGAGATGGGCAGGCAGAGTGGCATGAGGATGTGATGATGTTTGCGAAAGAGAACTTGCACGGAGAGAGGGAGATGTACAGCAGAAGCACTGAAGCAGCGGGGACCGGCTATTGGCCCTCGCGATTCGGGTAATGAAACCCAATGGGGATTGCGGGTGAGCGAACATGTTCACAGTGCACACGCACATGCCGAGAGCCGCTTGAACATTTGATGCTATTTTTAATTGATTGTTTCGATCGAACCGGATGACGACTTCAGAGTTCACGTCCGCACCTGTGACGACCAGGACACATCCAATTGTGTGTTCGCAGCCGGCATATGCGACGTCAGATGGATCCTACCGTGTACTTTCACTCACGTTGCTCCCAATCCATTCGTCCGCTTCGCCTGTGACTGCCGATGTGAAGTGCGCTGAATCCTTGCCTTGCTTGCTGTTCGTCCTGCGCCGCCTTCCCAGCGCCGTCGCCAATCTGTCCAGTGCCAGCGTGTCAAAAAGTGGTGCAGCGACATTCTTTGTACCCTACCCGTCCGTCCAAAAAGGTGTCGAGCGAGCTACCTCCATCTGGTCGGCGGCCGCTAATCACTGTGAATCCTTCAGCGCCGCCAGTCCACAAGCGCTGCGCTGGGCTGGTGCTGCTGGGTCCTTTGCGCTTCCGACCAACATCCCAAACGATCGCACGTCGCTCGCCCGCACACTGCTGTGCTATTCCTAGCGCAGCAACACACCTCATCGCTGCACGCACCTGGAGCGCACGCCCAGGAACAGGGCAACCATGGACTCACTCAACCCTTCCCCGTCGCCTTCGGCGCGTCAGCAGCCTCCCAATATAAGACACTCTGCGTCCGCTTCGCCTCATCCGCCTACGTTGGCCGCTTCCTTTGCTCCTGATGATGCCAGCAGCGCCACACAAACAACCAACGGCCCCGCAAGCAACAGCAACACCTTCGCGACCGCACTGAACTCCTCAGGCCACTTCGCCGACCCCAGCTTCACCACCGATTACGCTCAGCAGGCGCGCGCGCAGTCGCCCTTTGCACCGCCCTTCCCGGACTGCCAGCAGCAGCAACACCAGCAGCAGACGAACAACAGCAATACCTTCTTCCACACACAGAACACTGCCGAGTCCTTTCCTACCTTCGACATCAACCAGCCGAGCTTCGACCAGAACGGCGGCTTCGACCCCACCCTACTCGCGACCGATATCAGTCCTGCCTCGCTAGACCTCCTGCCTGCCGACGCAGACTTATCGAGCGACCAGACGCTAGAACTAGATCCCATGGCGACCATGGCGCAGTCACACTCGCCAACTCCTCCGCATCTCGTCGCAGACCAGACCACGTGCATGTCAGGCAGTCCGAGCCCACATGCCTCGCCAAGATTCGCACAACCCACCTACCACATGAACAGGCCGCGAAACGTTTCAGAGTCGCTTGACCCGTCAAGTGCCATGTTTCCGCAGGGGGCGAATGAGTGGATGGGCATGAATGCATACCGATCGCACAAGCGGACACCCTCAGACAATCATTCAGACATTTCTTCCAACCATGCCTCGCCATATTTGTGCACCTTCGACAGTTTTGACGCTCACTCATCTCCTATGCTCAATGCATCTAATGACCCAAATTTTAACGACAATCTCGATATGCAGGCATTCACGCTCAACGACCAGCAAGCGCAACATTTCTCGCACAGTCCAGCTCACAGCCCTGGACATTCACCTCATCTCATGCCTCAGCCGCAGCAGATGCTACCTCAGTTCACATCGCAGGACGCTTTCGGCTTGGGCACGCATATGAATGGCGTTCTGCCACAGCAACCAAACGGCATGGACATGTTTCCTGGTACGGGCATGGAAGCTTTCCCGCAACTCAACAACGACAGCTCCAGCCCCGGCGGCCGAGCAGATCATATGAGCCCGCCCGAGATCAACATTGATTTCGCACCACCTTCGAGACAGCCCACCGACAGCTTCAAGCAAGAGAAGTCGGAAGATGCGCTGTCTCCGCCGGCACGGAGTAAGTTACTGCCAGACTTCCCGTGACAAGAAGATTACGTCAGCTGACTCAATTCGCAGTGAACCGCAACCGATCGAAGTCAGACTCGCATGCTGGCTCAAGATCTACGTCACCTGCGCTCGTTGGCCGTGGCAGGTCTCCTTCTGCCGGCAGTACCGGCGGGAATCTTTCGCCATTTGATAATAGCGGCTCACGTCCTTCGTCACGATCCTCGTCGCCAGCGAACGGAGGTCGTAATGGTTCAGTAGGCAGCCGCGCGCGAAGCACTAGTAATGCGTCCGATCAGCGCGACTACATCCTGGACCTGGCTGATCCTGGACGATCACCTGCGAGCGGCGACAACAAGGGGCGTGTGCAAAAGCATCCGGCGACTTTCCAATGCAACTTGTGTCCAAAGCGCTTTACGCGAGCCTACAACCTGCGATCGCATCTTCGAACACATACTGATGAGCGTCCATTTGTGTGCACCGTTTGTGGAAAGGCATTCGCTCGTCAACACGATCGAAAACGACACGAAGGCCTGCACTCTGGAGAGAAGAAATTTGTCTGCAAAGGCACGCTCCAATCTGGGTCGCAATGGGGATGTGCGAGGCGCTTCGCACGTGCAGATGCTTTGGGTCGCCACTTCCGCTCTGAAGCTGGTCGCGTGTGCATCAAGCCTCTGCTCGACGAAGAAGCAGCTGAGCGACAACGTGCTTGGATGGAAGAACAGCAACAAGCTCAAGTTGCAGCCGGACTCGTGGCTCCACAGCCTGTGATGGGCCAGCCTCAGCCAGTGGACATGATGGGCAACTTCCTCCCCGCAGCACTTCTACAGCAGTACCCAGCTCTGGCCGGCATTGACTGGAGCAATGTGCCTCAAGGCAACCCTCCAGACGATGAAGCTTACTCCGGCCGAAGCTCTTTTGATGCTTCTAGTGGAGGAGAGTATTACGAGGACCATTCAGAAAATGAAATGGGATACCAGGATCAGAACATGGGTGGTATGAATAACAACATGAATCATATGGGCATGAACAACATGGGAGGTATGCAAGCACACATGGGCGCATATGGTGGGACTACAACCTCGGATTATCTGAGTGATTTCGAAGGTCGATGATGACTTTACGGCCGGCAATAAACGAACCAGCACGACCCGTATCTTCGGAAGTGCTATGATCTCGTCCCATCGCACGAGGACGCGCTTTTATTTGGTTGGAATTTTGGATTCGTTGCATCTGATACCATGAGCGGACTGGCGGAGCAAGACCTGCTTCCAGGCAAGGATCGAAAGGATATAAAGGCGTTTGATACTGCAAGATTTTGCGTAGTCGATGATACCACCTTGAAGCTAGATTAGCAGCATATTGCACGTGAATTGAAACACCTCGAACAACGACCCCGACCTTCTCACCATTCTCATTTCAGTTGCATCTGCTCTCTTCATACACACAGCATTCGGCAATAATGGGCATGTCAAGCGAGCAACTTGAATGCGGTTGCCGAAAGTAGAAAACGATACGTCGATTACGATGGATTCAAGATCCGTCATTGCCCTCAACCCATCACTCGTGACTCCTCGGACCTCAAGAAGCCTGCACCTCCAGCTGCTATCCGTTCCTCCATGTCTCCAAACATGTCACTCTTTGGCAGCCGCCATGGATCACACAGGTCTGCACGTCTTCTCTGCTTGTGCGCCTGTCCAAGCATACACCAAGCCCTACCACCAGCGACGTACGCACAAGAAGTCGCGTGGAGGATGTATGAAGTGCAAGGAGAAACGTGTGCGCTGCGATGAGAAACAGCCGGCCTGCACACGCTGCGCCCGTCGATCGCTTGATTGCCAATATCAGCGCAGTCCTGGCTCTGAAGATTCAGTAAGCGCCAGTCCTCCCGAGGTTACGCACCACGAGCTATGCCGAGAGGAAACGCCGCCAATGCTCTCCTATGAACATGACCTTGCGTTACAACTCGGGCATCCTGAAAAGACTTTGACGAGAAGCTCAACTCAAGACCAATTGCTGAGGCATTATGAGCTTATCACGGAGCACGGTCTCGTTATGGGACCAGAGTCGAAGATGTACCACGAGAGAGTTATGCGAATGGCTGTAGACGTAAGTAAGCAAAAGAGTATTGAAGATGGTATCTCACTGACTATAGCACTCATATCTTGCGCATACACTACTTTCCATCGCCGCGCTTCACCTTACGAGATGCAACATCGACGGCTACGGCCAAAGCAACCTGCTCCACTTATCTAGTGCCCTGGAAGATTTCCAGCATGCCATTTCGAAGCCTATCTCACTTGACGACTCAGACGCTCTGATACTCACAGCTTTGATGGTCTCAATCCGATACTTCGCTTCTTGGGACGACAGTCCGCCTGAGAAGTCCTGGGTCTTCTCTAACGATCCTCAGCGACTGAGCTGGTTTACAGTCCAGCAGGGTCAATCTGCCATCCTTGCCCAAGTGAGACCGAATCACTGCCGCAGCGGCTTTCTCTCCAACTTTACAGTACAAGCCAAAGACCTTCATGGCAGGGATCGGCGTTTACCACAAGGACTGTTTGATATATGCGAAGTGACGGATCCACGAGGACCACGAGGCGTGCATGCAAACCCGTACCACGACATTGTGCATGCTCTCGCACTAATAGTGCCTCTGGAGCCTGGAATCAACAGCCTGATGAAGTATATGCACTTTTGTGCTCGAGTGCACGCACGATTCGTCGCTCTTGTGGAGAGGAATGAGCCTCGGGCGCTCCTGATCTTGGCTTACTGGTTTGCTCTGTTGTGCAACGTTGGAGACGTGTGGTGGTGCCAGCAGAGGGCATGGAGAGATTGCACCGCCATCTGTATGTTTCTGGACCTCCACGATTGCGATGAAGTACGACGGCTTCTGGATTTCCCAGCTGAGGCATGCGGGTACATCCTCTCCGGGCGAGACAATACCTGCTCAGTTCTAGACCCGCTTGGAGATTGAAATCGGGAAAAGCGACACCTAGATTGATGTTATTACTGGCACGAGCGACCTTAGTTCGCAGCAATGAAGTGACTTCAATGCTCTTGCAAATCCTCTTTGCGTAGACACGACGGTGTCGTCTTCGTCCAAGTAGCGACGGTAGAGATTCCGACGAGAGATGTTAGCGCTCGTATGCCACCACTATCGACATGGTATTATCCGACGGTCAGCTCGCCGAAAAAGGCGTCGCAGAACATATCATCGAGATGGGACTCTTCTGGTTGTCGATGGGATCAACTCCGTGAAGATGATGTCAGAGTATTAGGAGCAATCTTGATCCTTCGAAGGTTTGCAGGACTGGCAAGGGCAGAATATCTTGAATAGAACAGACACAATGTGCCTAGCGTACGATAAAGAAGAAGATGTTGATGCTTCAGAATAAGAAATGGTTCATCTGTGGGAGGGTCGACGTGTGCACAGACTGCATGATAAAACCTGGAGAAGTCTCATCATATGAGTACATGCCTTGTAGTATTGCTAGCAATTCGCTGTTGTTCTCACGCCACACCACTTGAGCGGCGATATACTGACTTGGTGCGGCAATACTGTAATGCAGTCGAGGAGGAAAGCGCGCCGCACAGACTTTCTGCCTGAGGTTTACATTTTCGATCCGTGCACCAGACTTTCTGAAGTTGTTTCGTCAGTGTTTGCCCACGAAGTAAATCCATCACGACCACGCTCAACCCATAGTCGACACCGGTTCTGAGTGTATGTTCGGCGTTCCCCGCGTCTGCCGATTCAGTGTGGTGCGATTTGGCCGAGATCAAGAAAGAGTAAAAGTTGCAACAAATTTTATCAGGAACTTGAGTCACGAGCCATCAGTCACATCTCAGAGGCCAATCCCCAAGCCAGCGCGGCAGCGCAGTATAGCGACCAGAAACCTCCGCAGAATGGCGACGAACAATGCGCAGGGCGCGAACAAAGCGGCCAGTCTCGAACACATTACCTCTCAACTTCAAACCCTTGGCATTTCCGAGCTGCCCAAACCGCAAGGAGTTCGTTTGCACCCACAGCACAACCCAGTTGATGTATATCGAGCCGTGATTATTGAGAAACTGCAAGACATCGCGGGCGCCGATCCAGAGATCATTAACAACGCAGTCCAATGGACTCAGGATCTCAAGCATGGAGATCTCGTTCTTCCCGTGCCGGCTTTGCGATTGAAGGGCAAGAAGCCAGATGAGCTGGCCAAGGAGATCGCAGAAAAGCTCCAGTCACCACTTTTGGAACGAGTCGAGGCTGAAAAGACCTTTGTGCGCTTCTTTTTCAAGCCAGAGCATCTTGCCAAGCTTGTGATTCCAGCAATTCATCAGCAGAATGCCGACTACGGTTTCAACCCATCGCTTGGTCTCGAAGACCCTTCAAATCCAGCTTCTCGACACAAGAAAGTGATAGTGGAATACTCCAGTCCGAACATCGCGAAAGAGTTCCACACTGGCCATCTGCGAAGCACTATCATCGGAGGCTTCCTGGTCAAGCTGTTTGAGCGTGCGGGATGGCAAGCTATCTCCATGAACTATCTCGGTGATTGGGGAAAGCAATACGGCATCCTTTCTGAGGGCTTCGAGAAATATGGAAACGAGGAAGAGCTTTTAAAGGACCCAGTGAAGCACCTGAATGAGGTCTACGTCAAGATCAATCGCGACAACTCCGAGGAGCAGAAGCCCGCGAAGGTGCTTACAGAGAAGAAGACTGCGCTTGAGCAGCTCAAGAACCCACCTCCACCAAAGAAGCCAGCTAAAGGCAAGGAAGCTCCGCCACCACCACCAAAGTGGACCGATGAACAGGAGCAGGAACTCCAAAACGTCACGGCAGAGCTGGAAAAGGTTCAACAAGAATTAATCAATAAGCCCAGCATTGACGAAAAAGCCCGTCGCTTCTTTAAGCGCATGGTTGACGGAGATCCAGAAGCACTGAAGAATTGGCAACGTTTCCGACAGCTGTCAATCGATGCCTACATTAAGATGTATGCTCGCTTGAACATCAAGTTTGACGACTACAGCGGCGAATCGACCGTCAAGGAAGAAGACATGGAGAAGGCGGCCAAAGTGCTGCAAGAGAAGGGTATTAGCGAAGAGAGCAAAGGTGCCATCATTGTTGATCTGGCGAAGCACGGACACCCAACGTTGGGCAAGACGCTTGTCAAGAAGAGTGACGGTACATCACTTTACCTCACCCGTGACATCGCTGCCAACTTTGAGCGTTACGAAAAATACCACTTCGACCACATGATATATGTGATTGCCTCGCAGCAGGATGTTCACGTGAAGCAATTCTTCACGATCTTATCGTTGATGGGCCCGCCGTACAAGGACATTGTTGAGAAATGCAAGAACATCAGCTTCGGCATGGTCAAGGATCCTAAGGGCCAGACCATGAGTACTCGCAAGGGTACAGTCATCTCGCTGGCGGACAGTCTGGATAACGCGAAGGATTTTATGCACAACGTGATGAAGGGGAATCGAGAAAAGTATGAGCAGGTCGAGAATCCAGAGGCTACCGCGGACATCCTTGCCATTTCTGCCATCATGGTCCAGGATTACAGCGGCAAGATGGTCAATGGCTACAACTTCGACATGGACAGGATGACCAGCTTCGAGGGTGACACTGGCCCGTATCTGCAGTACTCGCACGCCCGCCTGTGCTCCATTAAGCGGAAAGCGGGAGTGTCGGACGGGGAAATGGTGAAGGCAGATCTCAGCCTTATCACTGCCAAAGAAGGAGTGCTGCTCATCCGATCACTTGCACAATGGCCGGATGTCTTCCTCAACACGTACAAGACGCAGGAGCCCGTCACTGTGCTCTCATATCTCTTCAAGATGTCGCATATGCTCAGCTCGTGCTACGATGCGATCGACAGGAACAACAACAACGCCAAGACGCTGAGCGTTATGTATGCGGACAGCGCAGAGAAGAAGGTGGCTCTGATGGCAATGTACGAGGCGGCCAGAATTGTGCTCAACAACGGCATGCAATTGCTCGGGCTTTCTCCTGTGCAGAGGATGTAGAAGAGGACGGAGATGCATGGGTCCGGCGTTTCGGCGAGCGAGTTCATGTAGCATGTTAGCATGATGTGGCAGCCAAACGCCCAGGATACGGCGGGAGTCCTCCTGCGACGGGTCTGGGAGACATGATTGTCTCCGTTAGCTATGCCGCCTCTTATCACTGATGGCTTGAGATAGACCGAAGTGTTCATCAAGCAACGTCTTTTTCTCATCTTTGCCTCTCATGGTTGTCGCACGGCAGATCCAGAGCCACAGTCTGATCGCCTTCGAGCATTCCTGCTTTGCGGAGAGCTTCTCCGTACTTGCGTTTCACAGCATGCAAACGCAGACGTGGAGCCTCGAGAGCCTGTCTCATCAGGCTTCGCTTCTGCCGCCAATCGTGTTACCAAGGTACAGCTTGACATCGGAATGACAAGGACTTACGGACTGAAAATGTCGACCATTGTGTTGTAGCAGTTCAATAATCTTCGACGTCACGTTCCCTCGGTCGAAACGGTCGGAAAAGCTTCTGGACCATTTCACGCCATGTGCTGCACCGCACCCACCTTTTATCACTGGTGGCGTTCGGGGAAATGGCGGTGAGGCAGACTCTGGCACGGCTGCGAACATCTAGGAACCAGATGTTTTTTTTTGGGGCTGTGCTGTGCTGTGCTTCCGATTTCTTCCACTTCGCGATGTCGTGCATTCGGATGAAATGGTGAGATCTGGGATTCCAGGCAGAGGCTTCTCCAGACTCCAGGTGCGCGCGAGGTGGGATGTTCATTGTTCCCAGCACTGGAGAGGCGTGGCGCGAAGAAGAACTGCGATCGCTCTGACTGCAGGCGTTTCTCGACCACGAACTGCTGGAGGTGTTTGCCGTCATATGGCATATGGCTGGGTGAAGGTTTGTGACAGCCTACTGTAGTAACTGTACCTCTGCGTCTCTGGCCTGTCGGTGGCATCCACCTCCCGCTGCAGGCCCCGTCGCCCATTGTGTCTAGTTTCCCAGCACCAGCACCCCAGACTTTGGGCTCCCATCGGCCTGTGGCAATTTCACCTCCTCCAAGGCCCGCTTGCTGCCCATCCATCAGCGCCGCTTACTGCTACTACTGTACTGATATGATTATGCGCCCGGCACCTGCGCACGCACAACACGCTGCGAGTCGCCGCCGCCCGTATAAGTTATCCTGCTGCGCTGCATGCCGCTGCCGCTGCCGCTGCCGCTGCCGCTGCCCACCCCGAGCTCTCGTGCTGTGACTCTCCGCTTCTGCACACCGGTGAGCTCCAGCAACCAAACGCACGTCAGTGGCCAGGCGCAAACACTCATCCGCCTGCCTGTTCCTCTGCCGCTCCTCGCCCAACAATGACCTTGCGCTATCCGAGACATCGCACAATGAATTCACCACCACAAGCACCCTCCAACCAGCCTCGACGGTAGCACTTGACACCGACACTTCCTCGCTTAGCTAGCGGCACCGCCCGGCATCGCGTCACTCAGACCAAGCATCGACCATCGCTACTTGCGCCAAAGTTGACCGCAGCCCTCTACACACGCCTGAGGCCGCAGTCAAAAGATGCCTGAAGGGGGAGCCTCAAGCCGCCACGGTCGCAGACTACGACAGCGATGGCAGTTGTGTGAAGCCCGGAACCGAGGTGTCCGCGAAGCAGAATGCCTCCGCTGGGAGACGCCATGAGCCGCAGAAAACGCCATCTCGGACACCGAAACAGGCGCAGGCCACGACTCGACGAGAGCCCAGTGACTCGGGTTACTCGTCACAGAACAGTACTGCGCAGGCGCAGGCGCAGGCGAAGGCGAAGGCCATGCCTGCCCCGCTGTCAATCCCGACCCAGAATGCAGCACGTCAGCCGGCATCGACACCAATGAGTCCCACCAAGTCCAACACCAAGAGACCCATCGTTCACAGACACGACAGTGGTCGTAGTAGATCACAGACCACTGTGCAGCCGGCATCGAAGCCGCACGACAAATGCGACGATCGCAACTGTCGAGATCCCGACTGTCCAACGAGCCGCAACAAGGAGCGACGCAAAACGATGTATGTGTCGCAACCGCTGCCATCTCCCGCAACAGCGCATCCATATGCGCAAATTCCGCCATACCAGTATGGTCGGAAAATGCCTCCTCCACCGCTACCGCTGCAGCGAACTGCATCCCGACCTGGCCGGCCTCAGAGCTTCCATGCTGGCATGCCATTGCCATACTCTGCATCGCAACCAGGTCCGCCGCCTGCTCAGTCGGCTTATTACTACACCCAAGGCTATGGCCAACCATCTGCGTACGCCGCGACACCTTCGAGCCAACAAATCTACGTACCCGCGTCGCCCGTCACTCCCATGGTGCCTCCTTCGCCAACGTCACCAAATGCTGCTGGCTATCCTGGCTATCCGGGAGGAATAATATCTGCACGCATACCCAACCCGAACGTTGCGGGCATGGAACCGCCAAAGCTAGCTCCCAATCCGGGTCTTCCAATTCGAACCTCAGCTCGACGACCTGACAATCGGCCTCCGCCAGCCACCTATCCAAACGATTCAGCGACGACCAGCGACTCAGAGACTGGCTCCGACTGCGAGTCTGAGGAAGAGTATCAGCGACGCAGAGAGGCTGCGGGACGTCGGCGACGACGCTCTTCCTACGTTGACCATCGATCGAAGTCTCGGCCGCGAAACAAGTCTCGTGGTCACGACGCTGTAATTGCAACGGTGACGCGCTCGACTCACTCGCGCCGTCCGTCGATGGGCAAATCATATTACACCGACTCATACGTACCCACCCGACGAAACAGTCTGAGAGACCCTCGAACAGAACGCCTTCACCGAGCGCCGTACTCTGACAACGGCCCTGGCTATTCGTCAGACAATTTCGACTCTGACCGAACTTCTGGTGCTGTGGTCCATACTCGACACAGCGCGCCAACATCGAAGCAACATAGTCGTCGGCCATCCGTGTCGACCAATGCTTCATCAGGAGGCACAAAGGCAACAACACTATCGAGCGTGACCGATTATTCACGCGCGATCATAGAAGACTCGCGCGGGCGACGTGTCGTCTACTTGTCAAAGGAACAGCAAGCTGAGCTCATCAAGCAACACCAGCGACAGAAGCTTCAAGACTCGCTTGACGAACAGGAACGCCTTGCGAATATGCGCTTCAACGCTGCTAGCGATTACCAAAAAGAGATGTCTGGTGGGGTTGATGGCTATCAGATGAGCGCCGAGAACATCAAGAACTTGAATCGCACGTCGAAGCCACCATCTCGATCGCATATGTCAGGTCGGAGCGGCAAGTCAGCCGGGTCCGGCTCTAAAGCGTCTCGATCCAATGGAGTGAAGATCCACGCTGGTGGTACTGTTCTTCACGTCGACGGAGACATGGCGATGCAAGTCCGCACTACTGATGACGGCGAAGTTCATCTCGTACTCGGCAATGGACGCGAGATTGAATACAACAGCAGCTCCAAGGGAAGCAGCCGGTCCAGAGTCTCTCGAGGAAGAGACAGAAACCGCATCCCAGAAGCCGATGAAGGAGGCTATGAGAGACCTCTTTAAAATCCTCGGCGATTCTGGAATCGAATCGCACACACGAACACTTGACGATTTACCACGATCTATCACATCATATCACGACATACCTGTCCATGTCCACGTCCATCTGGCCTTTTCAGCATCACAGCGTTCCAGCGAATCTTGCAGCGATTTTACCACCCTTCCCAAACCTCCTTGGCTTGAGCGTTCAACTTTTTTTTTCACTTTCTATTTTGGATACCCAACCCCAATATCGCTTACCATTTTGACTGTGACTGGGTGAAGAGTTCTGAGCTCCGAAAATACGAGAACATGACAAGACCTGTGAGGGAGGCAGGAGGGAGGGAGGGGGAGAGGAAGAACGAATTTTACGAGTACGAGGAAAAGGGGAAAAAAAGTCGAAAAGGATTGATGATTTTGAGATATTTGAAAATGTTTCTTTTTTCTTTTCTTTTCTTTTTGCGCTTTGATGCTATGCTATGCTGGGAAACCCGCCCCCACCCTGTTTGTTTTGCTTCTGAAACAGGGCATGCCAAAGATTGATGAATGAATGAATGAAGCAGCTTGGAAGAAGGAAGTGTTCGACACAGGTTTTCTTTTTCTTCTTGGCTGCTCAAATTTAGCCCTGTGAGCGAGGAAAGATGATTTTTCTCTTCTGCTGTTTGTTTTGTTTTGTTTTGTTTTGTTTTGTTTTGTTTGTTAGCTATATATACCCCTCGTGAGCGTTCCGGAACGACTAGCATTGTTGAATTGAATGATGGATGGATGGTACGGTACCTACTTCTCCGACACCCCCAAGAAGTGAGGAATGAAAAAAGACTGATGACTGCTGCTGGTACGGAAGATGGATAATGAAAGGAATGGAATGGAATGGCAGATGAACGAGAATGCAATGCAATGCAATGCAATGAATGACTGTACGAAACTCTTTTTATCATCGAAGGAGATTGAGATTGCAAAAGAGAAAGCATCACTGCTATATATGTATATCGTATCGATACGATCGGATCGCACTTGGAAACGCAGTATCCTTCTCATTCATGTCATGTCATGTCATTGCATTTCATTCATACTACTCTCTACCTTATCCATCATGCTGTCTGTACGCTATCTACATACCATCTCATGTGGTATCTCGGCTGATCTACAAGCGAGAGAGAGCACTCAAAACCCAAACACCTCCAAATGCCGCTTGCTTGCTTGCTATCCACCAGGGAGAAAAAAAAACCACCACCAAATTTCATCTTGTCTCGGAGTATCTCTTCCTTGCACTTGCCATGCATCGCACCTCGGTCCGCCACGTTACAGGCGACGGCAGCCCAATCCGTAAATAATCCGGCCACGCTTGGTGCCCAAAGTCACACAAACAAGCGTGGGATTGATTTAGAAATCCTGCGTCCGAAGAACTCCAGCGTTCATCACACAGGAGCTAAAAGTTCCAATTCGTTCCACGTCGGTGCAAAAAAATTTTGCTCATCAGATACCACTACCACTAGTCTTGTGGTAGGGTGAGACAGAAATGCAGGAGAAGTCACCGTGTCAACGTGGCAGGGATTGCTTCGTCGCCCTCACGCAGGTGCAGTGCGAGCTCTCATCAACTTGCATACCTTTCATCCTCTGGGCCAGTTGCATGGGGTTCGCAAAGAGTCGATCATGCTTCTTGCACCACGAAGGCGTTCGTCTCATTCCAAGTCGCTGTCTTGACCGCCGCGGCGGTAGCCTCCCGAACGCCCACCACGGTCCTTCTTCTTGGGGGAGCTTTGTCGCGTGCTTCGATATTCAGATGAGTAGCGCGGGTTCTCAGAGGCGCGTGGGCGGTACTCGTCGTAATAGCTTGCAGTCCGAGTGCCGCTAGACTCGGTGTAGGCTGTTGTCAGGGTCTCGGATTCTGGGCCAGCTGTGTAGGAGAAGTCTCTCTTCTTTGGTGATTCAGAGCGGGACGAAACACGGTCGCGATGGTTCCTGCGTGCTGAAGCAGGCTTTGATGGGCTGGATGACTTGCGGGGAGAAGCATGGACTGGGGGAGGTGGTGGAGGAGCGCTGGCCTCTCGAGCCAGAGCAGACGCTGCTTCTTCTGCCTCTCGCTTCCAGCGACGCTCCATCTTTGCAGCTTCATGGCGTGCTCGTCTCTCTGCTCGCTCCTTTTCTTTCTCCTCGTCTTTCTTCGGCAGAAGGTTCTGGTTGGAAGACTCGCTGAGGACGGTCTCGGTCATGACATCGGATCGATCGTAAGCGCTGCTGTCGTATGCCTCGCTGTCTGCCACCCGGTTCATGCCACCGACACGCGCAGGCTTTTCCTTCTTGTACTGCTTGACATCGCGGTCACGGTAGCGCTTTGAGTGGTGTCCATGTGCAGGTCCATGATATTCGGTGTCAGCGTCAGTGCGAAGCTCAGTCATTTCATCTGTAACAGTCCTAGTGCCGTATGTGGTGGTGTAGTCGGTGAAGTCGTCCTTGTAGGTCACGGAGTGCGTCTTGCCCCATCCACGCTGTGCCAGTATACCTTTTCTGCCCTTCTCGTCTCTGCCCACCACCGAACGTGCTTGATGCTTGGCCCAGGCAATACTCTGGGTGCCAGCGATAGTACCGCCGCCCAGCTTCGTGCTCTTTGTTGCATTGCTCAGCGTCTTGCCGTCTGGGCCCTTGCGACGAAGGACTGTAGACTTGTAGTCATCCCAATCGCCTTGACGCCATCGAAAGCCACCATTCTTGGCCCAGAAGAAGAACCAGATCGAGGCAATGACCATGGCAGCGCCAAGAATAGCGAAGAGTGCGAAGAAGCCCTTGTTGTTGAAATCTTGCGGCGGTCTGGTACCTGCTCCTGGATGGAAGGTTGTTGCTGCTCTCGGGACAAGGGCGGTTCGTGCTTGGAGGTCTAGGGATTTGGCTGGTGATGCAGTGTCTGGCTGGGCATGGGCATCGCGGCGGACCAGCTTCGACGCGAATTCGTCGAGGTCGAGCGAGGACAAGTGTAGATCCGAGGTAGGCGCTTGGCTCTGACTGCCTCTAGCAACAGCGAGGAAGCCGGTCGCTGGCAATGTGGGAGGCATATTGCGCTCTGGTATGGGATGAAATTATTACCGACTGTGCTGCCGGCCGAAGCCCCAGCAGAAGACGGAGTTGTCGTGCAGTCGAGATCGTGCTTTGCGGCGATTGCAAATGCCGCTAGAATGTGCTAAGCTGGTGCGTAATGATGGAAGGCGTGTGCTGTTGATGGACGCTGGAATGCGTGGCCGTAGCGGTGGTTTCGATGCTTTCTCTGCTCTTGCCCGCCATCTCCAGCCTCGCGCTTTCTGTTTACCCTGTCGACGTTGACGAGGAAACCACGCTACGTCACTGCGAACGAGGAACCCTGAAATAGCCGCTGCGCTCCACCTCCCCGACCGACATGCATCAACACCTTTCCGCGCTCCGGATGCATCTCAGTCGGTGCTGCAACACCTTCTGCTTGTTAAATAACAGTCTCCGTCTGCCTCAACGCCCACAGCCCGGTTCTCCTTGCATTCAACGCAGCTGCGGAGGATAAGCAGCATGAGGCATGCGAGTGTCCATAGCGGAAGGCCGCGGCACCTCGGTATGTTGAGGACGAAGACGAGCGTGATGGACGAATGGCAGGGCAAGGCAAGGCAAGGCAAGGCAAGGCAAGGCAAGGGAGGGGAGGGGAGGGCAAGGCAAAGCATTAACGTCGAGCTGGGCGAGAGTTTCGACGACCTCTCAGTGCTTCAAGATTGCTAGACAAAAACTACTGTTGCGACTTCTGCAGACACGAGTCCTGTATCATACCCTGAACCTCTCCCTCTCCCCTAACACTCGCCCATTATAAGTTATTGCCTCTTGCTACTCACCCTACGCAATTCCTAATTAACCAGCCATGGGTATTGTTTCCTGGCAGCCTGCAAAGGCAATATGGACCCTCGTCGCCATCATCATCAACGCCGCGCGACTGCCAGTATGGGTGATCTGGTACCTCCCTGTGTCTATGCGACCACACCCAGCATGGACCTACAGGCAGGCGATCATGGTCGAAATCGTGCGGTCGTTCCTTTGGAATGCTTCAATGGTTCAGCTCAAGACTCCGCTGTCTTTAAAGCCGCTCGCTGAGCGACAGAAGTGGAAGGTCGCCCAGCCAGCATCTTCGACCGCATACACGGGACCAGCCAATGCTGATCCCAACATCAAGCCGGAATCGGTGGGTGGAACCTGGTACCCAACTCCACCTCCACAAGGTGGCTTGAACAAGCCAAAGATCGTCGTCATGCATCTCCACGGCGGTGCATACGTTATTGGAGATGGCAGGACGAACGACGCTGGTTTCGCCGCGAAGACTTTGATCGAGCAGACCCCGGCCACGCACGTGTACGCTCCACAATATCGCTTGTCGTCGAACCCGGGCGGCCAGTTCCCTGCGGCTCTCCAAGATGCGATCACCGCGTACGCATATGTCGTCGAAGTCGAGAACATTGCTCCGAGCAAAATTGTCTTGTCTGGTGACAGTGCCGGCGCCAACTTGGCGCTCGCGTTGACTCGCTACCTGACTGAATACGGTCCTTCGATTGGCCTCGGGCTTCCCCTCGCAACTTGGCTTTGGTCGCCTTGGGTATCGCCTTTGGGATCTCTCACTTCAGAGAGCTTCAACAAGAGCGAAAACAAAGCTACGGATTATATCACAGCTTCTTTTGGCGCCTGGGGTGCACATAGCTACCAGCCTAGAAAGGAGACGGGCATCACCTTGGACCACCCCTACATCAGCTTCACCAACACACATGTTTTCTCGACACCCGTTCCAATCTACATCTCGACCGGAGAATGCGAGGTCCTCTATGGTGAAGACGTCAGACTGGCCGAAAGCATGGCTTCGATCAAGGGTAACGATGTGACGCTACAGGTCGAGGAGCACAGCGTCCATGATACAATCCTGGCTGCTCCGCTTGTTGGCTTTGAGAAGGAAGCTACTCAAGCTGCTAAGAGAGCAGGAGATTGGTTAAGAGAAATCGATAAGACTGCAAAGTTGTAAAGTGGGAGACGGAAATATGCGAAGAGCCAGATACTGTATCAGCAAGAGCATCAAGACCTGCAGTCGGAAGGATAAGATACGCGCACGTGCCGCGCTCAAGTAATTCGGCTTAATTACATTGCATTCACAAGAGACTGCTCAGTTTGCCGGGATCCTGCCGAACCTGGCGATTATTCGTGCAGAGGGGGCAAACGGCCGTGAAGTCCAGACTCCCTCTCATATTCATCTTCTGAGACGCTGATGCATGTCAGAGAACAGATGTGGGTACCGCTGAAGGAGAAACGAATGAAGTCAATATCCTGGCAACCACGAGGTGCACGACTTGCAGCTGCAGTCAGAGCTATGGCTCGGCGTGATCCGATCGTTCAGAGCAGCTGCATATTGTATCGCCGTCGAAGCGAGCGAACTTTGATTGCTGACCACTTCCAACAGGCCTTGAACCAGACTCGACACGAAAGCGATAACAGCAATTGAATTCATCGAGAAGATTTGTCACGACTCCAAGAACACTCCATGCGCCTCTATCATTATTGCCCTCAAGCCGAGACCAGCGTTCACCGCGAATTCCTCTTGCGAATAACGCTCTACCTCCACACAGTCCCTCGAAGCTCGGTGCCTGAGGTACTGATCCTCGCTTGCGAGGGCCTAACGATAAGCTGGGCAAAACGACCACTTCCTACTACGAGTATATTGCGCACGCCAATATATATTAATACTATGCTTAGGCGGCGTAGAATGGCCATTTTGGAATCATTCTGTCTATTTAGAATATTTATGCGACGTTGTGTTATAAAGATATAGTCGATGCCCGAAGCCGACTCTAGCTTCTAGCTAGGAAAACCGTATATACCTGGGATCTATTAACAACTAATAATACCGTAAAAATATGGCATTAGTATAAGCTTGTAGCGCGTCCAATTTTAAGTAGGAAATGTATAAGGTAGCAGCGTATAAAGTATAGTACTAAAGGATAATCGCTAATTAGCAGAGGTTACTCTTAAAGCCGGCTTTAGCACTAAAACTAGCACTAAAACATTAAATCCCTAACTACTACCAATATTCCCGATATGCATATAAGCTTATAGCTGTTGCAAAGGCGACTAGGGAATATATAAAGTGTTTGTATATGCCGTATCGTATTTTAAAGATATACTTAACCCGTAGAGGAAGTCTTTGTCTAGTCGACTATTATGCAAATAGCGCTCTAATGTAGGGCGCCGTGTCGCATATGCGTCTATCTCTTAGAGCGTATTATAGGCGTTTAAGTCGAGCTCTTTTATTGTCGCCGTAGTAGGCAAATGTCTAAGCCTGTCTTAGTTAAGTAGGTCCATTTCTATATAATACAAAGTACTAACGCCGCCTCTAGTAAGCAGCGCGCTCTCTAGCTCTTTTTAAAAGACTTCCTCTTCCGCCGCCCTTCCTCTCCGAATTCGAGCGATCTATATAACTATACCTTAATTACCGCCGCCGCCGCTATGTCCTCCGGCGACGAAGAAATAGGCGAAGCCGCCTTACTAAAGCGTCCTAAAGATAAAGAGATAGGAGATAGCGACGACCTCGAGCAACAGATTAATGTTATATCGGAAGGTATATAGCTTACGTCGATAGCAGACGATACCTTTAACGATGCTAAAGGTCGAGAAGCTTTACAGAACGATATAGAAATCATAAGACGCGAGCGCCTTATAGCTATTATAGTAGAGGCCGCTCGCGCTAGCCTAGTTAGTAATCTAGCTAAACCGGCAGTCGAGGAGCAGTAAGAGGAAGAGATTAATAATATCGATAAAGACGATATCGATACTAAATTAAGTAATAAAGAAGAGGAAACCGACGAGGAGGATACGAACGCTAATCCCGCTTACGAGCGCCGGTACTAAGCAAGGGTAGATAATGTAGATAATACAGATAATACAGATAATGCAGATAATGCAGATAAAGAAGATAAAGATATAATCGAAGACAAGAAGACTAGGGTAAAGCGCCTCGACCGCGAGAAGCGTATGCCTATAGAAGAGTTTAATAAGGCGATAGAAGAACTCGAGCGTCTTTAGATCGGTCTAATTGAGCTTATCTAGCGATAGGTAGGACAACCGGGTACACAAACCTATCGCCGCCGACTTAAGTATATTATAGATACGTTCTCGGACGAGAAGCTTACTAATAGGCGACTTATACGTAGGCAGCTAAAGCAACTAGTCGGTACGCCGTTCTTCGACTAGTACGATCCTAAGGATAGTATAACCGAGTTCGATTTAGCTACGATCGACGCCTAGATTAAAACTACGGCGCTATTGTAGTACGACATGCTACGGAACGAGCTGCTACCTAACAAGAAGGCTAATAAGGGTACATACGTTTTCGAAGACTCGCGTAAGATAATGCGAAAGCGCATTACCGTGCTAATAGGTATCGTAGTTCGTTCGATCGCGTCGACTAATGCCTCTCGCCTTTATAAGGCCCTTAGTGTGTATCTAGTAGCTAGTAGTTGCCCTCGCTATATACTCGAGGTCCTTAACAATATAGGCATCGTGTCTTCGTATAAAACCATTTAGCGCATTATAGTAGAGAATGCTAAAGCGCAGATAGAGGCAATCCGGACGCTTGTATAGGATCTAGATAACGGTTAATAGTATGTATACTAGGACAACTTCAATCGCTAACGTAGAATACACGAGCAGACTACTAGCGATACTAGAACCTTTAATAGCTTTACTACCTCTTACATCGCCCGCAATCTATATATCCCGAAAGGTAGCCTAAAGCAGAGCATATTGCGGTACGATGTCCCTCTCGACCCGAGCGATATTATTAACAACATCGTAAACGACTAATATAGTCGACAGATCGCTACCTATTTTATAGACTAGGCGCTCGGTAAGCTCCTCGGTATAGAGATCGATTAGTATATAAAGAACTAGTCTTCGTCTACTAAATTTATTCGTCTAATATTTCTAAAGATCAAGCCTCTAAAGATAGATCCTCCGAAGGTATACTCGATGCTACTATCTATATACGATAAGGCGACGATCAAGGGTATATATAGTGTTATAGACGACCTCTTCCTCAATTTCATAGGCCTTAATCGCGATAGCGACTTCTTTAAGGAGCGGCTAGTTATCTCCGTCGGGGATAATATAACTAATATATGTAATCGAAGCACTTAATTCGAGAGTGTTAAGAGTAAGAACGCGTACGATACTCGCAGATTCATCCTTGCCTCGCTAGTATAGTTCTACACTTTTATAAATATCCTCTACGGCCTACTAAAGACTTACTAGAATACTAATAAGGATAGAGAGCTACTTAATTATTGTTTCTAAGAAGATGCGCGCTTCCTAAATCTAAAGCATCTTAGCAACGAGAAGCCTAAGTTCTTCCTTATATAGGGACTAGTAGAAACTAGTTTCGATAGCCGCATTGTCGTAGTGTTCGCCTAAATGCTAATCGACGAAGGCAAGATGCTACCTATTCGAGGAGATAAGAATCGTCTTAATGCGATAAAGAGGGCTGTTAAAGACCTAAGAGCGGTTAAATATATCGACATCCTATTAAAGATGTATAAGAAGCTATTTACGGTTAACGCCTAGCGCGGCGTAGCGACTCTAGTACTAGTGCTAACTCCTACGAGTGCTAGCGGCGCTCGTGCTTCTATAGGTACTAGCGGTGCTCGTAGCAGCGCTCGTAGCAGCGCTCGTAGCGGCGCTCGTAGCGGCGCTCGTACTTCGACGGATGCTAGCGCTCTAGGGCGCGATAAGTTCTTATCTAGTTCCTTAATAACACTGCCGGACTCGGCTAACCGCTTACCGCCTAACGCGCCGGATCCGGCCTTTACTACTATATGTCGTATGTTGCAGATATACATCCTCTTCTTTACTACTAAGAAAGCAGTATGTAAAGCGGATATTAGACATCTCCGCCGTGTCGTCGATCTGCTTATTTAGCTATTCTTAGGTAATCGCTAAACCAACTATAGCCGTATGCTAGTCTATCTACGGTAGTTGTTAAGTAACGCGGCGGATAAAGTGTTACAAGAGGCGATCCTTACTTCCGGTGTCGTAGTTAGGGATCGTAAGGGCTATGCTCTTGCCTCTAATAAACTAGTTAAGTTCTATAACTACGATTACTCTAAGGATATAAAGAAGTACTCTAATTCTACTTATAGTATCGACGCAACCTTCCGTAAGGTCGCCTTAAACCGCGAAGCGTCTCGCGTAGCTAAGCAGATCTTCCGTACCGGTCTTAGTATCAAGAACAACAACACTTATAACCGCAAAGATATATCTGTTATAGTATTCAACCTAGCCGAGAAGATCTTAACCGAGGGACAGGCTAGCTAGTAGAGAAAGGCCGGTGCTCTTTCGGATAATATCGAGTAGCTTAGATACGACAAGCTTGCTACTACTATCGAGGAGCTAAACACTGCCAATCTCCGCCTATATAAGGGCCGTGCTAGCCCGCTACTTCGCTATAAACACGATAAGGATACTGCTAAGCGCGAAGAGGGCGGAGGAGATCGTAGTCCTCTTGCCGCTACTAGCTAGAATAATGAGGTATAGGCGATTCGTAGGAGTGATAGCTTCTATAAGCTTATAGAAGGCAATCTCGAGGAAATAGACCTAACCGGGAATTAGGGTAGTAGTCTGTTTGTCGGGGCTGGCTTAGATAGCGAGATGTAAGGCCGGAGCTAGCTAGGTAGAGGCAGTTAGTCCGATATAGGCCAAGATAGAGAGTTAAGTAGTAATGGTCGAGATTTGGACGGTATTGCAAAGGCTGGTTGCTATATCTAAGACGTAATATTATACTGTCCCGGGTCTATATCCTCCTAGGCCTTATAGCCTTAGGTACGGTTATATGCTAGCGGAGATAGTCGCTGCTCTTGCCTCGAAAGTGCGATAATAGATAGCCGTTATTGTTGCCTTACTATTGTCGTGCTGCTATTAGTAGAGGCAAACTTTACCTACGCGGCGTATATCGACCTCCGCTTTCTAACCTTAACTTCTTCTTCTTCTATATATATATACTAACACACTAACACCCCTAGCAACACACTAGCTGTCGGCTCTTAATAGCAACAGTGTCGATACCTCTTTGTCGTATATAGGTAGCTCTATAGCGATCAACACTATTCCTTGCTAGTTCTGCGGCTTGCTACCGATAGAGCCGCTTATCTAATAGTTGAGGTTCCTCGGCAGGTGGTTTATTTAGTCCTTTCTCTTCGAGGTTTAGTCTCCGATGGGCTTTACTAAGCAAGACGTTGCGAGGCGACTCTCCTAGCGAGTAGGTGTACTATAGCTTTAGCGGGCGTCGACTACGCATTTAACCGAAAGAGTATAGTTATTGTTAGATCGCAGTCTTATCTTAGTGCAACAGACTACGGGTCTCGGGTGGATTAGCGGAGGTAAAAACTCTTTAGTAAGGTATACCTATAATACGGCTGACGGTCTAACTCGGTAAAAACTCTTTAGTAAGGTATACCTTAAGTAGCGGCTCGATAGCGACTCTCCTACTAAGTAGGTTAATAGACTAAGTGGGTTAATAGATAGAGTGGGTTAATAGGTTCGTAGCATTGCTATAGGTCTAACTCGGTAAAAACTCTTTAGTAAGGTATACCTTAAGTAGCGGCTATAGGCTTCCTACGTTCGGATTCTTTATAGAATAACATACGCGCATCTAGTTAAGTCGGCGTAACGCCTTCGTTAGGACTGTTAGTTATAATAACCTTATTACGTAAGGGCCTCTAGTA